CCGCAACAAAATCCATATCAGTCGAGCCCTAAGTAGAAGTACCAAGAGGTGGGCCAAGAAATTACTCAAGCAAGAGTAAAAAAGTATTTCTGAAATGTACTACTCAAGTTCACTATGTAACTTTTTGGTCACCTGCTTGTTTCTATAGATACACCATTTCTCTGCCTGGAATGTTCCAGAGTGTGACATTAAACAGCTCTACTTTACATTTATTCAATCACAGGTGGATTTATAGTTCAAAAACACCTAGAAAAACAGATATTCTGACTGTGAGCGGGGTCGCCTCTCCACAGATCTGACCTGGAACTTAGTTTAGTTTATTTATGAGACAGGGACAGGCACAATCTACATGAACCTGAACAGGAGAGATGTTTGTACCAGGTTACAGTGTCAGTGTTCATTTGCACCTGTCGTCTCTGGGCAGGTTCATGTTCGAGTTCATAAAATAAAACATACAAAGAGAAAGTCTAATGTCCAGAGCATCAGAACATCCAGTTCTCAGCATCTTAAAAACATCATCCTTATCAAAAGCATCATTCAGTTCATTCACACCAGAGCATCGCTCTCTCTTCTACATCAGACACTGGTCAGACACACTACGGGCACATGTTTGATTTGAGAGGGGCGTGAGAAAGTGCCATAGTTTGTCCATGTGATCAGTTCTGTTGGAAACATGTTCCACTGACGGACGCCGCACATGAAAAGTCTGAGTTTCCAAATGCAGTGGATTGAGCAGCTCGGGAGCTGGTTTCAGAGCTCAGAGAAACAAACTCTTTATAGCGGAGGAGCAGCAGTATCATGAATGATCTTAAACAGCTGACAAATACAATTTGCATACATTATCAGATTTTCAAAATTTAAAATACCGTGTTTCACAAGAACATGACAGTGGTGGAATAGCCGACTCTTCTTGTCATGGGTCTTGAGAGGATTTTATATAATGATTCTTGAGGCCTCAGAGCTGATTTACAAGCCTGTGACCAACTTGTTCTGCATTAAAGAAAAGTGGGGCATTATCACTGCATTTAGAGGCACCTGAGGCTTCAGTGCTCAGGGACTTTCTCATGTATCTGAAATAGGCCATGTTGAATATATGTTGTATAGTGTTTAACTTTTTAATGTGCTTTTTAAAAACATAGATTTGGTTCCAGAATAACTCCTAGATATTTCATCTGATCAACATTAATGATAGAAATTGATCAATTACTGATAGAAAGGCAGAAGGCAGGATAGTTTTGTGGTTAGTAATAAACATAGAAAACGGTTTTGTTGATATTTAAAGTGAAACATGAGTTTTTTAACCAAGCAGAAACCTGGGTAATTTCCTCTGAGATTTTTTTCTTCTACTTTGTGCACAGTTTCATTATGAGTATATACCACAATATCAACAGCGTACATGATTATCTTAACATTACATACAGATGGAAGGTCATTAATATACAGCAGGGGGCCGAGACACGAGCCTTGCTGCACGTCCATGCTGCAGTCTTAAGGGAGATTTAACATTGTTTACTGCTACACACTGCTGCCTCCCACTGAAGTAAGATTTTATCCAATTTGTTGTGTTCATATTGAGATGGAAAGTTGGTGATGAGTAAGTCATGGTTAACTGTATCGAAGGTAGGCGTGCCCCCACCACTCGTCCACCATCCAGACCAGATTTAATGTCTTCTAATAAGCAGCAGCAAGCAGTCTCAGTTGAGTATTTTTTCCTGAACCCAAACTGGAAAGAATTTAATGCTGAGGAGGAGTAAAGATGCTCCACAAATTGCTCCACTACCACTTTCTCAAAGACCTTGGAGATGGTCTGTAGGATGCTTATGGGCCAGTAATTTGAGACCAGAAGCTTGTCCATTGACTTGAATACTGACTTGATTACCACTTTTTTTAAGATTGTGGAAAAAATAATCTCATTTATGGACTGTTTTATAACTTGCATTAGCACTGGGATTAAAGTCTCTTTGAATTTTTTTACAAAGGCAGTGTCAATTCCAAAAATGTCTTTGGTTTTGCCATTATTTAAATTGGATATCACGTAACATCTATGCTACGTAATTTAAAAAAGGATTTCTCTTCATCTCTAGGGTAATCTTGAGTGCAATTTGTACTGGAGCTTGAACTTGGTTTGGTCTCCATGAAAAGATTTAATGTTGCACTGTGAAACATTCCAGACAAAGCAACAACATTCTCCATGGAGAAAAGCGTTCAGCAGAGTTACACAGTGCACCTTTAAAGAGTAACAGTTGGGATGTAGCTGATTTATAAGGTTAAAGTGAATGTATTTTGAAGGACAAAATATTAAATAATGCAAAAAGAAAAAAAAAGAAAAAAAAATCATATTTGAAGGAGTGGTGCAAGAAATTGTCAACCACCATGGGAAGAGGAACCAAAATTTTTACTCAATTAAAAAATACTACAAGTAGGATTAAAAGCATACATACTCTGAAGAGTAACTTAAAGGACATTATACTTAAGTAAATGTAAGCAAGTACCACTAGGGCTGGGTATCATTAAGAAGTTGCCAATACGATACATACCTCGATACAGTACACTTTGATTCGATATGATATATTTCAAAACGATTTGATACGGTTCTGTAAAAAATAAAGGCTAAATCATGGCTGTGATTCTAAAAGTCTTTGTTAAACCACTTTTTGTGCAAAGTCAAAATGAAAAACATCCATTTTACTCATCAAAAAGTGAAAATGTCAAATGTCGCATAAACGAGTTTCCTTCCACTAAACAAGCAAAAAAACTGTAGCTGTAACAAAATAATTTAGCAAAATATACCAAAAAATACTCTTGGCGACGATATCGATACTGTATCGATACTGTATCATCACACTAAATGATACGATATATTGATATTTCGATATTTTTGCACACCCCTAAGTACCACCCTGTCTGTTGACTGGTAACAGTGATAGTGAATAGGCTGAGTGTTAGTTGAAGCATGCACTGTTACAATAGGCCCATGGATAAAGTGTAGCCTGGAGTGCACAAACTGCTCTGTTGGTGTTTCAAGAGAAGATGTGCACGTTTGGATCTGACCTGGAGCTTCCACTGAGCGGGCGGATCTTTGCACAGAGCTGGCCCCGCACGTCTGGGCTTGTCTGGGTCCGTGGTCCTGGAGCAACTAGAGAGGCGCCTGTGTGCGTGTGTGTGTGCGAGCGAGTTACTGTCCGTATGCTTGTATGAGGACAAGATGCACTGTCACTTCTTCTGGACTTCCTGACCTCATGTTCCCTTTAGTGTTTTGGCTGTTGTGAGTCCCAAGGATTAAAAGGCGCAGATTACGCAATTTGAAATATGAAATAACGTTGTTTCCTCATCACAATCAGACCTGGAGTTGCGTTTTGTTTCTTTCACACATGTTTAACACACAAACTCTAGACATTTAGGCTGAGTTCTTTTCTTAAACAGAAAAAGTCTCTGTTCACCTTGTGATATAAAGTGCTCTACTGTGTTTCTAAACTTCTCACATCTTTTCTAGAATAATTTGGGTGATTTCAGCCCTGGAATTGCCCATTTCCACTGAACTAATATATAAAAGGTAACTGCTGTCATGAAGCTGTTTTCAAGTTATCACATTTCACTCTTTTTCAGTGACAAAATTTAAAAACTTTTCCATGACCTAAAGTGAATTTTCCATGACTTTACATGTACATGTGTAGAATTGATCAGATTTTTAGGGTTAAATCTGAAATGTTAACTCTTTCCACTCACCTTAGGGTTTAGGATTATAGTTTTTAAACATTTAGAATCCTGTCAGTGCATTTATTGTCATCTCTTTGCGCAGACATTCAGAAATAATCATAATAGCCTAATGAGAACTTAACAGAAAGCTGTAGTGGTGTGAAAGAGATACTAAAATTCCATGATTTTTAGAGGCCTGGAAAATGACATTTTCAATTTTCGAGGATTTCCATGAGTGTGGAAACCTTGAAGGAGAACAGAGCATTTTTCTTCGTGCGATGTGTTAACTTTTTCTACTGTTTTGGAGTGCCTGGAATCTGTTGTGTCTTGAGTTTTGATCCTTTTTTCCAAGAGCACCCTCCATTTGCTCCTACTGATTGGAACACCTGCAGCAAACAGCCACATTTTTGTTCTTAGAGCATTTTGAGTTTTGGAAATGTTGACAGATTAATAATAAAGTGTTACTCAAACTGTTTCTGAGGAGCAAACAACATTATAGTATGGTTTAAAAGCTCACAAGAGGTTGAGGTTAGGGTTAGGTTAGGGTTTTGGGTGATGTGGGACCTTTTAAAGTTGTTGCAAGTTCTCAAACCTGCTTGTGCCATTAGACGCAGGCCTACACTCACTGCTGTGCGGTGATTACCCCACTGTCAGAGGTCACGTCTCATTTCTCTGTCCTCACTTCTTTCTTGACTCCTTTCCTTGTTCCTCTGTTTTTCAGCTGTCAATCAAACGCGCCATATTAAGTGTTGTCCCAAAGCTCCGAGGAGGCGAGGCAAGGAAACCACGGAGGAAACATGAGGAGGGAAGGAAACTGGATTAGTCTCACGGAGAGCAGTTTGTATTGTTGCAACACAAGTACAGGGACAGCAGCAAAGGATGTTTGACATGTTGCATAATTCTGAATTTGACATTAAAACTGAAAACAAAATAAAACATGCTTTTCACGTTTATCTGAAAGCCAAGATGTTGGTCTGGCTGATTTAGAATTGGCGTTAGTCTAGTTCTCACTACAGGGTCATTTTGGAAAGACCGTCCCATTCACCCTCAGCTCATGTCTCTCCCCTCTGCTCCTCTGAGTCTCTTTCCTGCAGAATCGATGAGAGGAATGAAAGAGAAGGAGGCAAGGAAAGAGGAATAAGACGCGGCCGGAGTTTGTGGAGGAGTTTGTGTGACAAAGGCCAGCGCGCAATAATCAACTCCGGACCCGGGCGCACACCTCCCTGCGCGGACGCAACGCCTCCCCCTCCCTGCGCCTTTGGACCGCGGGGCTCCGGCCTGACAGGTGACGGGAAGAGACTCACCTTGGAACCAGAGCCGAGGGGACAACCCGAGCTCCCTCCGGGCGCGCTTCACTCACAGCGGGGTTCCTCCTTCACGCACAGTGGGTCCGAGCCGCCGGAGACTGTCACGGACTCTCCATGGGCCTGTAACCGAAGAGGGTACACTCCAGAGCGGGATCACCTCAGACACACGGTCGGTGCTTCCGGAAGTGAGCGGCGGTTACCTGTTCCAGTCGCGCGCTTGGGGCTCCGCGGGAGAAGGGTGCGGCGCGCTCTGAGCTGTGCCCGCCCCCGAGACACCGAGGGCGGGGTTAGAGCAAGGGTTAGAGTCGATGCCAACCTGTGCTCCAGCCCTGCCCCCTGCAGCTGCTTCTTCTGCCAATTAGTTTAGTCCACCATAGATCTATTAAGGTTTAGTCCCAGTCAGAAGCGGGTAGTACTCAGTTACATTTACTCCGTTACATTTATTTGGGAAACGTTTGGTTCCTCTTCCGTCTGTGAGTAAGCCTACAAGTGACAAAAGCTTTATGTGACAATATGAAATCATTTGAACATTTGTTTCTTGCAGCTTCTTCAAATCTGATTTAGTTTGTCTCATTTTTGTGTCTGTCCTTTTTTCAATTCCATAGATCACTCCTTTGTACTTGAGTAATATTATTTGGAAGTAGTACTTTTTGGCTTCTCTACTACCGCTGGGATGATGGAATACATATAATATATAGGTAGTTGTTTGCCTGTGTGATGTATTTGAAGTTCCTTCAGGATCAGTATCTAAATCGGTTTAATTTTGAAAAGCAAATAATTACAGTTTTTAAGTTACACCATTCACTTCATTTGATTCACGGGACAGAATGAAAATATCTTCTGCGCCTCTTATTCAAAGACAGACAGCTCCCCCTACAGACTGAAAAGGAAACTACAAATATAAGAGGCTAGGCACACATTAAGTGTTATTAAATATAATTTTAATACTTTTCATAAAAAAGGTTGTACTCTATTTTGAACAAGGTGACTCCACAGAGCTCTGGGCTTCAACGAACCAACAGGTGTCCATGGAAACACTCCACCTGCCAGGACAGAACCAAACTACAGACAGAACAGAATCCAGAATCCTCTGAGCCTCTAGAGAGACAAACGGAAGCGGCAGGGACGAGCACAGCGGGAATAAATAGAAATAAAACAAAGAGCAAATCATTATTTACATGAACAAACGTAAAAGAAGCCGTGAGCAGTAAGAGCAGGGGTCAGCCCGTGTAGGCGTGTCCACAGTCCTGTCCCCCCTGCTGTGTGGTACAGAGTATGGAGGGGAAGAAGGGAGGGCTGTGATGGTCAGGGGCCCTCTCAAACACAGAATACTCTGAACAAACCGACAGGGATGAGTCACCTGTCCAGTGAACATGTTTTGACAGGTGCACTCACACACTCCACACATGATCTCATCCTAAAATCTTTTTTTTTTTCTTTTTTCAATAATGCCATGAGTTTAGCCTCATCCCTCAGCCTGGAAGTGAACGTGTGCTCAGGTAAACTGCTGTAGGGTCAGAAGAGGTTCTCTTCAAAGATGGCCATCAGATCACTCTGGAAGTTGATGTCAATGGTGTCGGCCATCTGAGGACACACAAGCACACACACAAGTTACATAAGACTGTAGCACTGTGTTCCTGCTGCTAACATATAAACAGACCTTTACAGAGTACGAATAATAATAATAATAATAATACATTTTATTTATGTAGCGTTTTTCTAAACAAAGACATTGCACAAAGAATACACAAAAACGAATGAGACTATGGAGCTCCTTTCTAAAAGCAGGTGAAACCAATAGACTTTTGAGGAGTTGTAGTTAGGGGTGTCAAATTATCGCGTTAATTGCGATTAATTAATTACAGTCATATTTAGCGCGTTATGTTTTTTAATCGCGTTAATCTCATTTTTAATCTCTAACTTTAGTGTTTCTGTATGCGAGTTGCTTTATTATAAAACCTGTTTTTATGTGTTGTTGGGACAACAACACACACACACACACAAAACATATTTATACATTTTTTTTTTTCGGTAATTCCACTCATTGCCAGAAACCCACACAAAACAGCGATGTAAATGTCATGTTAATGTTGGCGGTGTCAGTCACAATGGACGAGGTCGAAGAGCCAGTAGAACAGAGCAGCAGTGCACAGGGAAAAACACATTCGTGTCTTGGAAATCCTTCTCCCAACGTGAAATATAAAAGAAAATAACAAATATAAAATCGCCTGAAAACAACCTGCATAGGCTCATGATGTCTGCACTACTGTCCTATAGTGACCTGCCACATGAGGGGACACGCACACAAACACACACAAACACACACACAACACACACCTTCATCATCGTTATTAGCCTGAGAATGCGCGGACCACGTTTCCTTCCGTAGACAATGTGCGGACACCGCTGTCCTCCCGTGAGCCGCGTGTGGATCGTGTTTTCTCGCGTACGCTGCGTAAACCGCGCTTCCTCCTGTGCGCCTCTAAACCAGAACTAACACCAAGACTAAAACCAGGACTAATCCAGTCCAGGACTAAACCAGGACTAAACCAGGACTAAACCAGAACTAAAACCAGAACTAAAACCAGGTCTAAACCAGGTCTAAACCAGGTCTAAACCAGGACTAAACCAGGACTAACACCAGGACTAACACCAGGACTAAAACCAGGATTAATCCATTCCAGGACTAAACTAGGACTAAAGTAGGACTAAAGCAGGTCTAAACCAGGTCTAAACCAGGACTAAAACCAGTGATCTCATATATAAAGCATTTCTCTATCAATAATATTTTTAATATGGTTAAGGAAAGATTGGACTTTTTATTGTCTTTAAGTAGACAAAAGTTATTATGTTCAGATTTCCTCATCTTTGCTACTTTACAACAAACAGTTTCTTATTCATGGAGACTTGGGCTCAACAGCCAAATTGCAGAGATTTGTTAAACAATAAATGACTTTATAAAGTCACTTTTTTTTGTTCTATATCAGTCTTTTGATCTGCCACAATAATGTAATAATGAATTTAAATGAAAATACCTAAAATTTAAGGCTTTTCTCAGCAATTTTTAGGTGAGATTAAAATGAGATTAATTAGATTAATTAATTACAGATCATAATTAATTAATCTCTCAATTTTTTTAATCGCATGACAGCACTAGTTGTAGTACACAGAAGAGTACGCACAGCCTCACGGTGCCGCCTCTCCTGCTCGCGCCGCCGTGCTATCTCCCTCTGCTGGTCCAGAGCCGTCTGCACAGGAGATGTGGGTTGTGTGGGCGGGGCCTGTGGAGGCTGTGTGGGCGGGGCCGGCGGGGGGGCAGGAGGGGTAACGGGCTGTGGAGACGGTTGCTCGTGGCGACGGCGAACCTCGTCATGTGAGCGACGAATCTGCTCCACTGAGTCGTCCTCCTCTCTGCTGCAGGAGACGGAGACAGGAGCAGACACTTTCAATTCAGTTTCATACTTTTTAAGATGCAAACAAAAAGAATCACATGTAATTTTTTCTGCTAATGAGTACAATATAATAAGATGATATTAATGACATTACCTACATTACATACAGTACAGTACAGTACAACTAGTGTACAGTTGTAGTTTTTATATCAAGTGTTTTAGTTCATTTGGTTCAATGAATTACAGTTCAGAATTTTCATTCAGTGAAAACAAGAACAGAGCTTTCTCAGGCTCCTCCCCACACTCCCCTGCTACAGTCTGTGCTCTTAACAGACACACAGCACTCTCCCATCTTCTTTCTGTACACTCAAACTACATAGAAATGTTTCAACAGACTGTTTTGTAGTAAAACTTATGAAACACGTTAATTAAATAGGTGAATTCATATCTTTGTCATTCCTGGGTCTATCAATGTAAAATAAAAAGATGAAACCACCTCCGTTAGAATATTTTTGCTGTAAGCCTCTTTGGAGCTGTTTACCTGCTGCATCTAGGGAGGACACCACGTTAACTGTTTCCCTTTTAGACCAAAAGAAATGACAATGACGCACAGAGGGACATGTGCTTATCGAGGGAACATGTATCAAGTCATGACACTAGTATCAAACAATGTGATATTATATCAAATATCACATTCCTACTGGTTACTCTAGGTTGTGCAACAAGAAAACTATGACAAATATCAGTACAACTGACCTCATAATCCATGCATTGATACTTTGCAGCTGATGTCACCAACACCAACAACAGTGGGTGTGAAGCTAACCGAAAGTACTACTCTGTCTGAAACCGTTACCTAAATTAGAATTAATCTGAGTTTTATTTTAACACAATTTGACCAGAAAGATCTGATTTAGCTGGTACTACAACAGTGCAGATTTGTGCTGTTTTTCACTCCTAAACAGGATCAAGAACACTCGGACTGATCACAGGCTCCTGGAAATGTGCTGTCAATTTTTCAATTTTTTTGAGTTTTCAGACTCAAGAATCTTAACAGTTTTTAGTTTCTTTTGTGTTTGCTAGTGTGTGTGTTGTGTCAGCATGATATCGTCTAAACATTCCACCGTGGAGATAAATGTAGAATACCCCCAGCCTGATGTTACTGCGTACTATCAATCTATTTTATCAGTACTCTTGATTAGGGTGTGAATATCTGCATGGTGGTGAGTGTAGTACCGCTGCTTGTCGTGCTCGTGGCGACGGGCTTGTTCGGCCTGTGCACGCAGCTGTCTCTCCCTCTCCTCCTTCTCTCGCGCCGCTCGTCTGAAGTGTTCGAAACTGTCACTGGACGAGCGCACGGAGGACGCCTGAGACGACTGGGACCTCTGAGCCAGACTGGCCCACGAGCTTATGTTCTTCACCTTTACATCCTGAGAGAACACACAGAGAGAAGACACAGAGAGTGGACAGAAAGACAGAGAGGGAACAGAGAGAGAGAGGATGGAGAGAACACAGAGAGAGGACACACACACACACACAGAGGACAGAGAAAGCAGACGCACAGAGGACACAGCAAGAAGACACATGGAGAACAGAGAGGGAGGACACAGACAGGACAGAGAGAGGACAAAGAAGAAACAGAGGACACAGAGAGAGGACACAGAAGACACCGAGGTAAGAGGCATTGGCACCCACATTGGTCTCCAAAAACAGGGTAACAGTTAAAGAGGGGGTTTCACTTCTATTCTTCTACATCACCACAGAGAATACAGAAATATTTATGATGAAGGCCTGTTTTGTGTGTTATGTGTGTCAAGGCAAAACTCAGTGGTCTCTGAAAGTTGTAAAAAGAGCTTATAAACTCATAATGTTGAATAATTAACATACTCAGAATGCATAAAGTAAGAGAGGAAGAACTTTGGACCACTGCAGACTGATTAAAATTAACTAGTTCTGTTTTTCATGTTTTTAATTTGCTGTGGGCTTTAGATGTAAGCTCATTTTGCTCCTCGGTGGTACGTTTGTTTGTGAATGCATAGTACAGTTGAGGTGAACACTCACAGGGGTTTTCTTGGAGGAGATGGTTGCCTTGGCCTCCTGCTTAATCCTATCGTGCTGGGGCCCTGGGGAGTCAGGAAACTGGGACCCAGAGCGAGGGGCATCCAGTGTCCTTCCATCTGCTCCTGAAAGAGAGGGGGTGTGGTTTACAGGAGGAACAGTAGTGGATTCTTATGGAGTGTCTCTGGCCTTACTGTGCTTGCTGTCCGGCCTCAGACCAGGGCTGAAGGGAGACTGGGGCAGCACGGGGGAATGGGAAGCTCTCTCCTCCTTGATACTGGGGATTTTAGACCTCTGTTCCTGTAAAAAGTGAAGTGTCATTCGGGCTGACAGAGTTCTGAAACTCTGAAACCAGGAGAGAGAGGAGGTGACTTACGCTCCTCTTGGAGTGTGCAGGCGACTGCTGCTCCACTGGGTTAAACTGAGGAGAGTGTAGGAGCGGAGAGGAGCCTGGATGCACACAACCTACAACACAATCACATCAACACTGAACACGGCTGTCTGCATTTCACACTAGTTACACAGGTCGAAACCAATAACTAAGTATAGGATGTCTCTCATTGGACAGGGGCAATCATGATTTTAGACTGGAGAGAGAAAAAAGCAGGCAGATGATATGGCCAGCCTTCCTGTTCTTCTACTGACATATTTGAATTCTGTGTAATTATTGGTGCTTTTAGATAGTAGAATGTGATGATGTCATACTGTCAGGTGCCAAGAACCAGTTTTCCCAAATGCACTGTATGTTGCTATGAAATATTCAAAAGGAAAATTCACAAATGTTGAACCTGATCATTTCTATTACTGACTAGACCCAGGAGCTCACTGTATTACAATTATTAAACAAGATGAATCTGTATTAAATAATATTGGCCTGTAAAATGTGGTGATGTCATCTGAAACCCTGAAATACTTTTGAATACATGTGTAGGTGAGTGCTAATGCACCTGTAGAGTAGGGCTCAGCTTTGATGAGAGCTGAGGGCAGATGAGACTCTGTCAGAGCTGCTTTGTGCAAGGGGTCCGGTCCTTTGTGGACAGGGGGGCAGGTGGGCGTCAGTCCCAGGGCCTGTGTGTGTCTTTGGTTGAGGACAGGATTGAGGGGCCCCTGTGGCGGTGAGTGTGTGTGGGACCCTCGGGCCTGCAGAGACTGTAGGAAGCTGTGAACCTGGCTCAAAGGAGGTGTCTCCTCATCATCCTCCAGCAAAGCCTGGGGGGGCTGTGCCGATAGTGTCCCCAGGATGTGTGAGGGGGGAGAAGGTACACGAGGCCGGGCCATGCTCTGGGGCAGGCTCTGGGGCAGGTTCTGGGGCAGGTTCTGGGGCAGGTTCTGGGGCAAGCTCTGGGGCAGGTTCAGGGGCAGGCTCTGGGGCAGGCTCTGGGGCAGGCTCTGGGGCAGGTTCAGGGGCAGTGGAGGGGCTGAGCTGGTGGGCAGTGAGGACAGAGGGGCCTGGGGAGGTTTGGGAGGAAGAGGTGCAGCTCGACTGCTGGGTCTGGAGGGCTGCTGTGGGAGAGCGCTGTGGACGGCTGTGGACACAAAGGTCAAGAGTCAAACAAAAGCATCACAAAATCACAAATAACATCTACTCTGCACTAAGCATGTGTCTAAGCATGTGTGAGAGTACCTGCTGAAGGTGTGTGCATGCGTGCGTGTGTGTGTGAGAGAGAGAGAGTACCTGGAGATGGAGGCACAGGTGGGGGCTGGGGGACAGGGGCTGAGGGCACCTGGCTGCTCCCAGTGTTCATCAGTCCCAGAGGGTTAGGGAGCACAGGCTCTGCGCTGGGCTGGCTCAGGTGCTGGCTCAAGTGCTGGGTCATGTAGTGGGTCAGAGGGTCGTATGCAGGGGCCTGGGTCTGAGGCTGGGGAGGGGGGCAGGGGGTCGCAGGAGTAGCAGAGGGCTTGGACTGCACCACTACTGTGGTACTCAGGGACTGTCCAGGGGCCCTCTTCACATCTTTGATTCTGGAGGTCATCTTGTGCTGTTTGGGGAGCAGCCCTAGTACAAACACACGCTCCAGTTAAAGCTGCAGGTTTACACACTTACAGTAATATTCATGTACACACCCATACCACGGCTAGTGTCTTCACTGCCAGAGGCCTCACTGTCATCTGAAGAGGAAGAGCCGCTCTTCATCTTCCTCACATCTGTAGACAAACACAGTCACATTGAGTCAGGCAGAGGTCAATTAGGTTTTTAGGTTTGAAGTGCAATATATTGCTGAAGAAAATATAGACAATATTACAAATCATTTATGCCACTGACACAATAACCCAAGTACCACAAAAACTATTCTAATTGTTAAAAATGTAAAAAAAAAAAATCATATGTAATTAGTTATAGAAGTTATTAATTCAACATCTTACAACTTAAATCTTCATATGGTCAACAAATAAAAAATGTCCCAGTAGTGCAAAGAAAATGATAAATAATGAGCCCCAAAACATTGTTCCAGCTTTCACATATTGAATGATACAGTAATTACCATGACTTTAGATGATGTGTTTTTCTTGTATTTAACTGTCTCATAGTGACGCTGTACCTGAATGTTTCTTCTTCTTGCGCAGGCAGGTGGACACGTACTTCTCCAGCTCTCGCAGCGTGGAGGGCTTGAGAGCTTCGAAGTCGATCTCGATCTCGTCGGGGTTGGAGTTCTTGAGCGACGGCTCTCTGCTCTGGATGATGTGTACCACGCGGCCAAGCTTGTCTCCAGGCAGCTTGTTTATGTCCAGACTCAGCTGTCTCTTTTCCTCATACGTCATGGGGGGCCATTTACTGGACTCTGTGGAGAAAGAAACACTTTAAGGACATGTGAGTCAAACATTTAAACAACAGATACTTGAGTGTCTTTACCCCCATCTGCATCTGCTTCCAGAGCTGCAGAGGGGAGAAGAGAGGTGGGCCCACTCTGAGGAGGTACCACTGGACCAAGGCTCTTCAGTCCTTCTTTCTTTCTGTGGTAGAAACAATATGGCATTAGACTCTTTGGCTAAATGACCATGTGATAACCCAGTGCTCTCAACCCCACTGACCGGAGCCTTTTCTTGTCCCTCCTGTCTCCGGGACAGTCCTTCTTGTCCCTCTTGTCTATAGGATAGTCCTTCCTATCCCTCTTGTCTATAGGATAGTCCTTCTTATCCCTCCTGTCTGTAGGATAGTCTTTCTTGTCCCTCTTGTCTATAGGATAGTCCCTGGTGCTTCGGCTCTTTTTGGTGGACTCCAGGCTGTCGTCTACACACTGCCTCTTCTTGTGCTTCTCCTTCTTCTTCTCCTTCTTGTCTCGGTCTTTCTTCTTGGGTTTGCTGGTCTGGGGTTGGGACAGGGCTGCTAGCTGCTCATGAACAGCTTTGAGCTACAAAACACAGAGAGAGGTACTTCAGACTACTGCAGTCTGAACATGTCTGAACAGAGATATACTAACACCATTGACTGTATAAAGAAGTAGACTAAGGGAGTCTAACAATGCTCATAGCATTCAGCTCCAAATGAAGCTCATCGAGGCCTGCAGGGAGCTGGCACCTAGCAATGCTGTTAATCAAACCTGTTGTGAAGTCTAGAGAGAGATCAGTGAAAGAGGGCAGCTCATCAGTCTGTTGTTTATGTTCATATATTGGTTTACAGACAAAAGTAAAGTAAAGCAAAGTAAATGGCCAGAAGCGTGCTCATATTTAATTCCTATTTGGAATACGGCGGCTAGCGGGCTAGCTATGATTATGTGTAACAGAGATATGTGGTGCTGTCATGATGCCCTGAACACAGAAACAGTTCTAACCTGTTCCTGTAGCTCAGCCAGGCGCTGCTGGCGCTCCTGGTCAGAGCCCCCTCCTGACGACTCTGTGTCTGAGGAGGAAGAGCTGTCCTCAGACACCACAGGAGCAGGGGGCAGACGGGTGGGGCAGGCGGAGGACGGGGCGGGCACAAGAGTGGTCTTCTCCGGCTCATCAGGCATTTTAGCAAAGCGCATCTCAAACACATCCTGTGGGAAAGCACAACATGAGAACTACAACACCACACACTGTAATATACCAAAGACTGTACATGAGAAATCCCACTATGGGCTAAATCCATTACAAACCTACATTTTGGACAATACATCTAAAAATATACAACAAACATATTTGTTTTTAGTTGCTAACACATGTTTCACAGACAGTATATATAACTAGGGGTGTCAAATTATCGCGTTAGTTGCGATGAATTAATTACAGTCATATTTAGCGAGTTATGTTTTTTAACCGTGTTAATCTAATTTTTAATCTCTAACTTTACTGTTTCTGTATGCGAGCTGCTTTATTATAAAATCAGTTTTATACACACAAAAAAATACATTTATAATTTTTTTTATTTTGGTAATTCCACTCATTGCCAGAAACCCACACAAAACGCACGCAGTAAGAGCGATGTAAACGTCATGTTAACGTTGGTGGCGTCAGTCGCACAATGGACGAGGTCGAAGAGCCAGTAGAACAGAGTCAGCAGTGCACAGGTAAAAACACATTTGTGTCTTGGAAATTCTTCTCCCGACGTGAAATATAAAAGAAAATAACAAATATAAAATCGCCTACAACTTAAATGTCACTGGTGAAAACAACCTGCATAGGCTCATGATGTCTGCACTACTGTCCTATAGTGACCTGCCACATGAGGGGACACGCACACAAACAAACACACACACAAACACACACAAACACAAACACACACCTTCATCATCGTCATTAACCTGAGAACGCGCGGACCACGTTTCCTTCCGTAGTTACTGCGCGGACACCGACGTGCTCCCGTGAGCCGCGTACATTTTCTTGCATACGCTGCGTAAACCGCGCTTCCTCCTGTGCGCCTCTAAACCAGAACTAACACCAAAACTAAAACCAGGACTAACCCAGTCCAGGACTAAACCAGGACTAAACCAGAACTAAAACCAGGTCTAAACCAGGACTAAACCAGGACTAAAACCAGAACTAAAACCAGGTCTAAACCAGGACTACACCAGAACTAAAACCAGGTCTATACCAGGTCTAAACCAGGACTAAAACCAGGTCTATACCAGGTCTAAACCAGGACTAAACCAGGACTAAACCAGAACTAACACCAGGACTAAAACCAGGACTAACCCATTCCAGGACTAAACTAGGACTAAAGTAGGACTAAAGCAGGTCTAAACCAGGACTAAAACCAGTGATCTCATATATAAAGCATTTCTCTATCAATAATATTTTTAATATGGTTAAGGAAAGATTGGACTTTTTATTGTCTTTAAGTAGACAAAAGTTATTATGTTCAGATTTCCTCGTCTTTGCTACTTTACAGCAAACAGTTTCTTATTCATGGAGACTTGGGCTCAACAGCCAATTTGAAGAGAACAAACAAGAACAACATTTGCAGGATGTGGTTGCTACATTCATGTAGTTTTAAAAAGCACGACAATATCAAGTAATCCAAAGTATTAAAATTACATTACTCACTTTAAGTAATTAAATGGATTAAGTTACAAACTTCATTTTGGTATATGTAATCTGTAATCTGTAGGGGAATACATTTTAAAAGTAACCTTCCCAACACTGCAGATTAGTAATAGTAATAATAATGATGATACTGTGGAATGTGACTGCATCTGTTAAAGTTTGTTAAACAGTAAATGACTTTATAAAGTCACTTTTTTTTGTTCTATATCAGTCTTTTGATCTGTCACAATAATGTAATAATGAATTTAAATGAAAATACCTCAAATTGAAGGCTTTTCTCAGCAATTTTTAGGTGAGATTAAAAAGAGATTAATTAGATTAATTAATTACAGATCATAATTAATTAATGTCTCAATTTTTTAATCGCATGACAGCACTATATTTAACTACTGCTTATATACTGGACAGTGCAAGGGTCAAACAGTATAGGGTAGTATAGGATTCATCCATAACAGCTTCATGATGCATGAGGTGCTGCTCGGCGCTTACCTGCAGTTTGCGAGCCATCCCCACTACATCATGGTCCGGAGGATTGTATTTGTAACAGTTGGAGAACATGAGCCGGACATCTGCTGCAAACTCCTGAGCGTCTTTGTATTGTCGGCTATCCAGCTTTTTCTGTAGGACACATTCAACTCTGAAGAGTCAGAACACGGCTACTATGTGGGGGTCTAACATGAGAGCTGTTTTTACCTAGGCCTGTCACAATATATGCCATATATTGATTTTGGAAATATCACAATAAATGATAATATTGAAATTAAAAATTCATACCACTTTCACAGTAACCTTAAAGCCAGACAATTGCATTTGCATTATTAAAAAGCAGGAGCTGCAACAAATACATGGTAGAATTAATAACTAATTAGCCATAGAAGTTATTTACTCTACTTGATAGAGCTCAAATGACCTCATAAGATAACATTTTTTAAAATGTCACCATTTTTGCAAAGAAATTGCACACATGATAAATACTGACTCCCAAAATATATTGTTCGAGCTTTCATATATTGAACCATAAGTCACTATAGCAATTATCATGACAGGCCCACTGCTCCTGAAGAAAATATTGTATGTTCATCTAGCATGCACTACCATTCAAAGCTTTGGATACACCTTCTCACTGAATGTAGCAAAGAAAACTACATTGTTGCATAATTTCTACATAATTCAGTATATCTTACTTTAAATATTTCATGTCTTTTGCATGTAAAAAGCAATAAAAAAAAGAAAAGAAAACGTTTGTCCAAACGTTTGTATATTGAATGACAAATGGACATAATAATGCTGGTGGCAGGCCTAGTTTTACCTTGATGGTGCTGAGGTCCATGGGGTGCTTGATGATGTCGTAGTAGTCGTGCAGGCCCAGAGCTTTGACGTCCACGGGCTTGTAGAAGGGCCAGGCGTAGGCCACGTGTTTCTTGGACAGCATCTCTTTGAGCAGGCGCGCGCATGACCGGAGCTGCTCCTGCCTCTTGGGGGTGGAGGCCCCAGAGTCCAGAGGCAGGCCAGGTTGGTGTTGAGAGTCCGGCTGGGACGTGTCGTGTCTGGGGCGTTTGGACAGCCAGCTGGTGTGACGCTGTGGGCGGGGCTCACAGGGCACAGGGGAGGACTCACTGTGCTGGTCGCTGGCAGTGGGCGTGGTGGTGTCAGCCTTCCTCTTCTGACTCTTCTTCTGCTGCTAACAACACAACACAAACAACACACATTGTTAGAGGGCCCCATATTACTATATTATTATTATATTAATGTTTCCTCATCACAATCATAGTCTTGTTTTGGGGAAAAAAATATAAAAATATATATATATATATATATATATATATATATATATATATATATATATATATATATATATATATATATATATATATATATATATATATGGGGTAGGTGAAAATAGAAATTTTCTGAACACTCGCGTCTCAGGACAATACAGGATTACGCTAACTTGAGGTTAGAGATAAATTATGAGAGAACACTCTCAAGAACATGATGATGATTATAATAATGATTTGTTACATCAGTCCAGATGTTGTAAGACTACGAGGAACAAAGAGAGATAAGAGGGCCCACTATGCTCTCCTGTGTTAAAGGGAAACACAGAAACACGGAAGTACCTTGATGAAAGGTGGAGAGCTCTGGAGCACTGGGGCCGGTTGGAGGGTTTGGTTTGTTGTGAGCGGAGCAGGAGGGAGAGAGGTCATTCCCTGGGTAAACAGGTGAGGCGTGTGCGAAGAGGGGGGCATGCGAGTGGAAGGCGGCAGAGCTGAGGGGCCCATGGCTGTGGGGCCCATGGCTGTGGGCCCCATGGCTGTAGGGCCCATGGCTGTGGGGCCCATGGCTGTGGGGCCCATGGCTGTGGGGCCCGGGGCCATGGGGACTGCCTGGTTCATAGAGGAGTAACCCAGAGTATGGGGGGTGCTGGAGGCAGACGATGTGTCTTGTCCTGAGTCAGACTTGATCACCGCTGGAAGAAAACAAAGCAAGCTGTTGTTAAAGTCAGCACTTTATGTTTTGTCCCAGCACAGATATATTGTAAAATAACTCATATGGAAAAAATGAGACCAATGTATACTGCCTGCGTCTAATTAGAAAGCCTTTGTATCATCCATAAACCAGGAAGTGCCTGTTAGTATGCTAGTGGTTAAGCAGTGAAAAGCACTTAGAAGCTCATTGCAGTGAATAATGAGGATGCCAGCAATGCAAAAGTGAGAAATAATTATTGCTCCAGCCAAATGAAGCTCATCAAAAAGGAGGATGGGGAATTTGGAGTTACATATTTGGAATTCTGACCATGATTGGTGTGTTATTAAAAGTCATATCTTGATTTAACAAAACAGTGAAATATAAACACCAGGATCACATAAAGTGGGTTAATACAAACATTTTAAGAACAGGGCAACAATTTTTCAATAGAAAGTGAATTGGAACAAGTTAGAGCCCGACCGATATGGATTTTGCTGTGGCCGATGTGAAACCGATATAATGGGAGTTGGCGCTGCCGATAGCCGATATAATCGCCGATATATTTAGTGATGTAAAAATTCACTGTAAATGTTGAATTGTTTAAAAAACTTAGGTTTGGCTATGGTGGATTTTAAATTGGGTTTATTTAGGCAACATTTATTGTTATTCTGCCTCTTTACATCATATTTACAGACAGTAGGTTGGCTTAATGGCATTTTTGCATCACATTCTAGACACTAGTGATGGGTATTCCAGTTCTTTTTAGAGAACCGGCTCCTTTGGCTCGGCTCACTAAAAGCTGCTGGTTCTTTTGGCTCCCAAGTGGCTCTTCAGATTGTTTTGTTGCAAGCAGGACTAAAGCACGTCTAAAGCAGGACTGAATCAGGACCGAACCAGGTCTAAACCAGGACTGAAAAAGGACTAAACCGGGACTTATTTATTTTATGCTAAACTACAGTCAAATATGCTCTTTTTTTTTTTTTTTTTTTTTTTTTTTTTTTAATCCTATGTACACGCAAATTTCTCAAAGTTTCGTTTTTAGCCGCTGCCGCTGTCAAACCACGAATCACGTGGCGTGAAGAGAAAAAAAGTGAGAGAAAGAGAAAACACGGCTCCCAATAAGGATCAGGCTCCCGTCGTTCCCTTCAAAGAGCCGGCTCTAAGAGTCATTTCGTTCGCGACGGACCCATAACTAGTAAAGAAAGTAGCGCTATTAGCCTTTAGCCGTAAATACGTGCGCGCCGCGGTAATTAATTATTTGCGCAAATGTCATAATTCACACGTCTGTTCACAGCTCATTTACATATCAGTGCAGGTCCAGTAGCAAATATACGGCCAATATAGTCACTTTAGAACAGACCAATAGAAAACAGTCTGTTTATGTGCGGGAGCTACAGCAGCTAACCCATAACAAATGACAAAAACTAGCTTCAGAGTCGACATATTTCCAACACTCACCGCTCATACAGGCTCCTCCTCACATCACAAATCTGCACTAATAAATGTCCTTTTAATCCAGACTCAAACCGATTGTCCGTAAAAAGAATATAATCTCAGTGTTTGGATCTGTGTCTGCAGGTGTAAACAAACACACGTGAGTGACGCGACTCTGTGGTGTGTTCAGGGACAGTACGGACACACACAGACAAATGACTCCGTAGATAAATACTGATGTGGAGCCACATATTAGGACATTTATCTGTCTGTAAATTGGATTAAATGAACAGAATGTAGAGAGTCTAAGATTTATAACGAGGTATAACATGCCCACGTGAAATATCGGCCCCTATCAGCAAGCATATCGGCCGATAGCCGATATGCCTAACGTTGCCCATATCAGCCGATAATATCGGCCAACCGATATATCGGTCGGGCTCTAGAACAAGTTAGAAAGTTTATCAAGTCTATGTTGTTGCCCCCATGTGCACGTTGCAGACAGGACACTCACCGGGCTCCCTCCCTCGCCTTCCTTTGGTCACCACAGCGATCTCGGTCTCCTCCTGAGGCATCTCTGTGATGAGCTGCAGAAAGAGCTTTTCCAGGGCCTCTGCCATCAGCACTATGTCCTCCCCGGGCTAGGCACACGGGGCAGCAGAGGGCATTATGAGGGCATCACTCTCACACGCTCTGTACATAGTGACCACTGCAAGGACATTGACCTCACCTTGTTGTAGATGTAACAGTTGGTGAACATGGTGTTGAAGTCATGCATGCATTCCTGTGCATTCCAGTAGTAGTGGTTCTCCAGGCGCTTCTTAATGGTGCCCATGTCCATAGGGTTCTTGATAATCTTATAGTAATCCTAGGGATACGATAAAAGAGCTTAGAAGAACACTAACACTGTAAAAAGTCCTTTCACGGCTATTCTTTGACACAATAAGAGCCTGAAACAAGAGGAAGATTAAAGAAGAGAGCGCATTTTAAATTTGGACAGACATATTGTGCCTTTGTCTGCTATACATAGTGCATCATTATGTTTTATTTTGGACATTTTAAATCACAATATACCAGTAGATCTAAAATGAAAAAGTGCAAAACTTCTTTGGTTGAGAGTCCATCTCCGTGGAGATGTTATTGCTTTGTCTGGAATGTTTCACAGCATGGCACTAAACCTTTCTGTCTTCATGGAAACCAAACCAGATCAAGTTACAGGTCAGATCTGTGGAGAGGCGACCCCGCTCACAGTCAAAATGCCAGCTTTTAGGTATTTAGTTATAAAACCACCTGCAATTGAATAAATGTAAGGTAGAACAATTTAATGGCACAGTGTGGAACATTCCAAGCAGAGTAATGACATCTCCATAGAAATAAGCAGGTGGTAGACTCCCAACCAAAAGGTGCACTAGACACTGGTGGACACTGCCTTATATCTGCCTGAAGGACAGCAAACAATATGATCAGAACAAAAGAAGCTGCGAGCTGTGAAATGTCAAAAACTTGTGTACAGAGACAGAAATGAATTTCTCCTTTGCTATGGATCTTACTTGGATGACTGAGGGATTACACACACATTAGAAATGGTAAATGAGAAAGAAAGAAATGCATTTTAAATACAATACAATTTTAAGACAGTATGAGTGAATGAGCGGATTGGATAACTTTAGTGTATTTGGAACTATGACTTACTAAGACTACTAACCACAAAAATACAAGGTTCCAGTTTGACCATACAAAGACATGTGAGCACTTACTGGGAGGTTGAGTTTAACAGCATCTACGGGGGCTTGGAAGGGCCAAGCGAAGTGGTGTTTCCATAAAGTCTTGAGCACAACTTTAAGCAAGTACTGAAGGAGAAATGAGACTGCGTGAGTTTACAGTACATCCACACACAGCTCCACCCCAGGACCTTGTGACCCCTGCAAACTTAAACTTTGGATTTGTATAGGTCATTGTAAGAAAGCTAACACAACTTAATCCTTAAAATAAAGGTTATGACTTTTGACTTTTCTTTACAAACATGTATTAACTCAAATGAAAACAGCTTCAGTAACTCATAACAGGATTGTGGCTTAATCACAATTTCCACAGACACAAACAGCACAAACAGGGACTTTGTCCTGGTGAAAGGAAGATCAGACAAAGGATCATGAGGAGACAGAAATTGTCTCATACTAATATATCAACAATATTATCAGTGGCTGATTGATTTTTCCAGTCAAACTGATTATGATTATTTTTATTATAAAAAGCCTTTGGATTTTGAAGCAATTTTTGTTCACATTTGAAAATGACTTCAAATAAATCTGTGGAAGTTATTAGATTTTACCATGTCAAATCAGCGGAGTGAATAATTAGGATGCTAGGAATGTATAAGGTAAGTGAGGAATAACTTTGGACCACTGCAAAGTGTTTAAAATGAACGAGTTCTGTTTGTCATGTTTTCAATAGAGTAAAAATCAGGTACAGCGCCTTTAACCATAAACCAAGATAAAACATCCCTTTATGACAGTTAAAAGGTCAATTCTACCATAGAATTCTGACTTCTTAAACTATAAGTATCAGTGTAAGTCCAGTGTGATGTCATTTCCGGGTTCAAGGAGCATCAGCTGATAATGTTTACAATTCCCTTGTTTTTAGCGACACATCACATCAAAAAGAGATTGCAGTCATTTAAAGCTAACAAGGTAACAGAAAGTATACAGGGTTGAGGTAAGATGTAGAGACTGGCAGTTAGTGAGATACACACTGGTAATCTTATGTTATGTTAGATTATTACTACATTATTTACATATTTGATTAGATAAATGGACATAGCTAACCCTCTAACCAACGTGATTCCAACTTTACAATTCTGAAGTTTGTCACCTCTCTCTCTGTAACCGCTGCATCATTTTGATCTTGAAATGAGTTCAAAGACATCACAGAGGGTAACCAGCTGTATGCTAACAAATATCCATAAAGCGGTTGCACATTTAAAACAGAAGATTCAGCGAGGTGTTTGAAACTTAGCAGTTTCTAAAGTTTCAAAAATAGATTTTACATGAAGTTGTAGGTCTTGTGTTCATTAATTACCACATAACTGATATTAGCCCTGAGCTTTCAAACTTTTAGTATCTTTTTTCTGAAAGTAAGAAATTTACTTCTGAAACCGGGGGTCACTGTTGAGTAACTGTCCGTAACAGTTTTTAATTATAATAGATTGCACACAATTTCAATGGGTAAACACACTCCTACCCCCAGTTTGACCCTGCCTTGGTCATTTCTCTCTGGGATTAGTTGGTAAATAAAATGGCTTCTGTCATAGAAATAAAAAGAGTCCCATCACTAGGCAGTACCTGCAGTTGGTTGGTTTGGCGCTTGGGCCGTGCCGGGTCACAGGTCTCAGGGGGTGGGGGGTTCCAGAGCAGGGCGGGGGTGGAGAGGAGGGGCACTCCACTCTCCGAGGCGTCCCCCATCTCTCCTCTGGCCTGAGGCGCTATAGCAGACAGGGCAGAGGGGCAGACAGGGCAGAGGGATCACCCCATCAGAAGCATTAGCATCAGGGCAGCACAGAACGCTCTGGAAGACAACACACAGCATTCAGTGAAAGCAAAGTCTATGGCACTGGAGGGCATGTAGACAGGGATGGGAAAAGAAGAGGCCAATGTCACACTGGTGCTTTTACTTGATGGGCAGACCTCCATGTTTGGCCATGTTTGTCATTACACCAATGTACACAGACACTGGCGTGGAGTGTAAGTGTCTTGCCCAAGGACACAATGACAGTATTCAGTTGGGACGGACAACATTCCAGTGATAATTTATACTTTGCAGCTGACACCATCAACATTCCCTGGGTTTATGATGCTAACTAGAGGCACTGCTCTGGCTTTAAAATTTGACCCTATAAAGATCTGACTTAGTTGGAATTACAACAAGTGATGTGTTTTCATTAAAAATCTAACTCCTAAACAGGACCATGGATGTCTGTATTGAAATCACAGACTCCTGAAAATGTGTGGTTTATATCCATTGTATTTTTTCTTTAGTTTTAACATATTTTTGACAGTGTTTTACACAATTATTCTAAAATACAATATTTGATCATTTATTTTATTCACAAACATTATACCAGCACTACTGTAAATATGCCATTAAACCACCAATGGCTCAATGGCATATTAACAGTAGTGCTGGCGCTTCTAAGTAAGGTGTTTTTCATCATTACTCCCTAACATACATGAACATTCACACAGACAGTGGCTTCCTCCTTTCTGCATCACTCAAGGAAAAACTAAAACACGACACACGCCAATCCATCTTTCCCTTTCCTAACTATATACACTATTTCTAAATCAAATCAGAATCTCCATAAATAAAGGGTTCATGTATGAGAGGAATGTCCTCCACACCCAGGTGTGACTAGATATGTGACCATTTACTAGTACATATTACTCATAAGTATTCATAAAATGTGAATATCATTTTTTTTGTCACTAGTGTCAGAAAGTCAGACCTGTATATCATATAGCCTCAGGACAGTGAAGCATGATATTTGAATTGTAAAATGTGTTCTCGTGATCAGATGTTTTGTGGTTGATGGGAGGGCACATTTAGTGCTCTGCAGACAAGAAGTAACTTTGACATCACTAACTCAGTCCCACTCCTGACCTCAGCTGGACTGAGGGCTGAAGTACCTCATACACTCTGGAACATGGTGTAACCTCCAGTCTGCTGTAACCTTTAACATGACCATAGACACTAAAGGTGCAGTGCTGCTTCCCTGCCTGATTCCATGGATAATCCCTATACATTTAATGTGGATTTTTGGCTGATCCATAACTCTCCATTAGGACAAGTGAGTGAGTGTGGCCCCAGAGGAGCGGTAGGACATGGGCAGAATGTAGGGCCTGTCCTATACTCTACAAGGTTACGTGAGCGCACTATTGTGTGTTACCCTCGGAAAAGGGCCGACATAAAGCATTAACAGTAGTTAGTATAATGACAGTGCATGTGTCCGTACACTACAGCAGTGTGTTTATGTGTGAGCGGGGTTCAACACAGGCAGAGGGCCGCTACCAGTGTTTGAGAAGATCACGTAGATTTGTCCCGAGCTCCTGCGCCACAGAGCGCGGCCTACGGCGCAGAGGAGGCGTAAGCTGCGTCCTGAATACGGACTGTGCCCAACATAAACATCCGGCTAGCAGTAGCATGCTAAAGGCTATTGCTAACGCGCGCACTGACAGCGCAGTGTCGGTCGCGGACAACGCACACGTACAAGTATAACAGGCGGAACTCCAAAGCACACAGTATGAGCCACAGCACCGAACAGTCATCAGAACAGAGCCGCTAGCTGCGCCCCGAGCCGGCCTTGAGCTGCCCGGCCTGTGGACAGCTCCTGCTCAGCTCCACTGACACCATGCCCCGGCACAGTGACAGCGCGCCGGGGAGGAGCGGGACAGGCGTGCGGGACACCTCTCGAGCTATAGCACCGCGACTAGAATGCGCTCCTGACGGATCCAGAGCCAAAAGAGCCGAGTGTACCTGCTACTGTGAGCTGTCAGCGCACACTTCAGCCTCAGCCAAATCCAGAACAAACAGTCCCGACGCTCTCACGTCACCCACGTCACACGCACCGGGACGAGCCGAGCGCGTGACGCGCGCATCACGCTACACTCGTGAGAATCAGCGCCACCCTGTGGAGGAACACCCACGCACTCTGCACCCATACCCTGTGCCTGCAGTGTGGGCACACAAAAGGGCTGGTGTTGGGGGGAGAGGTCTAAATCTAAAATCTAAAATTTAAATAGCATTGGTTCTGATAATATCCACACAGACACACATCTGCACAAAGCAGACCTAAACTGAACACTACCAACATGTTACTTTACACATTTCTCAAAATAAAACAATCAAGTTCTTTTTTTTTTCTGAATGACATTTATTTTAGAATGAAAGACGATGTACAACAACTTTTTGGGAGAGAATTCACTATCCCCATGTACATGCTGCCACAAAGAGACAGCAACAACTAAAGGCAAAAACGATGAATGTAATTATCCAGGCCCTTCATTGTGTTCACAAGCTGAGGGACATGAAGATTCTGCTGGTTACAAACCTTCATCCAAAAATTTAAAAAATATACATGGAAAAGAATTTAAGTTAAAGCAGTCCGAACAGCAATCCTGTTCTTTTATCCCAATCATCTGTCTGGTCCCCAGCACACAGCAGAAGGAGTAACATTAGAAAGCACAAAGTGACTCAAATGGGTTTCACTTTACAGTCTAGTAAGTGAATGCCAAACTATTAAAAAAAAATGGGCATGGACGAGGTTGGTGAGCAGGTGGTGGATTGTCCTACTAGAGATTATTCTGCAGGCTGGTCCACTTCCTCAGCGGGGAGCCCCTCTTGCACATCCAGTCCCTCTGGGAGCTCATCACGGACCACAAAGGAGCAGTCCTCCTCGTCGCCCAGCTCGAAGCCCTCCTCCTCAGGGTGGAACTCTGCATCTTCAGCCTGATCCACGTGGTCCTCCTTTGCCAACCCTGCCCCTAGCCCTGCCTCTGCTTCCTCTTGCTCTGGGCCCTCAATCTCTAGGCTCAGAGGGGTTTCCTCCAGGGCATCAGAGGGAGTGAGGCCTTCCAGTGGCTGGCTGTCTGCCTGCTCCCCACTCAGCTCGGTCCCGGACACATCCATGGCCATGGAGTCATCTGGCTCCTGCTCATCAGGGTTATCAAAGAAAGGGTTCTCCCCCTACAAAACAGCAATGCACTAGTTTATCCTCACCAGCAGTGAAAGCAACCAATATCTAACAATTATACATTTGAAATCATCTTACTTATGTATGCAGTATATGTTTTAAAATACAACAATGTAATAAATATTGTACGTAAAGGTCCTATATGAATGCAAATGTGATGCTTTATTTTTCATGTTACCTCATCGAAAAAAAAAAAAAAAAAGACCTGGAGTTGCGTTTTGTTTCATTCACACCTGTTTGAGTAACTCTTTATTATTATTAGTCTGTCTACATCTCCAAAGGTCAAAATGCTCTGTTCCACCTTGTGATGTCATTAAGTGGTGGTTTAAGTTAACAGCTACCATTTACCTTTTGTTTAATAGATTGGCAATTCCAATGCTGGACTTACCTAAATTAAGATGTATGGAGTACTTCCTGTCACATGACATCACAAAGTAAAAGAATGTGTTTTCCTTTTGAGAGAAGAACTAAGTACACAGGGTTTGTGTGTTTAACATGAGTGAATGAAACAAAACACAACCCCAGTAATATTTTTGATGAGGAAACAATAATACAACAGATCAGATGAATAATGTAATATAGACCCTTAAAAACCCTTACAATACTTTTAGCAATAACAGAATGTTAGACCCAAACCTTAAGGTAGCTCTCCAGTTTCTTCCCAATGACTTTGTGGTTGAGGATGCTGCGGGCAACAGACAGACTGGCTCTCTTGGATTGCTCCATCATGGCCTACAACACAACAATGAGGGAGATCACAGCAAAAGGTTCACATGGTACACTGTGAAACATGAAGCATGAGGACAATGCTACGCAAAAGAGAATCTTGTGAAATGTAGAGGCCATAAGCAGAAAAGCAGTCGCCTCCCAGGACTAAGCAAAATGGTTGATGTGAAACAGTTACTGGTCAATGACAAACAGGCAGGCAAAAGAACCAATATTCACAGGAAACAAGCACATAGAGAACTGTCCCAGAGCGCCTCCTGTCGTGATGTGGGCATTGTTTTGGCACTAGACCAGGAGTGTCAAACTCATTTTGGTCCAGGGGCTGTATCCAACCTATAACCCAAAGGGGCCAGAAAAAAAAAAAAGGCACATATAGCCCAAAAATAACAATAAGTTCAAATATTTGTGCAGAGAAACACAAATCTATTACAGATTTTTTTTAACATAAGAACTTTTTCTTTTACAAAATATTATAATATTATGAACAACCTGAAACTTTAAGAAAAATGCAATTTCAACACAATGTTTTAACATGAACTTGTATGAAAATAGTATTAAGTCCATTTTTCTTGGAAAATTCTGCACTCGGCTCCACTTTTCTCATTTTGGACATTTTGTTGATGAGGGTGTTATGGTCAACAGTCAAAACGATCGTCCTTTAAGAGCGCTGAGAAAGAAACAAGTCTTCATTTGTGCTGCTCTGGTGGGAGGGGCCACGTACAATGGCACTCTCCAGTGCCTCTGCTATGTTATATTACCAATATTTTAATAGAAAATATAATTAAAATATTTTAGTAGAAAATCAGCCAAGGGCCAGATTAAAGGTCTTGGAGGGCCATATGTTTGACACCCCTGCACTAGACAATGTCTGAAATGTATGCATAGCTTTAAGACTGACATACGTTAAGTAGTGTCAATATTTGCATTTGTGTAATATGTCGATGCCGCAGGTGCCCGATAAGGCTCAAGATAGAGCTCAAAAAATCTTTAGCCCCCATCCAACATTGGGCAAAAATACCTCCTTCTTTCATTTTGCTGACCTCTGAGAGTCATGTCGTGATGTCAACTATACAGACAAAGAAGGAGGAAGAAGTGAGGAGAAGGAGCCATCACTGTTTTAGGTGGATCCAGATCCTCCTTACCTGCAGCAGGAACAGCTGCTGTTAAGTCAAAATTATAGTATATTATGGGAGACGTTGTAGCTTGGCTAGGAACCTGCTGTGCATCTTGTGCTAAAGGAGCTAAGGAAGAAAGTATAATGTCGCCTTTCCTTACTCTTTCCTAACTTCACCGATCAGTTCAGATGCAGATTGTCCTTGTCATGGCTGACGATGACACACGTCAGGGTCAATGATGAGGAAAATAACTTTTTATGTACATTTAACCTATTTCGGATGGGCACTTTGTCCACAGATAAAACACTGACCCCCTTGTGTCTCCCCCTGGTGGTGAAAGAGTGCATGTAGTGCCGTACCTTTCGATTGTAGTTGTGGTCTGGAGACTTGAGGTGCTTCTGGATGAGGTGGTTCTGCATGGGGATGAACAGGTCACAGGCAGCGCAGTGAGCTGCCTCCACCTTTCTGATGAAGTGCTCCAAGCCCAGGTCTGCACGCATGCACACACACAACAGAACACACACAACAGAACACACACAACAGAACACACACACATAGAAAAGGATGAGATGGCATTTTAATGTCAAATGTTTTTAGAGGCTAAACCATGATTTTTAATGTACACATTGACCTGTGGAACACTCTGAATTGAGTACACATTTATCAGTGTGGGATGACTCTCTCTGAAAGCAATCAGGACATTAAAGGGAATACTCCAAGATGATTGGTTGAAGCATCACAACAGTGAAATAAGTGTAAAAAGTCAACCTGTTATATCTACCTTGTCCACAAAACAACAAACTGCTTCCCTCTGCCCATTTTTCACAAACAAGATAAACTGTATTTTCCCTAAAATATGCTGAAGTACATCTGTACTTGACATCACCATGTTTGTTTTGGTTCTTCTGGACACTTCTGCTTTGGTTTCTGCCCAATCCATATTGCTGTACTGTGATTGGTCCCATCTCTGACCCACATCCTGCTCACCTCTGGTCAGATCCTGCTTCCTGTACACCTGGCAGATGGATGCAGAGTGGTTCTCTAGCTGACCCACACGGTACTCAGTCTTCCTCAGCTTGTTCTGCAGATACTCCTATGACAGAGGAAGTACCAGAGATGAACAACACACAACCACAAGTTATTTCTGCGTTTTCTGTCAGAGATTAAGGCCCTCTTCCAGGGCAAAGAAGAGTCAGGTTTGTGGAGATGCAAACCCACTCCAAGAACAACAAAATAACCAAAAAAACATGCTTTTAATTTAGTCTATTGTTTGGCTAAAATGTTATATACTGTGGCTTTAAAGTTTGGTCCTGAAACAGTTTGCTTGGTGTACCTGCAGGAAGTCCATGGTGGGTTTGGACAGGTGATTTTGGAGAAACTTGAAATGGTCTTTATGGAAGCGGCTGGTGAGGTGGGCTTCCATGTCCTCCTTGTAGAAAGAGCGGAACTTGCACACTGAACAGGTAAACATCACCCTGAGGAAGCAAAGAGGATGGCATGACATCAAGAAGAAAAGGAGAAAAATTCTGTATATGGGTTTGACTTCCTGAAATGAGTGACAAAAAATTAAATAAAATAAGATATTTTTGATGTATCTGACCCAAACTGCACTCACAAGACACCTGTAGGAGAGTTAATGCAAAAATACTGTTTATGAGGAAAAAGGACTAGGGAACTATGTATTAATATAAAAAATAGTTTACATTTATGAATCACAAGTTTGTCTGCCTTTTTCCATGTAAATCCCTTTAGCTTTAGCTGACTCACTCACTTGGGTTGTTAAATAAATCCTTATGATCGAAATTAAATTACATACAAGTTTTGGACACTAATGACAAATTAATCCACTAAATGACTAAAGGCCGACAGCCCTAATAATATGGAAAATCCACTTCCAACTCTGTTATTGTCAATAGTAGTAGGTGTACATAGTGAAATAGTGGGAAAAATGGTTATACAATTCATGCCATGTACAGTGGCTAATGTAACTGGCTCCCAACGGTCACATTTGCAGTCACCGGTCATCTCCATGGAGATGTCATTGTTTGTTTTTTTATGTTTTGTTTTTTCTTCAAAGTTCCACAGTATTGCATTAAATGTATTTTTTTCCGTTTATTCAATTACAGGCTTGAAATACCATGAAAAACATACTTCTTGCTGCCTCTCCACAGATCAGACCTGGTGTCTTCAATTGTTTTTCTCAATTGAACTAGACAAGTTAAAGCTGCTACATTACTCTTGCTTAAAAACATGTAAACATGTGATAAGGTGGTTACCTCCTCAGAAACAGACCTGGAGTTGTGTTTTGTTTCACTCACACGTGTGAGTGACCCTTTATTATTAGTCTGTCTACATCTCAAAATATTTTGTTCCACCTTTTGATGTCATGAAGCTACCTTTTATCTTTTGTCCAGGAGAGATGGGCAATTCCAGGGCTGAAATTGTGCAAAGGATTCTAGTGAAGGTGCATGGAGTTTAAAAACAAAGTAGAGCACTTCCTATATGACCACATGACATTACAAGGTGGAAGTGAAGAGTGTTTTCTGTTTGAGAGAAGAACTATAGTCTATATAGGCAGGCTATAAACATGTGTGAATGAAACATAACATAGATCAGAAAATAGTATAATCTAGGGCCTTTAAACGCTATACTGTGGAATATATCAAGTAGTTTGTTGAAGCCTCATTTTGGCAGTGTGCTTACCGGTCGATGAAGCCCCTCCTCTTCCTCATCCTCTGGTGGTGGCTCTGGGCTGCTGGGCTCTGTTTGCTCTGGGTCTTGCTCCCTTGGCCTCCGTCCTCTGCCTTTGGCTCAGCTAATGAGTGACAACACCTTTAGGTCAATGAAAACACACTAAAACACCAGAAACCAAAGAGAAGATTGTGAGAGAAATACCTTTCTCTATAGCTTCAGTGGCTGGCCTGTCCTATGAGGAGAGAACAAGCCATTAAAGTGGGACCTTTTCATTATAATCTAAACTAGGGATGCACTAATAATGGAATCGGATATCAACTTCCACATATCTGTTTAGCCGATATCTTGGTTGGACATATAATCTGATGTAATAAGACTATTTACTGGTGGTTTTATTTACACAAAGTTGTTCTGTAGTCACTTGTGGGACAAATAACCACAAATAACACATTTGGATCACTTTTGTCTTATTTTATTTTTATTTAAAGTGTTTTCAGTCTCTGCACCATTATCATTGGATCTTAGATATCGGCACATACTAAAAGCTACTGTACCTAAACTGGTATCGGAACTGGAAAAGTTGGTCCGTGCACCCCTACTCTAAACTAGTATCCCTCAAACTTTTCAAAGAAAGTACCACCAAAGCAAAAATTAGGCTTTCAGGGTATGACCACATATAAACAGAACTAATCTTGAGCTAAACCAGGTCTAGACCAGGTTTAAAAGACCAATGTAGTTTTAAACAAGAAATTATCCAAAATAGGGCACAAAAGTGAATAAAATTCTTTGAGAAACACGGCTCTAAACTAAACTCTCAAAGACTACTTCTACACCTGCATCAGTTGCTACATTTAAAAGTGAAACTAAGATCAGCTTCTGTCAAAATGCTAAACCGTGTGGAATAGGCAGTTTGAGCAATGACATGTTCACAACCATTCAGGTGAAGATGTAAAAATGTTCAAGAGCCTTAATTATGGTTCATGTTAATGTCATTTATCTTGGATGAATTGAATACTTTTTTTGATCCTGAAGGAGCTGCTTTAAATGAAATGAGATGTTGAAAGACCGGTACCTGCTCAGCCTTGGAGTCCTCCCCATGTCCGTTCTTGTCTTGTGTGTCTGGGGGAGCACAGGAGACAGGTGTGAGTGCACAGATGGCAGGTGCCATGACAGGGGCAGTGACAGAGACAGCAGTGAGGGTGAATGCAGTACCTGGAGGATCACCAGCACTTCCTGCTAATTCAGTTTTGTTTATTTTCGACTCAGGCTCATCTCCTTCTGAATTCTGCCGCCTCTTCTTCTGTGGCTGTGGTTTGACCTGCTATAGCACACAATGCTCTTTAACACATGCTGCCTCATAAGTTCACTGCACCAGGGCACTAAGTTACCACTGTTACGTTACCACTGTTACGTTACCACTGTTACGTTACCACTGTTACGTTACCACTGTTACGTTACCACTGTTACGTTACCAGTGTTACGTTACCACTGTTACGTTACCACTGTTACGTTACCACTGTTACGTTACTGTCAGCAGAAAACACTGTGCATGTAGAACACGTGAGAAGAGAGAAAAGGGCCAAAGTATTGGCCTTGCCCTTGTGGGTCGGTGTAGGGGACATGTGGAGGGACCAGCTCAGATAGAGGGCAGTCATGCATGCTGAGCTGCCGCTCCTATGCTTATATGGGCTCTGTGTGGGCACTAGTTCAGGAGCTCTCAGACTATGGAGGTACTTACTTTGTTGAGGGGTCTCTTGCGGCCTCGCTGGCGGCCGGCCCGTGGGCCCCCTCCAAAATGCCTCCCGGGGAAGTCATGAGGACCCTGGCTGGGACCCTGGCTGGGGCCCTGGTGGAAGCCCCCGCTCTCAGGGTACATGCGGTTGGACAGGAGGGATGGGAGCTTGCCTCTACCACCTCCTGGAGATTGGCCCCTGTGGCCCCTGTGACCACCGAAGCCCCCCGTGCTGCCGCCCCGTCTGGGGCTGTGGCGGTTGGCTGAAGCCCATCCTCCAGAGCTGGCTCCCTGGCCCCCGCCGAAGGGCTCCCTCATATTCGTTCGCATTTTAGCGACTCCGTATGAGGAATAGTCATCAAAGCCCGCCCCTGATCCCATCCCCATCCCTCCTCCGTAGCCAGAGCCTCCGCGGTGAGCCAACAGCATGTTGTCACCCCTGCCATCCCCGTAACCATAGCTACCAGATCTGTAGAGATCTCGGGAGGAGGCCATGGAAGAGCGCGAGTCCATAGACTCATACTGGTCATACCTGTGGGAGGAGGAGAGCAGTCAGACAGAAGAGGTGTTGGAGCCAGGAGCACAGCTCTGCTCCGTGCTCTCAGGGGCCCTCGCAGTCCAGCACACATGTGACAGAGGAGCACTACACAACCACACACAAATCATACACCGGGCTCAGGGTGAGGGGTGAGTGCAGCTTTGGTCAGGCTCATTTCAAGGCTGCTTTAGCACCCATAATGGCTGGATGTTCAACTCTAGGTTGAGCCAACAAATGGAATCAATTCATAGCTCCATGAACTACAGCCACAAAGGAAGGCGAGTTCAAATGAAGGGGAAACACAATACTCAAATTGGATGTCAGCAAGTACATTCTGCAATACTCAAAGTTCTAGGCTCACACACTTTGGTCTATTCCCAATATAAACAAAGTAGGTTTGACTCCCTGCAGGGGGCCTGTGGGCTCACCTGTCCCCCTTCACACCGCCCTCCAGCTGGGACAGCATGTCCAGTCGTTCATTGATCTTGGCGATGACCGCATCAGCGTGAGTCCCTGTGGACGACAGGAGGCATGGAGCATTTGTACTGTGTTTAACAGAACCACTGAGTAGGTTCTGCCCAATATCAAGCTACAGCCCAGTCCCAAGTGAAGCACTTCATTGTGCACAATGTAGATTAGCCTGTGTTTTAGCACTGCAACAACTTTAATAACTCCAGCAAGGTTTTGTAGTTGTGCTAAAAACATAGTTACAGAGTGTGTAAATATATACATGATTCTAAAAACTGTCAGCCTTACCTCTGCTGCCAGGGCCTCCACCTCCCCAACTACAATAACCTGAACACAACAAAACATGCATTAGTCAAACTCTAATAAAAAAAAAAAAAGACAAAGTCATTACATAAACCCCAGAACCAGAACACCTATGCAAGGCTACTCTTTGTTGATTTTAGTTCGGCCTTTAATACGATCCAGCTGTTCAAACTTCAGGCCAAGCTACACCATCTTGGACTGAACAACTCACTTCTTGACTGGTGGAACACAGAGGGTTGGAGTGGACAAGCATTTCCTCCACCCTTCTTATTAACATCGAGACCCCCAAGGATGCCTGCTCAGCCCTCGACTCTGTTCACCCTTGATTGCTCTGCCTCTTCTCCTTCTAACCTCATTGTTAAATTTGCCAATGACACCAAAGTGCTCTGACTCATTAACAACACTGAGCCAGTTTACAGAACTGAGGTGGTTCTCAAGCTGCACTAAGGTCGATCAGCACACTCCAGCCGGTGGTAAAAAGAGCGGGGAAAATTATTGGGACCACTCTTTCAGAGATTAGTACCATCTGTACACCCGCTGCCTGAAGAGGATATGTAACATCCTGCATCACCAACACCATCCTGCCCACCACCTCTTCCACCTGTTGCCCTCAGTAAGAAGGTACAGGTCCATACACACCAGAACATTTAGACTGGCTCACAGTGTGTACCCTCAGGCAGTGAGGCCGCTGAACAGTGCAGTACCCCCTTCCCTGCCCTCCTCCTATGGTCAGTAAACCACATCCACCCAGTACAATAACTGTGAACTGGACTTTGCATTGCTGCAACAGGACATTTAAACACACATCTGACTGGTTGCCCCCTTGTCCTTGATGTCCCAGTTCTTTTGTTGTGATTTTTTGATATACCCCTTTGCTACTGCACTGATATTATTACTAGTACTGTATGCTAATGTTTACATAGTGGGTGTAATGTTTACGTGGTGGTGTCATAGGGTGGGTGCTTTACACTATTATGCACATTTAAAATACTACACAGTCTGTATGATGCTCTAACGTAATTTCGTTGTTATTTTATATGACAATGACAATAAAGGAATTGAACTGATAAACAGTATCAATAATCACCCCGCGTACTCTCTAACAGCTGGAACAATCCCCTCCAGTGCATTAGTGTGTTACAGATCGTGCAGGTGAGAACACAGAGCTCTTTGGCTAACATGGGGATACTCAACAATGAGCTAACACTCCGTGTAAAATGGACCACGGGAGTGTGATCTGTGCACCTACTGCACACACATGAGCGCGGTCACATCTCCTAATAAGACCACGTGCTAATAATGTGAACACTTACACACAGGCTTAATACACACGCTTGTGTTTTAGAATGCACATAGTTGCCGCTAACTGGACTAGCCTAGCCCCTAGCAGCCGCATTAGCTCGTCTGCAGAGGGGTGTGGCGTTGGACGACTAAACGCTAAATGTGCAGCTTTAACGCAGAAGCCGCAGACTGTAGGCGCAGAGAGCGCTGCATATGTACCAGATCCGTATCCACGGCCGTCCATGGCGCAGCGCGGTCCCCGTGTGCCTGTGGTCTGCAGGAGTGGAGCACGGTGGGGTTAGTGGGGTTGGTGGGGTTGGAGAGTCTGGAGAGAGTCTGGAGAGAGAGTGAAGAGAGTGGACAGTGTGGAGAGCAGCGGCGCAGTGAGGAACCAGCGGCGCAAAGACTAAAACCACTGACGGCGCGCCACTACCACCTGCCGGCCTGGAGAGGGATAACAGCCTACAGTTTGTGCACGGGGGCCGGGGACGCGGAAGGGGAGAGGGACACTGAAAGCTCATAGGTTTATCAGGAGTCATCGCTTACTTTAAGATCTCTCATGTGTGCCATAGTGTATTGTGTAGGCCTTAGCATAGTAGAGCCTGCCTAATAATTTAGTCTGTCTTTTGATTGTGGCCCTTGATGAAAAAAAGTTTGGACAACCCTGAGCCTAATAAACTGGGACTGCTGCACATGCATAGTCCACTGCACAGCCTCATGTGAAAAGCATGAGGAACCTTTTGAACTCTTCTGTCACGTTCAGCTGTGGCATAGGCCTACATCCATATTATAGACTAAGACTACTGCCCTGGGGCAGACTGACAGACGAGTGGCTGCTGACCTGTGTCGAAGGACCTTCATACCACTAACCACACCGTCATATATAGACCTGCAGACAAAGTGGGGGAAGTGCCTTGCTTAAGGACACAACAACTCTAGGCCTACATGATAAAAACTAGAATCAAATTACCAACCCACATATTAGGCCTACTTAGATTAACACCTCTTTAGGCCAGTGGTGTCCAGAGCTGGCCCAGGAGCCAAATGTGCCCCCAAATCAGTTTTTATTGGCCCTCAGGGATCTTGCTGGTTTGACACAAATGATCATAGGCAGTACTTTTTTAAATTGCAGAATATATCACTGTGATCTGTTGAAGAAGAAAAATTCCATGTTCATATCTGGTTTGCTGTAGTGGTGTCTTTATTGGTTGGAAGTTGAATGTTGTAAGCAGGCAGATGGTGAGCTTCTGACATGCATGGTGTCTCTGGAGCAAGCTGACCATGAGCAAAGGTAAAGCAAGCATTTTATACACAAGAGGTGGGTAAAATCTGCAGATTAACATTTGGCGCAATTTCACAGCAATAACAAAGCCCCCTCATAAACCCCCTTTTGGTAAAATACTGATCATTGTTTCAAAAGATGAGCATTTCAAGTACAGCTGAGATCAGGAAGGACAGCAGCAGCAGGGGGCAACAGGTGAAGACCCCAGGGCCTTTGATGGTGTCATGGGTAAAGTCTTTAAGTGTAAAACACATCACATGTATTCGTTAACCAGAATGAAAACTAAAACCAGAGAATAATTACTTTTCTTCCACAGACCACAACTCCAAGATGTTTTAAATGTTTTATATACCATAATTCTAATATTGTTTTTTTTATAATTATTTATTTTATTTCATTCATAAAGTATAAAAAGACATCAAGAGTGTCACAACATCTGACATACAAGAAATGAATGAAAAGGAGCAGAAAGAAGAGAAATCGTATGTTATTTGCCCACTTTTTTTTTATACTTTGTTCCTGTTTTAGCCACACACACCCATAACCTTGCTTTGCCAATTCCATGTAAACCTGTAACTACAATATCTGCAATAAAGTTCACTGGTGCACCAGCCCTCTCTGTGCCCACTCTCTGACCAGGGTCCCTCTCGCAGATTTTTATCAAATCAGCAAACACCAGAGTGTCCCACTCTATCACAATTTCTAATGAGTGAATCACAGTGTTGTGTTGAAAGTATTAATTTTTAGACCATCCTAGAGCATGTTAAGGGGCCTGTGCATAGCACACACATAATCCATAAATATTATCACACTTTAGTCAATTAGAATATGGCTATTAAATGCACTAGAAAACAGGAAAAATGTCTGTTGTATTCAAAATGTTCTGATCTGAGTACTGCAGATATATTTAGTGTAGATGTTGACAGCGGGGTGTCATGTTGTGACATGTGAATAATCACTTGACCCCGAGTGGCAATGAAGTGGCAAAGGGCCATATCAGATTTTCCTTAGGGCCCCCTTAGATCCTGCTCAGTGCGGCCCTCTGTGAAGACATTTGGAAATACCTGCCTAAGGTCTACCACTGAGGTCTGATTTGTCATTGGATTGTTGAACAGGTGGACTGGATTCCACCTGATCAACCTGTTGCCTTCTGACAGGAGCTTCAGGTCAATTCCAGCAAGGACCAACAGACTCAGGGACTTCTTCCCCAAAGCTGTCACCATACTGAATGAGAACTGTTAATTTGTTTTATTTATTTAGTTTAATTCTTGTACTTTGAAAGAGCAGCTATGAATTTCATTATACTGTATCATGACAATAAAGGCTTTCTATTCTATTCTGTTAGTCAGCAGACATCAGGGGGCGCCAATAGCTCAAAAGTATTTCTTGGTAAGTAGACTTATGTAGTAGGCCTAGGTACACACAGGGCTGCTTACAATAACAATATATTGTACAGTCATCAGCTCGATAGAAACTTAAACTTCCACCAACCAAAACATCTCTAAATGTAGTGTGATTTTAATTATGGCGTGCACCACACTAAAGAGTATTATTAACCTAAGAGCATTAGCATAACTTTCGTGCAAAGTCTCACTAAACTCTGAACTTCTCCTGCTAACCAGCCCATGGGCGGAGTTACAGAGCTGACGCTGCTGTCGCTGCAATCCCAGACCGGGCACAAGCTCTTCTGTGCGGCCGAGACAGGGGCGCAGGGCTCGGTCAGATCACCTCCGACCCACCGCTGCTTGAGCTCGGTTTTTCCGCAGAGTACAGGCAGACTCCGGGCGGCAGGGCACTCTCCCTGAGGCGGATGTGAGAGCAAACTGCGTGAGTGGGCAGGCCATATTTATACAGTCTATGGGGCAGACTTTACGCACAGTTTATCTGGTAGATGCGCTCCGCGTTATCAGCCGTGGACACGCGCTGCCGCTCCTCCATCAGGCTGTGCGCGCATCAGTTTCTTCAGGAGGAACCTGTTTAGATAGTGTAGAGTTTGTCAGGTTGTCGCCTGTCGTCGCCTCTTGTAGGAGTTGAAGAGTTACGGCCACATTGCAGACTATTGAGTCATCCCAAAGCAGCGGGTAAGTGCCTCCTCTGTGTAACGCGCTGTTTCTGTCTGCCCTGCTGTGACCTGCACTAGGCCTGTGATGTGTGAGGGCCCAGCTGTTTGTGAGCTGAGAGCCGCTCTGTGTTTATTCCTAACAGGTTCTTACATCAGAGGAGCCTCATGTCCCACAGAGAGCTCTCAGCTGAGATGTAAGGACAATCTGGACCAGCCTGGACCCGCCAGGAACACGACAGCCCGCTGAGCTCAGCTTAGGGGGATTTGGGAGGGAGATTATGGTGCAAACTACTTGTGTGTGGCACACCTCACAAAGAGGGCCACTTAGGCCAAGGGCCTGTGCACAGTAGAGTGCTGATGTGAGGGGCACAGTAGAGTGCTGATGTGAGGGGCACAGTAGAGTGCTGATGTGAGGGGCACAGTAGAGTGCTGATGTGAGGGGCACAGTAGAGTGCTGATGTGAGGGGCACAGTAGGGTGCTGATGTGAGGGGCACAGTGGGGTGCTGATGTGAGGGGCACAGTGGGGTGCTGATGTGAGGGGCACAGTAGGGTGCTGATGTGAGGGGCACAGTAGGGTGCTGATGTGAGGGGCACAGTAGGGTGCTGATGTGAGGTTTAGGGTGAGGTTCTAGGGCAGGGGCTGAGCGGGAAACTTGCAGTGACGACACACTGCAGTCCTCTAACTTCCTGTGGCACTTCCTGTGTGGTTGTGCTGTGAACACTTATTTCCTGTGTGCTCTCACCAAAGCAAACTAATACACATGCACACTAATATTTGCAACTGAGCACTTCCTCAAAAGATGAGGTTAGAGCATAGTAGCAGGTGCAGGTCTGCCTCCACAGAGGAACCTGTTACTGTGGAGAATGAGCCTGTATGGAGCTGATATACACTTTAACCTGCTCCCTCATGAGCCCATATGCTACGATTACATTACATATGACTCGTACCAACTCCAGTACGACTTTATTTCAAGTTGAGTCATTTCAAGTTGGAATACACTAGACTGACACTGTACTGTAATGACTGTGCTCTCCCTCTTGTCCCTGTGTATGTGTGTGTGTGTATGTGTGTGTGTACGTGTGTGTGTGTCTGTGTGTACGTGTGTGTATGTGTGTGTGTACGTGTGTGTGTGTGTGTGCATGTACGTGTGTGTGATGTGTATTAGCGTCATGTCTCGCCGCAGCACACGTCTGCTCTCGGGAGGATACTATCACTCAGACGAAGAGTCGGACTCGAGCAGTGTCACCACCATCTCCTACAGAGAGAACCCCGTCAAGTAAGAGCCTGTCATACTCCTGTCTGTCACTCGTAACCTCTGTCTGCGCCCCTGTCTGTGCCCCTGTCTGCGCCCCAACCCCTGTCTGCATGTCCCCTAACCTTTGTGGGTGAACTGTTACCCCTGTCATTATCCCTCTACCTCTGTCTGCACCCACTTACCCCTGTCTTACTCCCGTCTGCCTGTTCTCACTCAGGGTGTTTAAGAAGAAAAGTGGAGGACGAAAGAAGCGCTCAGAGACAGATGTGAGTCCTGCCAGCTCCAGGAACAGTCCGGAGGGGGCACAGGACGGTAAGCCCCATGTCTGAGCTGCTCATCAGAGTGCAAACCAAAAGATTGAAAGAACTGAATTCTGTCAACTGCACAAAGGTTAAGAGTGATTATGTCTCACCACTCACCACAGGCATTAAGACTTTGCAACGTTAACATTCCCTATGGGGGTGATGCTTATTGTAGCTATGCTCTGTCTGAGGCTTTGTTAGACTTTAATCTGAGCTTTACTTTAACACAATCTGACCAAAAAAGACTGATCTAGTTGGAACTACAACAATTGAGCTGCATTTTACTATTAAATTAGTCCCTAGTCTTGATTTCAGACCATATTAAAACTCTTTTGGCAGTGTTTGCTAATATGTGTATCCATGGTAACTGTGCAATACAGATGTATATAGAATGGAACACCCCAGTGTGACACCACTGCAAACTATAAATAAGACACTGACTATCAATAAGGCATAGAGTTGGTGAAATTGTTGCAGTTATGCATAGCCCCGTGTTGAGACAGTAGAATGTGCTGAGGCTCCTCTCCTCTTGCAGCCCTCATCATTATAAAAATTGGAAAATCCACAGATATTAACAGATTTTGTGCATTATTTTTAAGGCTAAGTTTATTATTTACAAGGTTTTGTCCTTCAAAATACAATAGCTTCAAATTATAAATTAGATATATAAATATAAATTGTATATAAATTGTAGTTCCACTTACTCTTGCAGTTACTCTTCTGGAACCACAACTTTGTACTACTTGAGTAATAATATATTGAACTAATACAATGGATGCCTATAGTCTCTATTCACACTTATGTCACAAACCAGAAAGACGTTTGGAAACATGCGATGACAACTTCCAGTGTGCTCTGTCCGCAGTAGTAAGTCTGCAAAAATGTTCCAGTTTTCTTCATCTCCATGTCATTGTAGTGTTCCTTTATGTTCAGCAAATCAACAATTCCAACCATCCCTCAGTTTTCATCATTTCTCCACTGACACACAACTCTGAGTGCACTGGTACGTGTGATTAGAAGAGATGAGGCCGAATTCCAGATGATTCAAACAGCACATACATCTGCAGTCTTCATTTTACCACTGATCACATTTACTTCAGTGGGTTTGATCACAGTCAGTCGGTGAGTCCAGTGTCGGGAACTACACCAGAAGTAGTCGTTACATGTTTCCAAACGTCTTCCTGGTTTGTGACGTAAAAGTGAATAACAACTATTACTGATCTGTTCTGATGTCACCTGATCATTGTCATTATTCCTCATGTATTCTGTAGCTCCCTCTCCTACCTGGAGTGCTGTCTCCAGACCGGCCTTGCGGAGCCCCGCCCCTGTCCCCCTCTCTGCTCCACGTGCACCTCCCCCCTCTGGCCCCTCTGGCCCCTCTGGCCCCTCTGGCCCCTCTGGCCCCTCTGGCCCCTCTGGCCCCTCTGGCCCCTCTGCCTCCGGGACCCACAGGAACAGGCCTGTGTTACACTTCCAGCTCCAGTCAGAACGTGCCCACAGTGGAGTGGACAGTTCAGGGTACTCTTCATCTGAGGACCCCCACAGGAGCCACAGAAGCTGCAGCAGTGGACCAGGGAGCGGTTCAGGAGCCCGGACAGTCTCCAAGGCGTGGCTCACCAAGGCTGCGTCCAGCCTCAAAGGTGAGTGCGGCGGGTCCATTAAAGGGGCGCTACTAAAATGTATCTACCACCAAGCGGAAAGAAGCAAGTGGCACCACAAGGCCGAGTTGCAGGTCTGATCTGTGGAGAGGCACCTCTGCTCACAGTAAGAATTTCTGTTTTTTCAGGTACTTCTGAGCTTTTGAATCATGTGTCTCTCAAATGAGGAAGATGCCTCCTCTCCAAATCGTTCTCGCCCAGGACAAAATGCATAACTTATTTTACCTGAAATCAATTAAGAATTAAGAATCTCACTATACACGTTCTTAGTGTTTTTAGGGAGAATTTGTGTCTCCACACAGAAAGGCCCCACACACCCCAGAATTGAACCCACAACCTTCTTGCTGTGAGGCAGCAGCTGCTTTGCCACTGTGCTGCTGATGGTTGAATCTGTAAAAATCCACGCTGTTTCTCAGACCTTTATGTAGATTTTTCTTCTTTTTTTGTCCAAGCAGCCATGTTTGTTTTTGACTTGAACAGAGCCTGTGTCTCTGATTGGTTAAGCCGCCTGTCAATCATGCCCTCTGAAATTGGAGAGACAGGACACAGCTCCAGATCCACTTGTCTTTGTAAAGTTTTATCAAAGCATGTGCTTCTGATTGGACACAGAATAGAGCCAAGCAGGTTGTGTGCCCCGCTCCTGAAAAGTGATGTATTGTACCTTTAAAACAGAGAAAAGTTGATTCGATTCTCTTGACTCTACTCAATACTAATCCTTAAAAAAATGCTTTCTAATTTAAAGGTTGTTTTCTAATTTAAAGGTACATTATGTAACTTTCTGGAGGTGGTATGATTCCATGGAAATCAAAGGTTAAATGTACCATATTTGGGAAATTGTACATGGAGATAAATCAGTATTATGCCATACTGTGGAATATTATAGCTAAAAGAAAGAACATTTCCATGGAAACAAGCAGAAGGCAGTGTTGGGAAGGTTACTTCTAAAATGTATTCCCCTACAGATTACAGATTACATACCCCAAAATGTAGTCTGTAACATAATCCATTAAATTATTTAAAGTGAATAATGTAATATGAATATTTTGGATTACTTGATATTGTTATGCTTTTTAAAACTACATAAATGTAACAACCACATCCTGAGAATTCATGTTTGTTCTCTTCAAATTCTCTGTTGAGCCCAAACCTCCATGAATAAGCAACTGTTTGTTGTAGAGAAGCAAAGACCAGGAAATCTTAACATAAGATGTTTTGTTTTCTCTGCTAAAAGAAAATAAAAAGCCCAGTCTTTACTTAAGCATATAAAAAATATTATAGATAGAGAAATTATTTCTATATGAAATCACTGCTGCCTTAAATTATGTCCACCTACTGTTAGGTGTCATGTTGTTCAGACCTGGTTTAGTCCTGATTTAGTCCTGATTTAGTCCTGGTTTTAGTCCTGGTTTTAGTCCTGGTTTAGCCCAAGATGTGAAAACAGGAAAATACTGCCCTGTAATCCATTTATTTCAGCAAAGTAACTGTAATCCAATTACCACTCATTGAAACAGTAACTGTAACTGAATACAGTTACTCATCATTTGTACTCTGATTACGTAATCCCGGTACATGTAATCTGTTACTCCCCAACACTGGCAGAAGGAGACCTTCTGGCCACATAAGAGTCAGGTTTGTGGAGATGCAAGCCCACACAGTGTAAAGACACAAGTTTCTGTGTTTTTCAGTGCAAAAAACACAACTGAAATAAAAACAAAAAAACTTGCTTTTATCTTTGGCTAAAAAGTTACATACTGTGGCTTTTTTAGTATCATTGGAAAATAAAATTTACTGACAAACAATTTTAAAATTCCACTTTAGTTTTGTTTTACAAGAGTGAAAAAACAGGTGGTTGCGTAGGTGCTGTTTTACATTTTGTTTTCCCATATATTTTTACATGTATTTATTTCCCAGTTCTATGGATGTAAAACATGTTTTATTTATTTGGACATTTTTGACAGACTTGGGAGCAGTGGTCCAATCCAGTGGCAATAGACTCATCCAGCTGGCCAGCTCTGGTTGGCCCTTCACACCGGCTGTGGGTGTCACGAGTGTCACAGGTGTCACGGGTGTCACGGGTGAGTCTAAGCAGATTTGAGCAGCAGCACATTCCTCTGCAGGCCTGTGTGTTACTTGTATGTTACATGGATGTTGTATGTTATATGTATAATAGTTGTTTTCACAGCAAAGCCCTCGCCCAGCGCTTGGATGAAGAAACTGTGTGCTCTGCTCCTCCTCCTCCTCCTCCTCTTCGGTGAGAGACACTTGTCACAGCTTTCACTGTGTTACTTGAGCTACTCAGGAAATGCGCTAAAGGAGACATATTATGCAAACTGGACAATGCACTTTTCAACAGTGTTGTAATGATTTGGAATTATATTTGAGTAATCCTTCTTTGTCCTGTTTTTAAGAGATTAGTGATCAGAAAATTACTGCTTGTACCCCCAACAACTCCTTAGAGAAATATAGACTCTGATGTAAGTTTGTTCAGTTAAAAATGTTGAGTAGCCATTTATAATAAAAACAGGTGAATGAAAATCTGCAGCTTGTTCCCGTGAAATGTCACAATGAAGGCACGGGGCCTTTCAGTGCAGCGCTTTACAACAGGAAGTCACTGTTTTTGTTAATGAGCCATTTTTTCGATACTTTTTCAAAACTGAAATGTAAAATTGTGATGTACGTATGTATGTAAGTATTTATTACTAAACACCATAACAGTTTGTATTCTTTAAAAATGGAGTACTATGCAAAATTTACTTTTTGGGACTTTGAACGTGTCATGGTGTTGATGGGTGTCATGATGGTTCCATGATGGGTGCAATGATGGGTTCACGATGGGTGTCACGACGGCTGTCATGGTGTTAATGGGTGTGGTCTGGTTGCAGGTGCCTGGTGGACCTCCATCCTCTTTGGACTGAGCTTCAGGAGTGGACCCTCTGTGATAGTCCCTGATGCGACCCTTTCTGGTCCTCAGCCTGCTTCACTGGTAACCATCTCAGCCGAGTGTCTATCAGATAATGACCGTTCTACAGAAATATACAAAAGAGCGTGCTGTGAAAAGGGAAAGTTATTTAACACGGGGAGCACAGGGCGGGGGAGCTCAGAGCCTTAAAAGCAAAACTGAAACTAAATATGTTAATACCTTGTTTTGAGAGAATAGAGCATTCTCAAAACAAGAAAAAGTAACATGGGGAGTAAATATGTATTAACCATGAATACCCCACAGAAGTGTAATGTCTTTCTGAACTGATCCTGCTCTGTTGTGGGTCCAGGACGCTGCTGCTGTGTCTGCTGCTGTAGAGGCAAACCTGCAGCATATTCAGGTACGTCTCACAAAAAATGGACAAAAGGATAGAAAGTGTTTGTGTTTATTTTCATTCAAAAGCTACAGTTCAGTATTCACTTTCAGTATTCACTTGCAGGGGTAGAAAGTAACTCATTACAATACTCTACTGTAATTGAGTTGATTTTTGGGCTAATTGTACTTTTTGAGGAAAGTTTTAAATATGCACTTGTACTTGAGTATAGTTCTAGCCATGTAATTAGCAGTGTGGGGAAGGTTACTGTTAAAATGTAATCCCCTACAGATTACATATTACATACCCCAAAATGTAGTTTGTAACGTAATACATTAAATTACTTAAAGTGAGTAATGTAATCTGAATACTTTGGATTACTTGATTTGCTGTAGAGAAGCAAAGACACATAAGATGTTTTGTCTGATAAAAGAAAATAAAAAGCCCAGACTTTACTGAACCAAATTAAAAATATTATTGATAGACGGAGGAGGAGACACGTTCGCGCAACATGGTTTAGTCCTGTTAAATCCTGTTTTAGACCTGGTTTAGTCCTGGTTTAGTCTTGGTTTAGTCCTGGTTTTAGACCTGGTTTAGTCCTGGTTTTAGACCTGTTTTAGATCTAGTTAAGATCTAGTTTAGACCTGGTTTAGTCCTGGTTTAGACTAATCAATATTAAAACTATTATTGAAATTTGATACTCATTTGAGCAGGTATTGATACTAAAAAAGTCACACTGACAGGACAAAAATGAATAGTTTAGTTGATGTTGAGCTGTATCAGAACAAATAAATGAGCACATGTGTGAGTGTACACACATCATGGACCACTGAGAGCCTCAGTATCTAGTCTAGTCATTAGTGTAGTAATTGTATCTAGTGGTGTAGAGGGGATTTTTTAAGTGGGAGCATGCGATTCGTGACGTTTTTAACATGATGAATCTGGCCCACCTACCTACCTTTAAAAAAACAAAAACAAAATCACTTTCAGTACAAACATAAAGGCGCCAGCCCAGTAAAAATCACTAATAAATTTAATGTTTTTTTATTCAAAATGAGGCAGAATCATGTTATTAATATTAACTCCATAATCACCCACAGAACATAAATCATAGGCTACAACACATGCCCAGGTCTAAACCAGATCTAAACCTGGTCTAAACCAGGTCTAAACCAGATCTAAACCTGGTCTAAACCAGGTCTAAACCAGATCTAAACCTGGTCTAAACCAGATCTAAACCTGGTCTAAACCAGGTCTAAACCAGATCTAAACCTGGTCTAAACCAGGACTAAACCAGATCTAAACCTGGTCTAAACCAGGTCTAAACCAGATCTAAACCTGGTCTAAACCAGGTCTAAACCAGATCTAAACCTGGTCTAAACCAGGTCTAAACCAGATCTAAACCTGGTCTAAACCAGGACTAAACCAGATCTAAACCTGGTCTAAACCAGGTCTAAACCAGATCTAAACCTGGTCTAAACCAGGTCTAAACCAGATCTAAACCTGGTCTAAACCAGGTCTAAACCAGATCTAAACCTGGCCTAAACCAGGACTAAACCAGATCTAAACCAGGTCTAAACCAGGACTAAACCAGGTCTAAACCAGATCTAAACCTGGTCTAAACCAGGACTAAACCAGATCTAAACCTGGTCTAAACCAGGACTAAACCAGGTCTAAACCAGAACTAAACCAGGTCTAAACCTGGTCTAAACCAAGTCTAAACCAGGACTAAACCTGGTCTAAACCAGGTCTAAACCAGGACTAAACCAGGACTAAACCAGGACTAAACCAGGTCTAAACCAGGACTAAACCAGGTCTAAACCAGGACTAAACCAGGTCTAAACCAGGACTAAACCAGGACTAAACCAGGTCTAAACCAGGTCTAAACCAGGTCTAAACCAAGTCTAAACCAGGACTAAACCTGGTCTAAACCAGGACTAAACCAGGACTAAACCAGGTCTAAGCCAGGTCTAAACCAGAACTAAACCAGGTCTAAACCTGGTCTAAACCAAGTCTAAACCAGGACTAAACCAGGACTAAACCAGAACTAAACCAGGACTAAACCAGGTCTAAACCAGGTCTAAACCAGGACTAAACCAGGTCTAAACCAGGACTAAACCAGGTCTAAACCAGGTCTAAACCAGGACTAAACCAGGTCTAAACCAGGTCTAAACCAGGACTAAACCAGGTCTAAACCAGAACTAAACCAGGTCTAAACCAGGTCTAAACCAGGTAAACCAGGACTAAACCAGGACTAAACCAGGACTAAACCAGGTCTAAACCAGGACTAAACCAGGTCTAAACCAGGTCTAAACCAGGACTAAACCAGGTCTAAACCAGGACTAAACCAGGTCTAAACCAGGTCTAAACCAGGTCTAAACCAGGAAACCAGGTCTAAACCAGGTCTGAACCAGGTCTAAACCAGGACTAAACCAGGTCTAAACCAGAACTAAACCAGGTCTAAACCAGGACTAAACCAGGTCTAAACCAGGACTAAACCAGGACTAAACCAGGACTAAACCAGGTCACCCAACGGTCTACGTGGGCGCACGTTCGGGCCCGTCCAGATACTCAGTCTTGGTTCTGTTTACGTTTAATCCTGGTTTAATCCTGGTTTAGTCCTGGTTTAGTCTTGGTTTAATCCTGGTTTAGTCCTGGTTAAGTCCTGGTGTAATCCTGGTTTAGACCTGTTTTACTCCTGTTTTAGTCCTGTTTTAGTCCTGTTTTAGACCTGGTTCAGTCCTGGTTCCTCACGTCACAGGTCACTATAGAACAGTGCTGCAGATATCATGAGTCTGTGCAGATTGTTTTCACCTTTGCCTATAGCTCCGGTTTGACATTTAAGTTGTAGCTATTTTACATTTGTTATTATTTTATATTTCATGTCGGGAGAAGTAGGTGGGCGGCGTACCCCCGCGTACCATGCCCACTACACCCCTGATCATGGACTATCGTATTGTAGTAAAGTGAGTTTGACATGTTAGTATTCTGACAACAGTATACGACTTGGGAGTGAGGGGTGATGCTTTTAAAATTGAATTAAAAATGTATTGTTCACGTAATTGTAGACATTTTCAGTACTCTTTCTACCTTACTAACTTGTAACTATAAAATATATTTTTACAGAGAGAAATGCAGCTTAAACATGACCTCCTTCTGGCCGAGGTAAGAGTTCTACAGCTACTGTGTGACACAGTTTAAACAGAGCTGGAAACTGGGCAGAGTTCTCAGGTGGAGTTTGCTGTGGAACTGTCAGATGCAGATTTGTTCACCTGGTTTATGGTTCCTCTCACTGGGCCTATCCACATGAAACAAAAACTGGCAAGTTCAACGCCTTCTCTGTCAGTGTAACTAAACAGCTTCATTGAGTGGCGCCATTATTCAGTCCCAAAAAGGGAATTGTTGTCAGTTGAAAGGACTTTAAACCATAAGATTAAAGGTCCTATATTACCTCAAATTGACTCTTGTGAGCTTTATAACATGTTATAATATTGTTACGTCCTCAAAAACATACCTGGAGTTTTGTTTCATTCACACATGTTTGAGTAATCCTGGTTTTTTAGTCTGTCTACATCTCCAAAGATCGAAATGCTGTGTTCCACCTTGTGATGTCATGTGGTAGTTTTCAAGTTAACAACTACTATTTACCTTTTGTTTAGTAGAGACTGGCTGAAATGATCCAAATGGTTCAAGTGAAGGTGTGTGGTGTTAAACTCAGCCTACATATGCTACATATGTTTGTGTTACACATGCGGTGTTGGGAAGGTGACTTTTAAAATGTAATCCCCTACAGATTACAGATTACATACCCCAAAATGTAGTTTGTAATGTAATCCATTCAATTACTTAAAGTGAGTAACGTAATCTGAATACTTTGGATTACTTGATTTGCTGTAGAGAAGCAAAGATGAGGAAATCTTCACATAAGATGTTTTGTCTGATAAAAGAAAATGAAAAGCCCAGATTTTACTGAACCAAATTAAAAATATTATTGATAGAAGAGGAGGAGACACGTCCTGTTAAATCCTGTTTTAGACCTGGTTTAGTCTTGGTTTAGACCTGGTTTAGACCTGGTTTAGACCTGGTTTTAATCCTGGTTTAGACCAGGTTTAGAACTGGTTTGGACCTGGTTTTAGACCTCATTTTAGTCCTGGTTTAGACCTGGTTTTAGTCCTGGTTTAGACCTGGTTTAGACCAGGTTTAGTCCTGGTTTAGACCTGGTTTTAGTCCTGGTTTAGACCTGGTTTTTGTCCTGGTTTAGACCTGGTTTTAGACCTGGTTTAGACCTGGTTTAGACCTGGTTTTAGTCCTGGTTTAGACCTGGTTTTAGACCTGGTTTTAGACCTGGTTTTAGACCTGGTTTTAGACCTGGTTTAGTCCTGGTTTAGACCTGGTTTTAGACCTGGTTTTAGACCTGGTTTTAGACCTGGTTTAGACCTGGTTTAGACCTGGTTTAGACCTGGTTTTAGTCCTTGGGTTTTAGACCTGGTTTTAGACCTGGTTTTAGACCTGGTTTAGACCTGGTTTAGACCTGGTTTAGACCTGGTTTAGACCTGGTTTTAGTCCTGGTTTTAGACCTGGTTTTAGACCTGGTTTTAGACCTGGTTTAGACCTGGTTTAGACCTGTTTTAATCCTGGTTTAGACCTGGTTTAGACCTGGTTTAGACCTGGTTTTAGACCTGGTTTTAGACCTGGTTTGTCCTGGTTTAGTGTCCGGCAATGAGTGGAATTACCAAAAAAAAAAAAGAAAAAAAAAAGGGAATAGCCCAAAATGTGAAAACAGGAAAATGCCGCCGTGTAATCCATTTATTTCAACCAAGTAACTGTAATCCAATTACCACTCACTGAAACAGTAACTGTAACTGAATACAGTTACTCATAATTTGTACTCTGATTACATAACTCATGTACATGTAATCTGTATCTGTTACTCCCCAGCACTGTACACACACATGTATGAATGAAACAAAACAAAACTCCATGTATGTTTGTGATGAGGAAGCAACATTATAACAGAGATCAGATCAAATCCTGAGCTGGTGGAGTAAAAATGTTCTTGGTGGGCCCATACTACATGTTATCTAATGCAAAATGCATATTAGAAGATTGGGAGGGGCCCCTCCTTACACTGGTCCCTGGGTAAACAATACTCTTTACCCCTCCCTGTCCGACGCCCTGTCAGAGTTTGAAAGAAATCTAATCTAAACCAAATCTACACGTGAGGGAGTAGCTCCACAGATTTGCCATATTAATCTTATGGGGTTCAAATCCAATTTGATTTGATAAGCAGATAAATGGCGTCTTAAAGTCGAGTTTTTGTCACTTGAGGCTTTTACCCAAAGTCAAATATTTTTTATCTTTTCATCTTTTTGAACAGATCATGCATGATTTCATTTTGTCACGTCTGGACTTCTGCAGTGCGCTCTACACGGGCATCTCCTAAAACACATTTCCCGTCTGCCATTTTTAAAAGAAACCAAAAAACAAAAACATATCACACCAATCCTCGTGTTTTTGCACTGGCTCTCGATTTAGAATTGATTTTACGATTTTATTGTTTATTTTTAAAGCTTTGAATGGACTGGCCCGTACGTCTCAGACCTCAGCCTGATTTACACCCCCGTGCTCTCTGAGGTCCGAGGGCCAGCTCCAGCTCGTGGGGCCTAAGATGAGACTTAAAACCAGGAGGACAGGGCCTTCTGTGTGGTTGACCCTAAGCTCTAGAATGCTCTGCCCCCCCCATGTCCTCAGCCCCCAGAGTGGAGTTAAGTCTCATCTTAAAACCTACTTATACTCTCTGGCTTTTAACATGGTGTGAGTTGTGTGCTCCTCTGTGTCTTTTATTATTATTATTATTATTATTATTATTATTATTATTATTATTATTTAGCTTTATGCATTTTACACTTTAAATTTATTGTTTTTATTTATGCTTTATTGTATTTTATTTATTTAATTTGTTTGTGCAGCACTTTGTTTGTAAAATGTTTGTAAAATCTAGAAAGGAAGTGGATTAGATTATGAGGTTGAATAATGGGACCACTGAAGCTGTTGTGACAAAAAGAAGACGTTTTGTCCAGACAGAGAAGATGTTTAAACTTTGTTCCAGTTTTTGTTTCATGCAGATAAGTAATTATTTGAAATTATGAACAATTTCAAATGTTGTGTTGTTACAAGACCCAAACCGTACGAACTGGAGCTGATCTGAGCCGTGTGTTTTCAGTTGAAGCGGCAGGTGCAGACGGATCTCCGGGTCCTCAGACAAATCAGTGAGCAGAAGGAGCAGAGGCAGGAGGAGGAGCAGCAGCAGGAGCAGCAGCAAGAGCAGCAGCAGGAGCAGCGCCTGTTGGATCTTCAGTCCACCCTGCAGCAGCTCAAGGCCCACAGTGAGAGGGCTGCAGAGGATCTGCTCCTGAGGCTGAGCGCGCTGGAGGAGCAGGTACATGTAAAGACTCATATCTCTGCACATGTGGACTGGTTTTAGTCCTGATTTTAGTCCTGTTTTAGTCCTGGTTTAGTTCTGGTTTAGTCCTGGTTTAGTCCTGGTTTCGAGGGTTAAGTTTAGTGAGTGAGTGTGCTTCTGAACAGCGCTGATGATGTGTGTTAGGTGTACCAGATGGAACAGACACCGGCCCCCCTCCCAACCCCCGTCTCGGCCCCCGTCCCGGTCTCCTCCCTGTCCCCAGAGCTGGAGCAGGCACTGGATGCGTGGCTGACCCGCCGCCTGCAGGTGAGTGAGCTCGGAGTGGACGTTATTGTAATGGTGGCACAAGATTGGCATTAGAGATGTGTGACTGCCTGTGATGTGTCAGGACCAGGCTGCTGCCCACGCGGGGATCTCGGGGACCTCGGGGACCTCGGGGACATGTGGGACCTGTGGACGTCCTCTAGCAGACAAGATGGCCGACTTTGCCCTAGAGTCTCAGGGTAAGTCAGGGTAATATTGTCCTGGCCCAGTTTTCCGTGTGAGTGATCCTACTGTGTCCTGCCTTTGACACTTGAGTGACTTGAGACAATCTCTGTTTTCACCCACCCCCTATCCCCACCCACTTCCTCTGTACTCAGTTGTGATTATTTGAACATTTAAGTCTCAGTTACACCTTGAGACAGCAATGTGTGTGGACCGGTATTTACTGCTTTGTGGGGACTGAAATCTGTCTAGACACTAGGGGTGTGCAAAAATACTGAAATATCAATATATCGTATTGTTTATTATGAGGATACAGTATGGATATAGTGGGCTGCTGTATCAATATGTCACCAAGAGTATTTTTTGGTATATTTTACAAAATTATTTTGTTACAGTGCTACAGTTTTGTTGTTTGTTTAGTGGAAGGAAACCCATTTATATGACACATTTGACATTTTCACTGTTGTAATGATTAAAATGTTTGTGTTTCATATGAACTTTTGCACAAGAAGTGGTTTAACAAAGACTTTCAGTATCACAGCCATGATTAAACCTTTTTTTTTTTGTTAAATCATATCAAATCGATTTGAAATATCGTATCGAATCGAAGGTGCACTGTATCGAGATATGTATCCTACAGTGGCCTATGTATCGAGGTATATATCATATCAGCAACGTCTTAATGATACCAGCCCTACTAGACACACACTGTAAGTTAACATCACTTTCTGACGGGGACATTGGGCAGGTCCGCACATCAATATCACACCACTGAAAATAGATATTTTATTGATCTCAAAGGAAATCCAAATGTATTTTTTGTTTAAGTTAAACAAGTGGTAATTGTGGTTGATGTCAGGAAAAAACATTTAAAACCTGATGTGTGTGTGCACAGATATTTATCACACTGTGTGGACTCAAATTGTACAGGGTGTACCGGTACCAACAATGTGCAGAGTTCGGCTGCTTCTGCAGGGCTAAAGAATCTGGTACCAACATCAACATCAGAAGAGCACACCGAGCAAGTTTGTGAAAAACTCTTGTGAAGCCCCAAGAAGTCTATAAGGAGAACAAGTTTGGAAACTCAGATTCCTCGAATGACGGTTTGGCGTACCAGATCCTTTAGGCCTGCAGAAGCAGACAAACTCTGCACATTTTTGGTACAAGTTCAAATTTGCCAGTTGGTGAAGTTTTTCTAAATGTTGCATTGCAGCTGCACAGTCTTGGGTGAGTGTGTGCAGCAGATTCAAGATGCAAAATTACTCTTTGGGAGTGAACAGCAAAAAACAAAAATATAACATATAAAATCTTGATTGGTTTACATTCTGTGAAAATGTTAGGTTATTTCAACAAGAATTGCCAAAAGTATTAGCCTGCAAAATGATGACAGATTTTTGGGACACCCTGTATACACATGATGGGGACCTGCCTCTTTTATTGGGACAAAATTTGGGTCACCATGTCACAGGTCCTTTCTTATTAGAGCAACAACATGGGTTAAAGTTAAGATATGGGTTAAGGTTAGAGTTTAGTTCAGTCTCCAGGAACTGAACGCAATGAATTAAATGGTGTATGTGTGTGTGCAGGGGCCAGCGTGGTCAGCACTCGTTGCTCGGAGACATACCGGACGCGCTCGGCCTGTGTGTCCCTGTTTGGCCTGCCGCTGTGGTACCCTTCAGAGAGCCCCCGCACAGTCATTCAGGTGCACAGTCAGTCCAGTCTTAAAGGATTAACACTGAAGCTGATAAACTGGGTTTTAATGACATTGTCTACTGTTCTTCACCAGTGCAGTTACTAGTAGAATTTCACTTTTCACTCTCACTCTCCCCTTTAGTCCTTCAGACCCACCCCTCCTCCCCCGTCACTCTCCCCTTTAGTCCTCCAGACCCACCCCTCCTCCCCCGTCACTCTCCCCTTTAGTCCTCCAGACCCCCCCTCCTCCCCCGTCACTCTCCCCTTTAGTCCTCCAGACCCACCCCCTCCTCCCCCGTCACTCTCCCCTTTAGTCCTCCAGACCCACCCCTCCTCCCCCGTCACTCTCCCCTTTAGTCCTCCAGACCCACCCCTCCTCCCCCGTCACTCTCCCCTTTAGTCCTCCAGACCCACCCCTCCTCCCCGTCACTCTCCCCTTTAGTCCTCCAGACCCACCCCTCCTCCCCCGTCACTCTCCCCTTTAGTCCTCCAGACCTACCCCTCCTCCCTCGTCACTCTCCCCTTTAGTCCTCCAGACCCACCCCTCCTCCCCCGTCACTCTCCCTTTAGTCCTCCAGACCCCCCCTCCTCTCCCCACTCCTCCTCCCCTTTAGTCCTCCAGACCTACCCCTCCTCCTCATCACTCTCCCCTTTAGTCCTCCAGACCCCCCCCTCCTCCCTCGTCACTCTCCCCTTTAGTCCTCCAGACCTACCCCTCCTCCCTCGTCACTCTCCCCTTTAGTCCTCCAGACCCCGCCCTCCTCCCTCGTCACTCTCCCTTTAGTCCTCCAGACCCGCCCTCTCTCCCTTAGTCCCCCCCTCACTCTCCCCTTTAGTCCTCCAGACCCCGCCCTCCTCGCCCTCACTCTCCCTTTAGTCCTCCAGACCCCCCTCCTCCCCGTCACTGTCTCCTTTAGTCCTCCAGACCCCGCCCCTCCTGGCCCCTCACTCTCCCCTTTAGTCCTCCAGACCTACCCCTCCTCCCTCGTCACTGTCCCCTTTAGTCCTCCAGACCTACCCCTCCTCCCACGTCACTCTCCCCTTTAGTCCTCCAGACCTACCCCTCCTCCCTCGTCACTGTCCCCTTTAGTCCTCCAGACCTACCCCTCCTCCCTCGTCACTCTCCCCTTTAGTCTTCCAGACCCCGCCCCTCCTGGCCCCTCACTCTCCCCTTTAGTCCTCCAGACCCCGCCCCTCCTCCCCCCTCACTCTCCCCTTTAGTCCTCCAGACCCACCCCTCCTCCCCCGTCACTGTCCCCTTTAGTCCTCCAGACCCACCCCTCCTCCCCTGTCACTGTCCCCTTTAGTCCTCCAGACCCCGCCCCTCCTCCCCCTCACTCTCCCCTTTAGTCCTCCAGAGCCCGCTCCTCCTCCCCCCTCACTCTCCCCTTTAGTCCTCCAGACCCACCCCTCCTTCCCCATCACTGTCCTCTTTAGTCCTCCAGACCTACCCCTCCTCCCTCGTTACTCTCCCCTTTAGTCCTCCAGACCTACCCCTCCTCCCTCGTCACTGTCCTCTTTAGTCCTCCAGACCCACCCCTCCTCCCCCGTCACTCTCCCCTTTAGTCCTCCAGACCCACCCCTCCTCCCTCGTCACTCTCCCCTTTAGTCCTCCAGACCCACCCCTCCTCCCTCGTCACTCTCCCCTTTAGTCCTCCAGGCACTGCCCAGTTTAGCGGCTCTGGAATGTGGCTGTGGGTTGGATTTAGGTGTTCAGTCCCCCTTGAATGACTTGAACATGCTGCAGTTCTCCATCACCTTGTGTATCTAAAGTCGTGCGTGTCCCTTCAGGGTCCGGCTGTGCTGCTCCCGGGGAAGTGCTGGGCGTTCCATGGTGTTCAGGGCACTCTGGTCATCGCTCTGTCTCATCCAATCAGAATCAGCCATGTGAGCCTGGACCACCTGCCCCGCCACAGCTCCCCTACTGGCCGCATCGACTCAGCCCCCAAGGACTTCCAAGTCTACGTGAGGACCACACATTGTCTCATGTGCACTTACTCAGATGAACTCAGGGTTTTACTGCTTTTCTCTATGATGCACCCATAGAATTACAAAAGAATACATTTTTAAGTTGGAAAACATGGTGTTTTAAAGAGGTAATGCAAAAGTATTTTAAAACTGGCACAGAAAACCTTTTACACCAGACCAGTGCTTGTAGGACATGTCCACTGACTGTACACATATGCCACATGTCCTTATGTCCTCATGTGTCCTGTCCTTTTAGGGCATGACTAATGAAACAGAGCAGGGGACATTACTGGGGACCTTCAGGTACGACGAGGATGGGGAGCCCACACAGACCTTCAGCCTCTCTGTGAGTACAGTATGTGAGTGTGAGTAGTGAGTACTGTGTGTGAGTACTCTGTGAGAAGTTGCGTACTGACTGAGTCCTCCTTTGGCCTTGTGTCTCTCCTCAGGGCCTCACTGAGTCAGTGTACCACATGGTGGAGCTGAGGGTCCTGTCAAACTGGGGCCGTGTGGAGTACACGTGTGTGTACCGCTTCCGTGTTCATGGACAACTGGCCTCCACATGACATGTAGCTGTTCATTAGGAATCAGCTGTGCAGTCTCTGTTTCTTATTTATTACAAAGATGAATAAAATATATTGGTATTTTCTCACACCTGTGTCCTTTCTGTGTCACTGCAGTGTGCAGTGAGTCTCCAATGTTCTCTGGATGTTTGTTTGGTTGATTGTTGGGTCAGTGGGCTGTACAGCAGACCACAGAGACAGTCCTGCAGAGGACAGAGATGACCAGAGGACAGAGATTTGTCTCCTTTTGCTGGCTGGGCCAGTGCAGCTGTACTTGTTGACTTGGTTGCAGCGTGTGTTATCAGTTGTTATACAAAACACTGGATGAGCATATAATCTCGGGCTCTTATCCTGTGTGGTCCTCTCAGAGCTACACAGTTACTCAGCCTCTGGGAGCAGTGCTCCAGTCCCTGTCCTCATCAGGTGCACACACACACGCACACACACACAGGTGGTGAGCCCTCTGCAGTAATCAGCAGTAACATCTTACATGAACTCTGCAGCTCGGGCCTTGTGTCACTGACTCTGTTGCATCAGACAGACTCAGAATGCAGACAAAACATGAAAGGGCTTGTCCACATGGGAGACAATCTGTTTATGTAGCAGCTCCAGGCATGGTCCAATCTGAGAAGCAAAGCAGGAGATAAAACACCCACCAACCTGCACTTCACACAGACTGAACCAAGGACTGAAGCAGCGACTGACCCAGGTAAGGCCATGTTTCTATAGAGTCTGTGATTGCAAATGGCAGTCAGATGTCTGTCACCCTGCCCCAGGGCAACTGCAGTAACCACCTGTAGTATCATTCTGATATCTCTCTTCACTCTGAAAGCACCAGGGCTCCTCTAAAGATGAACTCCTCTGAGGTGGGCAATGTGCAGGTGAATGCCACCTTGCGCCCGCTCTGGTACTTGTATCCGGTGTGCGCGGCTGAACCCTTCGCCTTTGTCTTTTACTACGGCGTCAAAGTTCTGAACCTGGTGGTGGGCACACCCTGTAATCTTCTAGTCATCTGGCACATTGCGTCCAGGAAGAGTGATGCGTCCACCTCAGACATCTTCATCCTAAACCTGGCTGTGCTGGACGCCTATTTCTGCCTCATGACGCCCATCGACCTGGTCAACCGCCTGCTGCTCGGCAACGGGAGCATCTGGCGTTTTCAGCGTTTTGCCTATGGGGTCAAAGACTCAGCCCCGCTCTTCCTCGTGAGTCCAGTTTGTGATCATTCCAATAGCAAGTATTGCACAAACAGATAGATATAACGGTCCAGTCAATATGTAAATTATATCTTTAGTTAATATTTGACCCCCTCTCTGCTTTGGCACACAGTCTGAGAAGTCTCCTCTCTCCTCCGCAGGTGTGCATCTGCCTGGACCGGTACATGGCTGTGGTGCACCCGGTGGTGTTCAGTCGTGTGCGGGACAATAAGCTGCGTGTGCTGGTGTCTGTGCTGGTGTGGGGGCTGGTGCTGGCCTATGGCCTGGCCAAGAGTCTGGTCTATAACTTCCTGGTTCAGTTTGAGCTGTTCACTGCCATCATTCTGTTAGCCTTCGCAGTCATGCTCTTCTCCAACATGTCCATCATCTGGGTGCTGCGACGCTCGGTGGCAGGGAAGGAGGAGATGCACCCTGTGAAGAAGAGGGCTTTCCGCATGGTCATCATCATCCTGGCCATTATCGTGGTCAACTACCTGCCCCCCGTGGCCCTCATGCCCTTCTCCTCACGCTATAGCTTCATCGAGTACCACTGTAAGATCGTCCTGAGTGTCTACCTCATCATGGACCTGAGCAGCAGCATCGAGCCGCTTGTCTACATCACCAAGATGGAAGGTGGTGGCTGCTGTGGGCAACAACCTAAGGGCCCTGACGGCCCCCCTACAGTCTAAGACCTGACTTCAATCCAGGGCTCAGGGCCTGCTCTGTGCTCTGGCCCAAGATCATGGGGTTCCCTGTCGCGGTACTGCAGCTCTCACTGCTCCAGACAGGATGCCCCAGTGGTGTTGAAGAATGGGTCAAATGCATAGGACAAATTTCCAATAAAGTGTACCTTAACTTAAGCACTCCACTTTTACTTTCTGGTTACCCACAGCGAGAGTTATGTGGTCCTCTGTTGTTTTGAGTCTACTGATTTGAATGATTTATGACTGTTTATATCTTAAAATTTTGTTGATTTGATTTGACTATGTGCAGCAGTTTGGAAACTGTTTTTGTTCTTAAAATGTACAGGTATATAATACACTACCCCCCACCAAAAAATTAATGGAACACTTTGAAAAAACATCAAATCTCAATATGAGAAAAAAAAAAAGTCAGAAATCTATGGCCCCCCAAAATCTCACATTTGGTTGCTGCTCATTTTTTTTTTCAATTTTTGAGGTCCAAGATCTATTGACTCCAGTCAGATATTTACAAACTAACTGCTGAACCTGAATATTTGAGAGAATGACCATTTCTGACACAAATCTCACACTTTTCTGAGCTTTCATGTGGATGGTGTAGAGTCCCAAATCTGACCAATCACAGACCAAATGTGATCTTTTTGGCCCCTTCTTTGGACCCTTGGTTCCCCATGTGGCACAATTAGATGTTGATCAAATTTTTACCAGAGAAACTTTGGCATATTCTGATTAGTTTAAAGTAATAAAAACATCTACTATTAACTTCTTTCATTTCAAAAGGGATTTTTGAAAACGCGTTCTCACGGGTCATTTTTGGTGGAGCTTAGGCACTTTTCCACCTGCAGAAAGGTTCAATTACCTTTAATAGACTTAAACTATAATTATTTGCTTGTTATAAGGGAAAACAATTGGAGATTATTTGTGGTACATTGTTTGGAAAAGTGTCATTAATCATTTGAGAAAATTCAACTATTAACTTCATATAAAATTTTGAAAAAATGTTTGTTTGCATTATTTATTCTGTTTTTATTTGACGGAAGATAATTTGTTATCTCACACAGAAACAGCTTTTCATGATGTATAAGTAAAGCAACAAAAGTTAAGATAGTATTCATGGAAACTGATTAAAAGGAAAATTACAATTGGAATACTCCCTGCCTGTTAAATCACAAAGTCTCTGGTTCTATAACCATGTCTTTCAGTATCACCATATGTGTTTTATTTTTGCACAAAAACATTACAAGAAGGCAGTAACATTAACAAGAATGAAGAAGAAGAAAAATTCAGTGTGAAAAAAACCTCAGCGGAAAATATCAACATACTGGAAAAATCTGCCCATTCTGGTCTCTTTGCCACCTGCATGTAGATCATGTGTATTTGTATCTTGCACACTAAGTGTTCCTAACTACTAATGAACTTCAGAAATCATGTTTGGATCCTGTCATAATCTGCAGTGTCAAGGAGATAATTTCGTGCTCTTCTTCTCTGAACTTCTGGTACTTTAATACAACAGATTCTGTTCTGAAATGGGACCCAACATGGTTCTGTGGATGTTCAGGAGGACACATGAGGGTTCTGTCGTCTCCATTCATGAATCTCACACAGACATCACCATGTTCATCTGAACACTCTGAAATATTCCCAATGAACCACCTGATGTCATAAATACATGCATATATTGACCTGCTGGTACAGAGACAAATCTGCACAATCTCATTTTGTATTTTCAGAAACTGACATTTCATAAATGATCTTCAGATATTCTCCTCATTTCTAATTTAATCTGAAAATCAGACCTAGGTTTTCTGAGTGTCAACCCTCCAAAAAATGTCAATAAGCAGATCATATTTTCTACTGTGTACTCAAAACCCACAGAACAACTTAAAAACGTCATAACAAAACATTGGCATATACCACAAACTGACCCTTCATTGGGTGTGGCTTTTAAAGAGCACCCCCTAGTGGTGTATAAAAGAGGAAGGAACCTTGGAGATAGGCTTGTGCACTCCTATCTTCCTCCAAATCAGACCCCATCATACCAAACCATACTGACTCCTATTACTGATGGAAATCGCCGCTGTGGTGGGTGCAGTCAGTGTAACTACACATATCGCTGCAACAGTTTTAAGCTCCTCACACTGGACAAGAAATACTGATCAAAGGAATTATATCCTGTAACACCAAGTCTGTGATTTATATGATCTCCTGCCCCTGTGGTAAAGCCTCTGTGGGTAAAACAAGCAGGACTTTAAAAACATGTATGCATGTATTGCAGAGCATAAGAGTACAATCAGATGTAAAAACATGAACTATCCTGTGGCACCTCATTTTAATGATTTTAACCATCCTGTCTCTTCCTTAAGATATATTGGTAATGAACATGTGGAGCTGCCCCCTAGAGGTGGGAATCTAGAAATGCTCCTGTCAAAAAAACTTCTGGATTCACCAACTTAAGACTCTCGCTCCTCACAGACTGAATGTGGAGTCTGATCTAAGATGTTTTTTTGTGATATACTATTTCTGTATTTTATAGAATGTTTTTTATGTAAATATCTGAACTGTTGTTTCTTGTTGTAGAGCTGAACTCACTGGGTGACCTCACTTTGGGACCTCTCATTCATTGAAGGAGTATATGAGCACCTGGGCGGACAACCATTTAGTGTGCTCTGGTCCAAAGCAAGAAAAATATCTGATGAAGTTTTTTTTTTTGCCAAAACATTATTTTGTTAATAAAAAAGCTTGTGGACATCAGCCAACCGAGTGTGCTATGCATTTTTTCACCCTTGTCTGGCTGCTCCTTGCATTTGGACCTCTACAAGAATTTTAGTGTGCGTTTTCTGTTTCTTTTGAAAATGGACTAGCCTGCCACATCATTATTTCACTTTGATTTACATTTATTTTATTTGCATTTTATTTCCATTAAAAGAGGTGGCATCCTTTTGCTCTTAAGACATTGCCCTGTCCATATTTGTAGAGATATCTGATTTTATTTTTTTCACATTGAGATCTGATGTGTTTTCAAAGCGTTCCTTTAATATTTGGGGCAGTGTAATATTATGTTAACTAAAAGTAAAAGATGCAGACTAAGATTCAGCTTCAGGAGGGAGGTGGAGACACAGGTGCAGCCAGCAAGAGAAAACTATATGGAAAAGGTTTTCTTTTTAATATAAATCATATAACATTAGCTTTGTTTTCTTTTTTTTTCTTTACAATGGTAACCGCACTTAACTTGGCTATGCAAAAGTTCAGCTTGGTCGCAGGTATAACTCATTTGTGTTTGTCTTTGACTGTCATTGTCATGATATCTCAGCTCAACACGGTGAGCAGCTCTACAAGGAGAGCAAGTAACAGTGCATTACTCTGTAATAACGTATCCAGTGTACAAAATATTAACTCTTAAATGTCCCAAATGACATAAATAAAGTGTACAGTTGGGCAGTATATAATGTATAATTATACAGAAATACATGATGTTTAACAACAGAGCTGAAGTCAGTGACCCATCTCCTGCCCGTCTCCCATGAACTGGCAACATGCTCACAGCACTAGGGGCTCTTTTCACTACCGGTCATCACAAGAGGGCACTACTCAACCAAAATGCATGAGCCCAAATAAAAGTAATGACAAGTGGAATCAAATACCATGTAATCTTTGTTACACAATTGTGGAATCATAAAAAATGTCACCATAAAATCCGATTAAACAAAAATCAATAAAATGTCAATTAAATATCCACATGCTCTGTGGCAGTTCAATGGACATGAATAAACAGGCGCAGGGACAGCTCCAGAATGATCCAGTACAATAAGAATCAATGACAAGTGTCTAAGAGGTGATCTGAGCATGGAGCTCTTTGAGGCTGTGTGTGCTGGCCTCAGGGCCGTCCTCAGAGCTCACAAACCCAGGATATGTGCTGTAGAAGGGGGCTGCTCTAGCCCCATCCTGCCCCCCTCTGGACGGACATGATGAAAAGAGCGGCATCAGTTTGGCATGAGCATAGTCGATCTCAAAACCCTCAAAGATCATCCCCACGGCAGAGGCAGCCAGGCTCTTGAGCAGCAGCAGAGCTACGCTTCGAGCAGCCTTCACCAGGGACACGTAATCCTGCTCCTCCAGGCTAAAGATGTCTGAGGGCAGGGGTCTCCGCGGGACCACCACCGTCAGCCCGGGAGTGTTGGGGAAGGGGGTGAGGAAGGCCACATGCCCAGGGTCCTCCCACACTCTCCACTGGAGCTCCTCTCCCCGCACGATCCTGGAGAAGAGGCCGGAGTGAGTGGGATCCTCCCCCAGGAAGGTGAAGTCTGGAGGGGAGAGAGGGTCTGGCAGCATGGCCCTGATCTGGCCCTGGAGCTCAGTCAGCCGATCCTCGCTCCAGCGAGGGGCGCTCTTGGACGTGCAATACCCAGGGTCAGTGGGGTTGAACTCCTCATCTGCAGCCAGGTGGGGGCGCCACTCTGTGTCCAGACCATGGAGAGGCAGCACCTGGACCTGAGAAAAGAACAGACACAATGTAAAGGTCAAATCCACTACACGCACTACAAGAAAATTAAAGTGTATTCCATCTGCTGGTCTCCATGTTCCTGCGTTGTGATCCAGCTCACAGCATTTTTGAACAATAAAAACACCTGTGACGCGCTGTACTGGACACACTTAATGTAAGACTCTGCAGCATCTCCATGGAGACAAGCAGCCAGTCATCAGAACAACGTTACTATTTAAATCCATTCGTCCCCTTACCTGTGGAGGGCGGTGTGGCTGAGGCCTGGACACCAGCGCACACCTGTGGACCCCCAGCCTCTCACACAAGAGCAGGGACACTGCTCGGGCCCCCAGGAGCAGGGACAGGTACACCTCCTCTGGCAGCTCAAACACACTGCTCCCCTCTGCTCCACTTGGGCTGGCCTCCACCACCACAGTGCCAGGGGTCCAGGGCCGCGTGCTCAGGTACGCAACGGTCCCCTCGGAGCTCCACACCACATGATGGGGGCCCGAGGAACTCATGCTGAAATAACAAGAGAGCAAAATGAACCTGTTCTCACTTGACTGAACACATACAGAGTGAAGTAGACAGTACAGGGACTGTGGAGAGGAGGCTGCACTGGCACTTGCACACACACCACAGCAAATGTCTGTCCTAAACTGGGACTAACCGGAATTAAACCAGGCCCAATCCAGGAGTGTGAATGCAGCTCAAGTCCAAGGCATAATTTGGCCTACTTAGAATGGCTGAAGTGGAGAAAAGCCTGGTATTTGGGCACCTCATGGGTCTATGGAACTTACTAAAACTTTGTAAAGAAAGAAAAATGCTCAGGACAAAACCAAAAATAGACCACTTAATCAATTCAAATATAGACCTGCTCTCTCAGCGTAACTGTAGCCCAGACGTCTAAAGGCCACCACACATTACGGGAGAATTTGCCCAATTTACTCTGTGATTTGCTTCTCCCCAAGTGCAGGGAGGCGTAACCCAACTTTGTATCTTCTTGTGCAATTTTGAAGCCGCTGTGCTCCTCGTGTGTGGTGTCAGTGTGACTCTGAGCTGCTCTGTCATAAACGTCACCACGGCAATAGTCAATAAAACAGAGCGTCAGGGCAGACTGAGTGATGGACACAGAGACACAAGATACAAACTAAATATCAAAAATAATTATTACTCATCTCTTGTAAAGTTGTAAATATAAACTGCAGCATTTCATCCATATTATCCATAGAATTTGTCCTCCGTAAATAATGACACCCAGTCCACAAAACAGAGCTGTTAATTCACTTTGAGGCGTTCTTTTAAAGTAAAAATGTGAGAGTAGTTCTTCACATGTGTCTGTTTACACCACACAGTGTTGGATGTGAGGAAACTTTGATAGTGACTCTACTTCCTGTGTACTTTATCACATTAACAATCATATATCTGAAGTATTGCACCATATTTCACAAATAATTATAACACAGTTTTCTCTTGCATTTAAACTGCAGAGCTCTGATCTTTGAACACTTAAGAGTCTCAAAGGGAGTGATTTTACTGTAGACAGGACATGGCTCACAACTTTGTATCCAGTGGTTCACAGACATATTCCGCTGCAGTCTTTACAATTGGAGATTTAAAATCTCATAAGATTCTCCTCATTTGTGGTGTGCACTTTTTGTCGCCCTTAAGCTCTACAGGCCCCCCCACGGGCCTAGATCCTACCAACACATGCCATATATCTCTGTAATCAAAGGAAACTCAGCAGAACAGCCAGATCACTCATTATCAGATTAAATGAACACAGCTCAATTAAAGAGCAAATATGTCCCCAAATGTCACAACCTAACTACATTGTTTAATAATAGACTTTTAAACTAAGCTTTCGCAAAAAAAATGTATGTGTACATCTGAAAGTTATATATCAATGTAAAACATAAAATCACCTGCATCCATCAATACTATATGTGTTTGTTTATCCCCAACTATAACTAATCCAGAAGGCAAAAAGTGCTGCCAGAATAGGCAAAACATCGAATTACAATAATAGTAAAAAAAAAAAAAAATTCTTCTTTGCTGTTTTTCCATTAAAAGTTTTCTCCAAACTTAAAACTCTATGTTTTGGCTAAATCAGGCATGTAAATAATGACCACAGTCTGAGGTACTCTCATATTGCACTATGTACATGTACACCTGGACTTTTTCCTACTAAAAACACTGTCAAAGGTACGTATTTTGTTTTATCTCTCCAAATTTTGCAGAAGTGAAGATCACATGTTGTTGTTACAATTCCTTGGTGTCCCAGAAGGTAAATGTAGTTTAAAAAAAAAAGTTAAAAAGACAATTTTCAGTTTAAATTTTATATTTTTGACAGGCCGAATTGAAAGGGTTGTGTTTGAGTCTAGTGTACTCATTGCTGATGTCTTATGTATATATGTGTGTTATGTATTATTTATATATAAAATATGTTATGTATTATCTCTGAGCATTGCAACTTCTCTTTGCAGTCACTCGTGACTTGCGTGCAGCTGATGACACGGGACTACACTGTTGCACAGTGTTGCACAGTATTGCAGTGTGCGGTTCGCCACCACAGCCCCGAGTCCAAACGATGGATCTGTATAATTCTACTTTACCTGCGCGTGTCACAGACTTCCGGGACCGTCCTGCGGAAGGGAAAGCAGATAGCTGGAATTGTTCTGTTTAAAGTCTTGACTGTGCGTAAAAGCATGGAGGAAGTGTTCTCCTCTTGCCGGCACGGCTACCAGAGCGCAGCACTGCGCTGCAGCACTGCCGCCTGTTGGACAGGAGCGTCCAACTACCGAGGCTGACAAGTTCATAATCAAATTAGACTAAGCGCTTAGCTGCGACAGACCGACGTGTCAGTCTACTCCTGTCGAGCTGAAGCAGGCCTACATCTTCACTGAACGTTAACCTTCATAGTTTTGCCTGTTTCATAGGCTCATAGAATCAGGCTGCATGCAGGACATACAGACATCGGGGTTCAATCTGCAGGGCAGACCTATAATCATACTCAAAATTACAAACTACCCAAAAAAACTATGCATGACTACTCACAGGTTTATTTACGGTCATTCTGATTTTACTGTAGGGACAGCCACAAGCTGTTTGGTACCAGGTCTCAGAGGTAAATCTATACTGGCATGTTTTACTTTTTTACAGTCTAACTTTGACAAACTAACACCTTATTTATGTTTTATAACCGCAATCATGAATATTAAAGACTACTTAAGAGTTTTATACATTTTTCACCCTGTGTTGTCAACAGAGCATTTCGTGAACCCCTGTCCAAGATGGCCTTTACAGAATGATAGATAAACCTTTATTGGAAAAAAGTAATAAATGAGGAGAGAACAGAGTTCAACAGGAGAATAAACATTTATTGAATCAGAAGAGCAAAGCGTTTATACAAGCTAAAGTAGCATTGAACTAACATCCAGTAAAGAAAAGCACCAGCACAGGTCTATGTACACACGTGGGGCTCGGGCCCATCTGGACAATGCGTCTCACTTGGCCGTTGTTCTGGTCTTGCTCTGGTGGTGGCGCCGTACCTCCTCCATCAGGTCTTTAAGGTATTGAATCTCCTTGCTGAGGGCCTGGGCTTTTTCTGACAGCTCCTGGTTCTTCTGCTCCAGGAGGAGGCGCTCTGCATTCAGCTCCTCCTGCTCCACTCTCTTCTTCTGGCGGTAACGTGTGGCCGCCGTCTTGTTCTGCTCCATCTTCTTGAGCTTCTTCTCCACGGTCTTGACGGGCTTGAGCGGGCGCGAAGGCTTTGTGTCGGACTGTGGGCGACTGTAGGGTTTGCTCCTGCAGCTCTGGGGGGTGTGAGGAGGGGACGATTCAATGCCCGAGTCGCTGTCACTGTCACTGTGAGAGCGACTGGGCACCTCTGCCAGGTCCACCTCACTGCCCAGCTCTGGGCTTAGGGGCTCGCTCTTCACTGAACCCTCTTGGCTCTCAGGCGTCAATTTGGGGGTGAAAGCAGGCTGAGGGCAGGGGGCCGGCACAGGATCAGGAGAGTCAGTACAGTCGTCAGACGAGTCCAGCAGAGAGTCTAGGTCGAGCTCACCCAGCTCCAGCTTCTCAGACACCCACTCCATAGCCAGCAAAGCATCGTCTGTGAAACAAACAGACAGTTTAGTTACAGAGAAAAGGCAAGGAAGAAGACCTTCCATAAATGTAAGAGATAAACGACAGAGCTCACCTTCCTCCTGAGGACACTCCATGTCCAGCAGGTCACTGGCTCCAAGCCATGGCAGCATCATGTCTGAGGCTTTGGCTTCAGGGAGAGGTGCATGATGAGAGTGCACAGGAGAGGTGGGTGAGAGGGGCTCCTCCAGAGAAGACAGGCCAAACAGAGCTTCACCACAATGGTCCAGAAGGGGCCCCAAAGTGTCAGCCGTCAGAAACAAGGACCCTAAGAGAAAACACACAGGTCAGCAGCTAGAAGCTAACATGCTAACATGCTAAAAGGTGTGCAGGAGACACCCACCTGAGTGCAGGGCCTCCACGTCCTCCAGGTCCAGCTCTGAAAGCATCATGGCTGCTCCGCTTCAGTGAAGGACTTAGTGATAACACAAGATTTGACTCAGGTGAGGTAAGTGACACACTGCTGTCCCAAGCAGCAAAGCACTGGGGGGAAGCCCACAACAACCTGCAACAGAGACTCATGTCAGCATCAACCATCAAGTCAAAGTTCAGACAGAGACGCCCGGGGTACAACTGGGGTGAGTCCTGCCCCATTAGGTCCAGCGAGTCTCTGATCATGGCTAGAACCTGGAGTCTGATTAGAGGCTCAAACCCTGTGCTGGCCTGGAGCACAGAGCTGCCAGAGCAGTTGTTCTGCATGTTCTCCTCATGTGCTGGGTGTGCCTCTTCACAGCCTGAAAACACCAACTAGAGCTGGTGGTGCAAGTTTTAGGCACGTTTAACTAGATCCCTGGTCACGTGATCATCGTGGCAGTATTGACATGCCTGTGGACGAGCTCATTGGACAGTTTGGCCAGGTCAAACTCATCTGAGGCACGAGACACGCACAGGACAATTATAAATACAACAAGGAAACCACGCCTCCACCGTGGCTCTTGTTTCCTAATATGGTCATTCTCTAGACTGGGGATCCGCCTGACCGCCATTTTGCCTGAACAGACACTGGCGAGGCGCTTTACACGCCATCTTGGACACGCCACGTTGTCCAAATACAAGTCTTTATTTGTCCTTATTCATACTACTGAGAGTCGTTCAGAAACATCTACATGCGCATTTCTTGCAACTTAAATTATTTTGGCAAAGAAATGGGACGTACTGACAAGGTTGCTACAGTAAGACACCTAAAGCTACTTAGTAGTGGTTTGAGAAAACCTACTGCCTTTTTAAATATGAGCCTTCAAAAGCATGTCCCCAGCCATAAAGCAGTCACTTTAAAGCGGTTCCACAGTCGACACAGATCAAGTAGAAAATTGATTAATACTTACGCCATATTGCCAAAAAATGCCAGCGCCCTTTGCCGATGCACTGCCAGAATGTTGCCGCTGCCGAACCTGCCGTTACACCGCCATTTTCCAGTGTTTTTATGGGAGGCCTGAAACAAAAGTGACAGCGGACAGAGCGCAGAGGGCGCTGGGCGCGGGGTCAGAGGGACAGGGCGGACAGAAAACAAAAGAGGACAGTAACACAGGAGACAGAGTGCGCGTGTGCCCGGGACTGTTTATAAAGTGCCGTACCACCACTGTATCCTTCCACGGACAGAGGCACATCCTTCCACGGGTCTAGATAAGGCGTGGCTTCAGCTCATAAACATGGATCTTTAATAAAAACATGTATTATTATAGTGGTCAAAGATAGACTGGTTCAGTTATAGATCATTGAACTATAAAACTACTACTAAAATATATATAAAAGTTTTTATTATAGATCCATGTTATTGATTGATGGAGGCAGCGGCCATCTTGTGAGTGGAACAAGAGCAAAATTCTAATTAAAAATAATGTAAATACAGGGTCAGGAGTTTCATTGATTTAAGTGTTTAAATGGAAATACAATGTGTACAATGTATTGTGTCCTAATAATGCAGGATTGTACTACTCATGTATTCTCTGAACTATGAATATGAATATTCACCTAAGAACACTGCACTGGTCTATATTTTATGCAGAATTAAAGTGTGTTCGTGAATCTTAGGCTGTTTAAAAAAATATATAAGCAGCCTATGGACTCAACCAGTAAAAATTATTCTGTTTATTTAGTTCACGCCACTCACAACATGTTTGCTGCAAATGGGCAGTCTTTAATATAGATTACACATTACCATGGCGACGATCTCTAGTTCCTTATTTATATCTCATTGGGCGTGGCCACGAGTGCTGTAGGACTCTCGGTCTACCAGCAGGGGGCAGCACCACTGCGACTCAGCACCTGAGCAGGAAGACAGGCGGATGTTGATGTTTCTGTGGCGAGCACAGGTTCACACCACGGCTCACACGTGCACATGTTCTGGTTCGGCAGCAGTCTGATCTGGTCTGATCTGGTATGGCATGGTGTGATCTGGTGTGGCATGGTGTGATCTGGTGTGGCCTGGTGTGATCTGAGCCGCCGCTATTTGGTTGTCTGGCTAATCCACAATCACATCTCTCTGTATTTGTACAGACGAAGACGCGATGTCTGCGGCGCTGGTCAGGAGAGGTCTGGAGCTGCTCAGCGCAGATGTCTCCGGTACTGAGGCGCCACACAGTGAGGAGACAAAGTGGCTCTCTGTCCTTTCCTGCCCTCTCCTCGCCCTGTCTCCTCTATCTCCTTGCAGTGTCTCCTCTCTCCTCACTGTGTCTCCTTTCTCCTCTTTGTGTCTCCTCTCTCCTCATGGTGTCTCCTCCTCGGTTCCCCTCTTCCTCAATGTGGCTGTCTGTTTCAGATGGACCAGATGGGAAAAAGAAGAAGACCAAACAGAAGGCCAGCGGGTCCAAGAGGTCCTCCAGAGTGCCCCCTCCTGGCCACCACAGAGGCTCAGCCAAAGGGCGCAAGATGAGGAGCGCTCTGGGTACGTCCCTCTGATTCAGGCTTGTTCAGGAGTTTTTTGTTTTGTTTACTTCTATGGAGTGTTATCTATCACACATATCATATAGATTACCATGTTACCTTTTATTTTTCAGAAAATGGTATATTTGGGCCAAAAGCCATATATTAAAATGTGTAATTGGTTTCAGATTAGTTTTTGGTGCTCGCCACCACCCTCCCTTTATCGCTCCCCCTTCAGAGCACTTTCACAACACAAGTGCCATACATGTGGGTAATCAAACTACTATAAATTGCTTCAGATTTGTCAAGTTGTAGTGTATAGTTTTGTATCATGCTTTTGTATATTTATGGAGAATTGTCCTGTGTGAGAGTGGGTAATTTGTGGGCGGAGCCTTGTACTGCTAACCGTAAGGTTTTGATGAGAGAACAATAGTAGAATGCTCCACAAGTCAATTTTGCATCATGCTCTTTAATAAGACGTCCGCCCATGGACACCTTTGTTAGTGTTAGCATTGTCTGTCATTGTGTGGGCAGTGTGGCTGAAGTGTTTTGCCCAAGGGCAGCTGCTGGACAAGTATAATGTGATGTATGTACTCTGTGCACAGAGGAGGCCAGCAGGGGGCAGCAGAAAGAGCACACCGCAGTGACTCTTCAGTACTTCCTACACAGTGGCAGCTCTGGCTCTGAAGACCAGACTGCAAAGGTACAACCTCCCCTCCTCACACACACTCTCTGAGGGAGTATTATTGTGTTACATCAAATGAAAGATTCAAGTTTTCTACCAAAAACATAGAATCACACTAACATGTAGATAAACAAAATCCTATTGCTGACATGAGCTAAAACAGCTTAAATGCGAAAAGTGTGTAGTAAACTCAGAAAGGGTGGGTAGTTTGTTCCAAAAGAGAGTAGGTGATCTTATGTAGTATCAAAAGTGTTTCTACTTTATATTCATGATTATTTACACTGTAGATTCTCACTGAAAGCATCAAAACTACAAATGAGCGCATATGGGATATAGTAAACAAGAAATACACTTAAAATAAATCCAACCTTGTTTTAGATTTTTAAAATCACCATCATTTGCTTTGATCACTGCTTTGCACTCTTGGCATTTCCCAAATAGGACACAGCTGAGAAGTGAAAACCATTTCAGGAGTCTTCATCATGAAGCTGACTGAGAGAAGGCCAAGGGTTTACAGCACTGTCAACAAAGCAAAGGACGGCTGCTTTGATTGAGAATTTGAATATAACGTATACAAATATTTAGTTTAGTTATTAACTTTGTTTCTTTGCAACATATTTCCAAGTATCTTGCTTCATATATTTGATGCCATCTGTATAAAATGTGGAAACTTGTAAACATAAAGACAAAAAAAAAACAAAAGGGTGTGTGTCCAAACCTTTGACTGGTAGTGTACATTGAAAAAGTTAAAACACATTTGAACCAAAGTAGTAAGAGTTGGACTCTCTGGAGTAAACTGTAGTAGGTGATCAGTGAATTGGGCAGACCTCATGTGGATTGTTAATCCGTGTTCAGTCAGCACAGTGTCTGGTGTTAATTTTGGCCCTCTCCGAAGCTTTACTCTCCTGCTGGGATCTGTTTGGGTCTCAAAAGTGCAGCTTTACTGTCCTACTGGGACCTGTCTCCGAAGTGCATTTAACTTTGTGAACATGAGAGCACCTCACACATGACGGAGCAGGTGAGTCCAGGCCATTGAGCTCCCCAGTTGTATAATGATATTATTATTCTTATCAACAATAATAACAATGATAATGATAATGGGGTGCTGAGGGATGATAATTATAACAACACTTGTGCAGCACTTTTCATGACACTCAAAGATACAATTTAGCACAAAAGATACCCTCAGTCTTGTGACCAGTGACATATCAGAAATGACTTGGTTGAGATGTAAGCATTGCCGGACCAGACTGTACAATGAATCACAGACCAGAAATACACTACCAGTCAAAAGTTTAGACACATTTGCAGAGGGAGGGGTAATGTTTTTTCAAGAGAAAGTGAATTGGTGCCAGCATGGATGGAGCTGATATTTGTCCATGTACTGTATACAGGATATGTTCAGGACAGGCATCATGTTTACAAATGTCAGCTTCAACCTGATTGTGTAGAACTATAAAGTATTGTTTTGTCTCTGGCAGATTATCCGGCAGAATTCAGGAAGGCAGTCCAAGAACAGTGTGGGGGCCCCTGCACAGAGGCCCCAGGAGCCCAAGAGCGTCTTCACTGAGGAGGAGTTTCAGCAGTTCCAGAAGGAGTACTTTGGGAGGACTGTGGAGGAGCAGTGACCCTGAACAGCTGTAGGGGGCACAATGTGGGACATATGTAGTCCTCTTCAGTCGCAGACTTCCCTCCTGTTCTATGGCAGCATTTGTGCAGAAGGTCTGTGGACTGTGAAAGACCAGGACCTGCATGAAGAAGAACCTGTCTGACCTACAGGCATGTGCTGAAATCCAGTTGGTTTAAACATAAAAGGACCGTGTCCTTTACCTGCAGGTTAAGGCAACTCGTAACTCACATCAGAGCAAAGGCTACATATGGCTCCTTTGAATGAGACGACATACGACTCCTTTAAAGGAGTCTACATGCGGCTCCTTTAAAGGTGCACTATGTAACTTTCTGCTCGAGGCTCTGTCACATGATTGATTACATGTTAATGTTATTGCTTTAATGTTTCTCAGTATGGCATTAGTCTTATTATCTCCAAAAGATGGCATAAGTTTAAGTTACCAAGTAAGATCTGTGGAGAGGTGACCTGTATAAAACATCTGTAATTGGAAAGATAAATGAAAGAGAAGTCCAGAAAAGGCACCAGCATCTCTATGGAGACGGCAGGTGTACCCTCCACGAGAGAAGTTACAAAGTGCATCTTTATGAATGTATTGTTGTGTAACACAGAAACAAATGTTTGTCATGGCGGTTTGGAATATTTAAGGAACTATATGTAGCCTGTGCTAATATAGTTTAGTTTTTAAGGAACTATCTACTATCAACAATAAACCTTTGTTACCAGAGCTTCACCTGCAGATAGAGCCACATCCAAGTGTGTCTCATTCTCAGTTTATGGTCAGGCCTCATGTAAAAACTCAGAATCTCCTGAATTCCCTCCCTGAGCTGCAGAGGCTGCACTAGCACTGACTCATGACAGGTGCAGGTACTGGGTTTAGGGACAGACCGTTCAGATCAGAGTGAGGTGTTTTAGGTTTAAACACACTGAATTTCAGCCTTGAAACTGGTAACACAAATAAGAGACTCAGGTGACGCCTTCTAAAATGTATTTTTTGCCATTTGGAAAAACAATAAAATGATAGATTTTATTTGTATTAGTTGTATATTTTTATACTGTAACCTTTTGCAGTCTTAAAGCCTAGTGCAGCTACAGAACACATTTGAACCTGTTCCATCCTTCGGGATATTCAATTTCTAAATATATAACATATGAAAGAGGCAGATGAGGACATCCTGGCACTGGCCTTGTTTGGTAATGATCTTTTTTTCTGGTGAGTGATTAGGAGAAGTGTGATCTGATACATAAACCAGAAGTGAAACTAGGCGAGCATTTCCCCCACTTGTAGGTCTCTCTGTGCTGTTTCGAGGAAGTTATTGCAGCCGCAACCTTTAGTTTGGCCTAAAAAATTCCTCTACGTCACTCAGTTTCTATCACTGTTCCACCTTGACGTGAAGAACAGAACTGAGCCAGACCGAAACACACTGAATTAGCTCCTAAGGACAGAAGAGGGTCAGAGGAGGACCACACCAGCAGGAGAGGAAGAGAGCAAGACCAGTAGGTAAGTGTTTTTGAATTTTGGAATGTGTTAAAGTCTCTGTACCTGTTTTTTTCTATCTTAAAAACATGAAAAACAGAACAGTTTGCGGTTCTTCTTCACTTAGCACCTTATGCATTCTGAGCATCCTAATTATTCACCATGATGAGTTTATAAATGCTTTTCACAACTCTCAGAGACGAGTGTGGGGTTGTGTCATATATTTTGACCTCAAGAGCTGCTTATAAAATATATCTGTACTGACACAAGACAAATGGTACAGATCAGGTACAGATGTGACAGTTTGATGAGGATGACTTGTCTAGTTGTGACGTTGTGAAAAGTGTTGTCATTCTTAATGAATTACAAGGAATAAACTAGGGCTGAAAAAAATATAAATTGTTGATGAATAAAAAAGCATTTCATGGACCACACAGACTGCAAACCAAAGCTCTGTTATGACTCAGTGACATCAGTCAAAAACAAATCTGACCTCAAACGACATCACTATCTAGTCAGTTATGTTCTACAATACTAGCAAAAGAATGACCTTTTCTAAATTTCATCTCTGCTTTACTCACAGATGAGTCTGATTTGTACGTTTCATTCACTGTCTTCTCAGTAGTAATGATTTGCAGTGGAAAAGTGTAGATAGGCGAGGTTTTGGGGAACAGGAACTGTGTGGTCCGTGGTGAGATAGGGACAGTCCACGAGCTGACACAAGATATAGAACACATCACCACAGCCACAGCCACAACTGATACAAGCACACGGCACTTCAAAAAACATGTTACATGAAATAGAAGCCCTAGGTAAATGAATAAGACTATTTTAGAGTTTAAGCTGATCCATTTTAAATGTGAGATCATTTAACATGCAGTCACTTATTTCTAAAGGGTTGAAGGACACATACTGCATTTACAGGGGAGCTGTTACACTTCTATGGGGTAGTAATTGCGAACACATAATATATTTACCTTTTACTTTGCCATGGCTGCCAAACTGCTCAAAACACACCTTTTCCTCTCAGCCTACAGCCCCACACACGACTGCTCCACATTACTGTTTCAGTCTGTCCTGTTCTTGTTCTAGTGTTACTATATTGTGAAGCGTCTTTGTCTTACTGTGAAAAGTGCTATATAAAAACAATGTATTTACTTTCATTTACTTTAATAATAATAATAATAATAATAATAATAATAATTGTTATTATTGTATAGTGTTGCCGAAAACAGTCCCCCTTCAGAGTGATATTACAACACATTGAATGAATAAATGAATGAATGTTTATTCAGTAATACAGTAATATAATTCAGTATACAGTAATATGTAGAACATGCAGAGAAAACGTAAATACATAGATATAACACAAAAAGTAAATATTTCTTTTCTATAATAATAAGCGAAAATAAATGTCATGCAAATTTTACTTGTGTCCGAAAAAGAAGTGGGAGGAAGTAAATACTTTTTTAACCCCACTTATTTTTTCTACTGTCCCAAATTAACAAAGAACATATAGACTTCACATTTCCTGTACAATCTGAGCTATAATTGCACAGTACACACACACACACACACACACACGCAGTATGAAGTACAAAGTCTTGCACAAGAGGTGTGGGTTTGTTCTGCTGACTGTGAGGAAGATTAGAATAGAGAATAGGGAGAGATCATGAAATCTAAAACCACTTCAGACATGTTTGTGATGAAGGAACAACGTTATAACATGATAGAAAGCTCCAAAAGGTGGGTTTTGTAAAATACCTTCTCTTTAAATAGGGTAAACTCTACTTGTTTTTTGTTAGGTCTGCCTAAACATTGTAAACAAGAAGAAAGACAAGAGATTAATTCAGTTTTACTCGCGAGGAGAACGGGCAAAGAGTGGGCATCAAAACCAACAGTCTCCACACGTTCTGATGCCTCAAGGCCGTTCTCCTCTTTTTATTTCATTAGGAGGCCCTAGTTACAGAATGATAATTCTCAAGGGGAAGGGGAAACAGCAAAGACATAATAAGAAACTGATGAAGCTATGCATAGTACAAACAGGAGGTGCCTTAGGTATGGTCAGACACCATCATAACTCTTGCATGTGTGACAGTGGGAGTTGGCTTCATGTGAGGAATCAAGTGATTGGTACATTATAAATCAAAGAATTGTAGTTACATGAATGGTTAACTCATAGGCCTAGAATATCACACAAGTATTTAGCAAATATGGGATAATAAAATTATTCTGACATTTCCCTCCTGTTTATCATATATTTGCTAAAGAAGAATCAATTCATAACTACTTCTTTCGATTTTCAGTTATGATTTCATAGTCAAGCAATTATATTTTTACACTCGGAGGTAATGTTATTTTAGTCGTGTATTTCTGCGTCATGATCAAATAGAAGTGAGAGAGCCAAGGAGGAGGAGTCCCCAATGTATGAATCATCACCAGCCAACAAATGTGCTTGCACTGCCTTATCGTCAGGATATGGGGCAATTGCAGGGGTGATTAGACGATTAATTAATTTTCTAAAACAGGATATGCAACAACAACCACACACTGTTAAAATGACAGTGACAGTGGGAGTTGGCTTCATGTGTGGAATCATCTCGAGGTTCACTAGAGCGATAGGCCACTGCACACAGTTGTCAAACACAAAGAGGTTATTCATTTTCATACAAGTGATTGGTACATTATAAATCAAAGAATTGTAGTACATAAATGGTTAACTCATAGGCCTAGAATATCACACAAGTATTTAGCAAATATGGGATAATAGAATTATTCTGACATTTTTATTGTTACTTTGTCTCATTATCTCACGTCAGAACAGAACAGTCTGAAACAGTCCAAACTCCTAGAATCTTTAGCTGTATATTTTTTAGTTTGTCTGAAATTGATTAGAAACAATAATCTGGTGTTAAGAGTTACATTCTGTTGTCATCATCATTGTGGTACTGAATATTGAACCTTTAAGTTAATTGTAATTTTAGTATTACAACAACCCTATGAGAGATCCATTGCTTTGTTGATACTGTATGTTGTGTTTATCTTGAATTAGGACTGGGCCATATGACTAAAACTAGAGCCCGACCGATATGGATTTTGCTGTGGCCGATATGAAACCGACATAATGGGAGTTGGAGCTGCCGATATAATCGCCGATATATTTAGTGATGTAAAAATTCACAGTAAATGTTGAATTGTTTAAAAAACTTAGGTTTGGCTCTGGTGGATTTTAAATTGGGTTTATTTAGGCAACATTTATTGTTATTCTGCCTCTTTACATCATATTTACAGACAGTAGGTTGGCTTAATGGCATTTTTGCATCACATTCTAGACACTCGTGATGGGTATTCCAGTTCTTTTTAGAGAACCGGCTCCTTTGGCTCGGCTCACTAAAAGCTGCTGGTTCTTTTGGCTCCCAAGTGGCTCTTCAGATTGTTTTGTTGCAAGCAGGTCTAAAGCACGTCTAAAGCAGGACTGAATCAGGACCGAACCAGGTCTAAACCAGGACTGAAAAAGGACTAAACCGGGACTTATTTGTTTTATGCTAAACTACAGTCAAATATGCTCGTTTTTTTTTTTTTTTTTTTTTTAAATCCTACGTACACGCAAATTTCTCAAAGTTTTGTTTTTAGCCGCTGCCGCTGTCAAACCACGAATCACGTGGCGTGAAGAGAAAAAAAAGTGAGAGAAAGAGAAAACACGGCTCCCAATAAGGATCAGGCTCCCGTCGTTCCCTTCAAAGAGTCGGCTCTAAGAGTCATTTCGTTCGCGACGGACCCATAACTAGTAAAGAAAGTAGCGCTATTAGCCTTTAGCCGTAAATACGTGCGCGCCGCGGTAATTAATTATTTGCGCAAATGTCATAATTCACACGTCTGTTCACAGCTCATTTACATATCAATGCAGGTCCAGTAGCAAATATACGGCCAATATAGTCACTTTAGAACAGACCAATAGAAAACAGTCTGTTTATGTGCGGGAGCTACAGCAGCTAACCCATAACAAATGACAAAAACTAGCTTCAGAGTCGACATATTTCCAACACTCACCGCTCATACAGGCTCCTCCTCACATCACAAATCTGCACTAATAAATGTCCTTTTAATCCAGACTCAAACCGATTGTCCGTAAAAAGAATATAATCTCAGTGTTTGGATCTGTGTCTGCAGGTGTAAACAAACACACGTGAGTGACGCGACTCTGTGGTGTGTTCAGGGACAGTACGGACACACACAGACAAATGACTCCGTAGATAAATACTGATGTGGAGCCACATATTAGGACATTTATCTGTCTGTAAATTGGATTAAATGAACAGAATGTAGAGAGTCTAAGATTTATAACGAGGTATAACCGATGGCTGATAGCCGATATGCCTAAAGTTGCCCATATCAGCCGATAATATCAGCCAACCGATATATCGGTCGGGCTCTAACTAAAACTATCATCTTTTCTTTTCTCTCTCAATTTTTGATTCACTTTTGTTCTACTAAAGATAAAGAAAAAGGATAATATGAACATAAACAGTACAATGTTTCAACTGGTCCAAACTGCAGGCTTTTACTGCACTTTCAAATGAAAAACATCGAAGCATGTCTTGCGGTTCAAAATAAATGTCAGTTAAAATGTGTTACGCTGAATATTGGCCTTTTTTGTGCTGCTTCCTCAGGAAGTCGCTGTAAATGAGAACAGCTTTTCAATCAAAAAAGAAAGAAGTCAAGAAAGTTTTTAGGGTCGTCTCTAATGTATTCCATTTTAGGGTTATCACAAGTACTATGTCACATGGAAACAGAGGGAGGACCCAAAACGCAGGACTGCTTCAAAATATTTAATGACAAATCAAAAAAATCCAAAACTCAAGACTAAATTGCCATGACAAGAGACACAGAGAAACTCGGACAGAGACAATGGACCAACAAAGGGCAGATGAGAACACAGGGTATAAATGCACACACATGAATGAGACACAGGTGAGACACATTAGGGCGGAGCAAACAATCAACAACAACAAACAATCAGGAAGTAAAACTCAGAACTACAAGCAGACAAAACAAATGTCAAAATAAAACACAAACTACAACCACTACAAAACATGAACCATGACATACTAGTCCTTAAACTAAAAACTAGACACTTAGAAATGAACCTTTCTTGAATAGCTTGAGAATCTTGAGCTGTATCAGAACAAGTAAAAGAGTGCACAAACTAGTATACACTATGGAACCTACGTGCTAATCAAATTTTTTGTGTAATTTTATTGTCGTGAGAACAGCATTATTTAGAACTACTAGATATAAAAGGCAAATTACCAATACAAAAAAGTTGACAAAGCATTTTCCCCTCACAACTTTAAAAATCTCTGTACTGATGATTAGACACTGTATATGTTCATAAACAGAAGCTTGATTGTAAAAAAAATATGTTGCAAATCTGATGGAATACTTTAAACTCAACCAATAAATCCAGGCAGGTGGTACTGTTACTGAAATGATACTTTTCATTTTCTAGCATATTAAAATACCAGTAGTTTTGCTTGTGGTTCCTCTTCCCTCTTCTATAAATGGCAAAAGCTTTATTTTGACAATATGAAATCATTTGAACATGTCCTTCCAATTACATTGACTTCAAATTATAAATCAGATGTTACATTCTGCTTCTTTTAGTTACTCTTACATACTTTTACTTGAGTACAAAGTTGGCCACTCAATCTATTTTTGCAGAATGGTGCCCAAATATGGAAATAACAAAAACGGTGCATATTAAGAAGAGCATTGCGGTGGTGAGGTGGTGTTTTGGAAAGTGTGCTCATCCTGTTTGTGTGAGTGTGTGTGTGCTCTCACTTCTGTATGTTCCAATAAACACGGCCCGTTTGCTTTCAAAGAACTTCATTAACCAAAGAAAATTATTATTACAAACACAATGGTTGTTTATTGCTGCTATAAAATATACAATGAATGCTAGTTTTTGTGTTTGGTCTTGTAGTTGCACTGATCTAGCAAAGGATCATGGTCTATGTAGTTTATGCATATTTTACAATTGGAAACCTGGGTGGAAAACAAGAAAAGGAGTACCAGAAACAAATTTGCAATGCATCTTTAATTCAGGTATTGATAAAATACTTTTGAGCCGGGGGTCTGACACTTGACCCACTGGAGATTTGCGTTGAGTTACTGTACATATTCCATAGTGCATCTTTCAACTTTTCTATCTACCATCATTATTAACTGTTATTCCATTGCTTGTGTCCTCACGGTGAGCTGCTTTTCTCCATGGACTCTGTGCTCTTGGGCATGGGAGGTCCTCAGTAGTTTTTCTAGTCAGAGAGTCAGGTGATCATGTATGTCATGTCTATTGTGCAAAATAAAATTCCCACACACATGATTGGAACTTCGGTGTAGGAACTGAAAGCACTCCTAAAATTAATAAGTAGAAGCAGATCTAAGTATGAAACATCCTTAAATGTCTTTCTGATGGTTCACTGTGTATTCTTGGGCTGTCTGAAACATCTTCTTGGAAACTATGGCTCTTTTTTATATTTAGCAGTTAAACTCTAGAGTAGACTTCCTTCATTAGTCCAAAGAAGTGGGGCTGCATTCTTATTTGCAATTTAATCAAATTACAATGTCATGGTCACGTGATTTACTTAGTTGAAAGTATGTCTTCAGCAAACAACAAACCAAACAAATGCACACCAAGCACTAGTTTAGACCCCAACAAACATGTTCTGAAATGTGACAGACTTTTATATTTGGCTATTTTTTATTTTCTCTCAAATGCTAATGCATTTCAAATGTGCACTGAGCAATTGCAAAACTTTGCAATAATGTTCAGCCACTGACAAATTTAAAACAAACAAACAACAAACAAAAAAACCCCAAAAAACTTCTAATTCTGAATTCCCATGTGGTTGACAGCACTATGATGGCTCCTGGGCGCCTCCTGTTGCTCCTGTGTCTGAGTCTGTCTGATGTGGCCCCTGTCTGGCCCCAGTGTGAGCCCCTCTCCATCCACAGTGAGTAGCTCTTATCTGCTCTATCGCTTTGGTTCTGTTTAGCATAGTTATATTTCCATTAAGGTTTTAAGATGTGGGGTGTGTTTCTTCTCATCAGTGATGGGAAATACTTTTAAAATGTATTCAGTTACAGAATACAGAATATCTGCATTAAAATGTATTTTGTTACTGTATTCTGAGTACCAATACCATTAGGTATTTTTGGTACATGTCTTCAGTTACTTTCTGCTTCTGTTTCTCACAGAATTGAAACTTTTTAAAAACAAAACAACATTACATCATGGACCTTTTAAATTGCACCTTGTACCTTGTTTTTCTCACTTTGAAATACCACATTTTCCGGTGGAAAATTTTTACACCACTCAGAGATGTGTATAAATAATTGTCAGTAAACTAAATACAATAACACATAATATAATAATAATAAATACATCTTTTTATTTCCAATTTTAAAATTAAACAAAATGAATAAATAGTTTTGAACAATATGAGAAGAATCCTTTTCTACTGCTCCATCTTCACTAAAGCAGAAGAACACTGATTTACTTACCTCAGCGTCCAAACCAGTTGTTTTTTTCTGCTCTTATTTAAGAAAATTCTTAAATCTGTACTTTTGACATTTACTTGAGGAATTTTATTTGAAGTTATTACACTCTTAATTCAGTCCAGAGTCTGTCTTCTCTATCAGCCAGTGGTTGTTGTGAGATGTTTCAGTAGTTCTGTGTGTGTTGTGTTGTGTGATGGTTGTGTGTGTTGTGTTGTGTGTGTTGTGTGATGGTTGTGTGTGTTGTGTTGTGTGATGGTTGTGTGTGTTGTGTGGTGGTTGTGTGTGTTGTGTGGTGGTTGTGTGTGTTGTGTGTGTGATGGTTGTGTGTGTTGTGTTGTGTTGTGTGTGTTGTGTGATGGTTGTATGTGTTGTGTTGTGTGATGGTTGTGTGTGTTGTGTGGTGGTTGTGTGTGTTGTGTTGTGTGATGGTTGTGTGTGTTGTGTTGTGTGATGGTTGTGTGTGTTGTGTTGTGTGATGGTTGTGTGTGTTGTGTTGTGTTGTGTGGTGGTTGTGTGTGTTGTGTTGTGGTTGTGTGTGTTGTGTGTGTTGTGTGTGTGTGTTGTGTGTGTTGTGTGTGTTGTGTGTGTTTGTGTTGTGATGGTGGTTGTGTTGTGTGTGTTGTGTGTGTTGTTGTGATGGTTGTGTGTGTTGTGTTGTGTGTGGTTGTGTTGTGTTGTGTGTGTTGTGTGTGTTGTGTGTTGTGTGTGTTGTGTGTGTTGTGTTGTGTGTGTGTTGTGTGTGTTGTGTTGTGTGTTGTGTGTGTTGTGTGTGTTGTGTTGTGTGTGTTGTTGTGTTGTGTGTTGTGTGTGTGTTGTGTGATGGTTGTGTGTGTTGTGTTGTGTGGTGGTTGTGTGTGTTGTGTTGTGGTTGTGTGTGTTGTGTGATGGTTGTGTGTGTTGTGTTGTGTTGTGTGGCCTTTGCAGATTTAATGTCTCTCTCTCTTTTAAATTTTATGATTATTTCAGTTTTGATTAGTTTGTGTTGTAATTTTCATGGATTTCTTCTTCTGGAAAGCACTTTGAATGACTTTGTGTATGAACTGTGCTCTACAAATCAACTTGCCCTGCAGATCTGAGTTGTTACTACAACTACAACAGACGCATCAACTGTGAGTGGACGAGTGACACTTTACACAGATGCATCATTCAAGGAAGCAAAACCAACGTGCACAAACTGTAAGCAACAACACACGACAACTACACACACGACAACTACATACACGACAACTACACACACAACAACTACACACACAACTACACACACAACTACACACACGACAACTACATACACGACAACTACACACACAACTACACACACAACGATTACACACACAACAACTACACACACAACTACATACACGACAATGACACACACGACAACTACACACACAACAACTACACACACAACTACATACACGACAATGACACACACGACAACTACACACACAACAACTACACACACAACTACATACACGACAATGACACACACGACAACTACATACACGACAACTACATACACGACAACTACACACACAACTACACACACAACGATTACACACACAAGAACTACACACACAACTACATACACGACAACTACACACACAACTACACACACAACGATTACACACACAACAACTACACACACAACTACATACACAACAACTACACACACAACTACACACACAACGATTACACACACAACAACTACACACACAACTACACACATGACAACTACACACACGACAACTACACACACAACTACACACACGACAACTACACACACGACTACATACACGACAACTACACACACAACTACACACACAACGATTACACACACAACAACTACACACACAACTACATACACGACAACTACACACACAACTACACACACAACGATTACACACACAACAACTACACACACAACTACACACATGACAACTACACACACGACAACTACACACACAACTACACACACGACAACTACACACACAACTACACATACAACGATTACACACACAACAGCTACACACACAACTACATACATAACAATGACACACACGACAACTACACACACAACAACTACACACACAACTACATACACGACAATGACACACACAACAACTACACACACAACAACTACACACACAACTACATACACGACAATGACACACACAACAACTACACACAACTACACACACACAACTACATACACGACAATGACACACACGACAGCTACACACACAAATACATACATGACAACTACACACACAACAACTACACACACAAATACATACATGACAACTACACACACAACAACTACACACACAACAACTACACACACAACTACATACACGACAACTACACACAACTACACACACACAACGATTACACACACAACAACTACACACACTACACACACATGACAACTACACACACACGACAACATACACACACACACACACGACAACTACACACACAACTACACACACGACAACTACATACACGACAACTACACACACAACAACTACATACACAACTACACACACGACAACTACATACATGACAACTACACACACAACTACACACACAACGATTACACACACAACAACTACACACACAAATACATACATGACAACTACACACACAACAACTACACACACGACAACTACACACACAACTACACACATGACAACTACACACACGACAACTACACACACAACTACACACACGACAACTACATACACGACAACTACACACACAACAACTACACACACAACTACACACACGACAACTACACACACGACAACTACACACACAACTACACACATGACAACTACACACACGACAACTACACACACAACTACACACACGACAACTACATACACGACAACTACACACACAACAACTACACAACAACTACACACACGACAACAACTACACACGACAACTACATACATGACAACTACACACACAACTACACACACAACGATTACACACACAACAACTACACACACAACTACATACACGACAATGACACACACAACAACTACACACACAACTACACACACACAACTACATACACGACAATGACACACACGACAACTACACACACAACTATACACACACACAACTACATACACGACAATGACACACACGACAACTACACACACAACTACACACACGACAACTACACACACAAATACATACACGACAATGACACACACGACAACTACACACACAACGATTACACACACGACAGCTACACACACAAATACATACACAACAACTACACACACAAATACATACACAACAACTACACACACAAATACATACATGACAACTACACACTACACACACACACACACAACTACACACACAACAACCACACACACGACAACTACACACACAACAACTACACACACAACACCTACACACACAACAACCACACACACAACAACTACACACACAACAACTACACACACAACAACTACACACACACACACACACACACACACACACACAACACACACAACACACAACTACACACACGACAACTACACACACGACAACTACACACACGACAACTACACACACGACAACTACACACACAACTACACACACACGACAACTACATACACGACAACTACACACACAACAACTACATACACAACTACACACACGACAACTACATACATGACAACTACACACACAACTACACACACAACGATTACACACACAACAACTACACACACAAATACATACATGACAACTACACACACAACAACTACACACACAACAACTACACACACAACTACACACATGACAACTACACACACGACAACTACACACACAACTACACACACGACAACTACATACACGACAACTACACACACAACAACTACACACACAACTACACACAACGACAACTACACACACGACAACTACACACACACTACACACATGACACACTACACACACACACACACTACACACACAACTACACACACAACACACTACACACGACACAACACACACACAACACACACACACAACTACACACACACACAACGACAACTACATACATGACAACTACACACACAACACTACACACACAACGATTACACACACAACAACTACACACACAACTACATACACGACAATGACACACACAACAACTACACACACAACTACACACACACAACTACATACACGACAACACACACACAACTACACACACACACACACACACAACACACGACAATGACTACACACACAACACACACATACACACACAACACACACACACACTACACACACAACATACACTACACACACAACATACATACACACACAACACACACATACACACACATACACACACAACACACACACATACACACACACACACACAACATACATGACATACACACACAACACACTACACACATTACAACACGAAACTCTCTTCAGACTCTCTGCGTCTTGTAGCAGTGAACTCGTCAGTAGAACATGGAAATGATATGACTTCAATGTTGTATTTCAGTAAATTCTTTTATGGCTACAGCTCCAATTGCACTTTGGAACCCCCGGACCAGTCGGGGATGAGGAGGTGCTCGCTGCTCTTCAATAACCAGGTAAGATGGAAGACTGAGAGATGCATGGACCTACCAGTGTGCTTGATTTTTGTTTGTTTGTTCTTTTTTTTTGTTTTTTGTTCTTCTGTGATGCCCGAGATGTTTCAAAGGCGTGTTGCACAGAATCGATGGTAGTTTTTTTTTTTTTTTTAGCAACATACATGCATGTCATTGGGAAAAAAAACAACATATTCTCGTGGAGATGGGAGACAGGTAACAACCCTCTCACCAGAAGTTACAAAGTGAACTTGTAAATAATGGGTTGCCATTCAAGAACATACACACATTTTGTATTCCCTGTTGGGAAATTTAAACCCATCCTTCATTCAGTTCCTCTGGTTAACCTTTCAAGGGTTATTGTGCCAGTAGGTTCCATTAATATGACATCACATCAAAAAGAGTGTAAGGGCTGTAAAGCAGAGATGCTGGTCAGTTTGGTGGTGTGAGAATGTGCTAGGATCAAGGACTTTTCACATAAAACATATTTTGCAGAGAAAGTACATTCTAAGACATGGGATTTGTCCTGTATTTTCAGATGAAGAATTTTGACGTGTTGTCTCTGAAGCTGTCATGTGACCACCTGTCCCAGAGTTTGGTCACCAGCTTCTTGGTGAAGTGCCATGGTGAGTTCTAACTCCTCTGTCTGCTGTCCCTTCAGAATGACACACTGTATGTTATGGCAGCTTCAAAATCATGAGTTAGTATGCCAAAGTCTAAACCTCTCAGTTGTGTTTGTAGACTAATAAAGACTCACTCTTAAAGTCCTGAGATGACTACATGAGTCTCTAGTGCCTCTAGTGGTCAATCTGTGCTCTTAACACCTCCAGTGCTCAGGGACTGTGAGTATCTGTCTGCGTTGCCTGGTGGCTTAAATGCCACAGCTTCTGGAGCAGTGTTTTCTAAACTTTTTTTCTGGGGACTCATATATTAAAAGTCACAAACCTCCATGACCCAAGTCAATAGACATTATTCATAAATCACAAAATAAAGGTGGATTTGAGCATTATTGAACACTGACTGAGTGATCGTGTTTCTCTAAGCAATAAGTTTTACTCAGGTTTTAAACAATGAAAAACAGTCATTGAAGCAGCAATAAAAGGATCCACAAGTCATCAATTTAGACATTAAATGTAGCCCATTTCTTTTTCTTTTTAACATTCAACTGAACCAGCAATATTGGAACAAAATAGTCAATAAAATGATTACAAAAAGATTAGAAATGATAGAAAACATGTCTTAACATTTCAGCATTTCTAATGAGATAGGTGGGCCTGTGTAGTGTGTTCAGTCCGGGTGCAGGAGGAGACGCAGCAGCAGATCAGACGCAGCATTCAGTTTGTTTCTGTGCTTTGGCTTCATTTTTGTGAGCACAGAAAATCCCAATCCACAGATATGTGTATTTTGTAGTGAAATAAATAAACTGAGAAATACTGGCTCTACAGAGGACAGGAGGACAGCTCTCTCATGTGTCAGAACTGTGTATCTCAAAGCTACATGCAGATCGTGACAAGGTGACCCCCCAAAAATCTCTTACGACCCACCTGAGGGTTGTGACCCAAGGCAAGGCAAGGCAAGTTTATTTGTATAGCACAATTCGTACACAAAGTAATTCAAAGTGCTTTACAGAATAAGAAATACATTAAAATCATAATAAAAACAAATCAAAACATAAATAATCATGAAGATTAAAATTAAAAAAGAGAGACATAAATTGGAGAGAAGAGTGCGGAATGAAAACCTTTCAGTTATATGCACAGTTAAACAGAAATGTTTTGAGTCTGGATTTAAACAGCGTCACAGAAGAGTCTGTCTCACATGTTCAGGAAGACTGTTCCAGGTTTTAGCTGCATGAACCTGAAACGCTGACTCCCCTTGTTTAGTCCTGACTCTGGGCACCAGCAGGAGGCCGGTCCCTGAGGTCCTCAGAGTGCGAGATGGTTCATATGACACTAACATGTCACAGATGGACTTTGGTGCTCGGCCATGGAGACACTTGTACACAAGCAGAGCTGCTTTAAAGTCTATTCTCTGAGGCACAGGAAGCCAGTGCAGAGACCTGAGCACAGGACTTATGTGCTCGTACTTCCTAGTTCGAGTAAGGACCCGAGCTGCAGCGTTCTGGATGTTCTGCAGCGTCTCACAGCTCGTTTGGAGAGACCAGTGAGCAGACCATTACAGTATCTAACCTACTGGAGACAAACGCATGGATAAGTTTCTCCAAGTCTGATTTAGACAGTAAACCTTTGATTTTTGCTATGTTTTTTAGATGGTAAAAGGCTGCAGATGTTATTGATTTGATGTGGCTGTTAAAGTTCAAGTCTGAGTCCATTATTACCCCTAGATTTCTTGCCTGATTTGAAGGTTTTAGAGAGAGAGACTGGAGGTGACTGCTGACACTGTCCCTTTGTTTTTGTGGACCAAACACTATGACTTCAGTCTTGTCAGAGTTTAGCTGGAGAAAGTTGTTTTGCATCCACACACTGATCTGTTGGATGCAGTGACCAAGTGAGTCCACTGGTCCATAGTCTCCTGCTGCCAGAGAGACGTAGATCTGAGTGTCGTCTGCATAATTGTGGTAGGACACATTATTGCTGCTTATTAACTGGCCTAATGGCAGCATGTAGAGATTGAACAACAGGGGGCCCAGGATTGACCCCTGAGGCACCCCACAGGTCAGGGCCATGTGATCTGAGACACAGTTTCCAATTTCAACAAAATACTTCCTGTCTGCTAGATAGGACTTGAACCAGTTTAGTACAGTACCAGAGATGCCCACCCAGTCCTCTAGTCTCTGTAAGAGGATCCCATGATCGACAGTGTCAAAAGCGATCGACAGTGTCAAAACCCAGTCTTTGGGAAACAATGTTCTGGAGGATATTACTGTAGCCACAGCTGCCCTGGGATTGACAGAAGCTGGGCTGCCAATCTACTCTGGATCATAGGGCCACAGTCACTCACCTGTGCACCTCCTTTATACATAAACAGGGCGGGTATGCACGGGTCCAAGCTGGGATCATTCACTATGTTTGATAGGAAAGGCAACAATGTTTTACTTAGCTAAGAATTATAAAAAAAAACAAAACAAAAAAAACAACTCTAATGTGCGGTGTGTTTGTGTGGACAGTGAAGCTGGAGGCCCCTGATAAACCCGCGGTAAATGGAAGCAGCCTCTCTTGGGCCTCTCCAAAGGTGGTCCAGGACACCTTAGAGTACGAGCTTCAGTTGATGTCTCAGGAGCACCCGTGGGTCAGTATACACTCACCTGTACACTCACACACAGTCACACACACTCACGCTCACACACGCTCACACACGCTCACACACGCTCACACACGCTCACGGATGCTCACGGATGCTCACGGATGCTCACACATGCTCACACATGCTCACACATGCACAGATTTGTGGCTGATGGGTGCTCTTCTTTCTCTAGGGGAGCTGGCCAGAGAATTTCAAGTGTAAGGAGCAGTGCCGGGCAGAGCTGGACAGCGGGTCCCTGGTGCTGGGGGGCAGGTACAGCGCACGTGTCCGGGTTCGAATGCCCAAACAATATTCCAGGGTGTCAGAGTGGAGCGACTGGGGGCCCACGCTGTCCTGGGAGTCTACAGTGGGAGAAGAGCAGAAAGGTACTTATCCCCTCTCACCAGCAGGGGTCACTGTGCCCCTCTCCAGACACAGGCTCATTCCAAATATTTCAGATTATAGCTCCAAGCTCCTACATCCTAATTCCTAACTCCTTTACCTTTGGAGCAAGACTACTGGTCAAAAGTTTTAGAACACCTTAATTTTTCCAGTTATTTAGTGCAATTCATGTCATGCAAGTCCAGTGAAGAGCTTGAAATGGTACAAAGGTAATAACTGAACAGACAGAGGTTAAAAAAGGATAAAAAATACAAAACACAAGTCCAAGCTCTGCCAAAACTACCTCAAGAAAAAAGAACAAGATGGTAAACTTGAAAACCTGGAGTGTGCAGTACAGTGTCTAGACTTAAACCCCATCAAGGTGGTTTGGGATGAACTGGACAGAAGAATGAACCAACCTACAATTTACAACATACAACACCAAAGATTTTTTGTGGTGTTACCTGCCTAGGGACTCCAGATGGAAATGAGCATTCTTGCTATAATCTGGCATATTTACACTGCAGTCTTGTAGATGTTCATTAATATGCACTGTCCCTATTCAATAAATAAATACAATAAACAAGTGCCACACATTTATGGAACTTCTGCAACAGACTTGGGAAGAACTTTCTGAAGAATATTTGATTTCTGTTGTAAAAAGAACGAGCCACGAGTGTGTTCAGCTGTTATATCTTACTATAACTTTCACGAGTCAAAAGTTTAGAATATGTTTTGGTCAACAGTAAACAGCAAAAATTTGGAAAAAGGGAGACACAGGCAGAGAGGAGAAGGAGCCATCCTAACCTGAACAACGGAGAAGCCACGTGACCCACAAGTGTTGAATAAAAACTATATCACCCGCAAAAGGCCCTACAACAGGAGCTCCTCGTTCTCCTCTGTTGAGCTGATTTGAATGAGAATTACAACATGACAGTGTTCTTAAATAACATGAGTGTTTGTTTGTTTTTCTCACATGAGAGAAGACGCTGTTGTTGAATAAAATAACTCTGCCTCACAGCTGCTTAGGAAGCTCCTGTAAAAGGAAATATACAGGCTCCTTTTTCTAACTCAAACTCTGCACAATATTCAGACTGTTCATCCTTATCATGGTCGATGGTCACACACGGACGCTCTGGTTTAACAACTCTGCAGTTTCATGGCCAATTTGACAAATTTGGAAACACACACACACAGACACACAGGCACACACACAGACACACAGGCACACACACACAGACACAGACACACGTACACACGCACACACACACACACACGCATGCACACGCACACACGTACACACAGACACATACGCACGCACACACACGCCCACACACGCACACATGCACGCACGCACACACACGCACACACGCGCGCGTACACGCACACACACACACACACATGCACAGACACGCACGTACACACACACATGCACGCACGCACAGACAGACAGACACACACCCACGCATACCCCCCACACACACGCACACACGCACACACACACACACACACAAACACACATGCACAGACAGACAGATACACACACACGTACACATGCACAGACACACTCACACGCACATACACACATGCACAGACAGACAAACACACACACATGCACAGACACACGCACACACGCACACACAGACACACACGCGCACACACACACATGCATGCACAGACACACGCACGCAAGCACACACAGACAGACATGCACACACACACGCACGGACACACACACACACACACACACACACACACACACACACACACACACACACACACACACACACACACACACACACACACACACACACACACACACACACACACAGACTCCTGTAGAAGACAACAGTTTAGTCTCTGGTACTCCTCTTCTCAGACTATGTGGCATTTAAAGGGTTTATATTATGCAAATCTTCTGATCTGTTAGTTGTGTTTTATTTCAGTCACCCATGTTTAACCCACAAATGCTGCATATTTAGGCTGTGTTCTTCACTCAAAACTGAAAACACTCCTTGCACATGCGCCAATCACTCTAAATACAACTTTGAGTGGTAAAATGAGAAGGAAAACAACTATAACATGGGTAAAAGCTAAAAAAATATATATATATTTTATGTTTTTATGTCCTTTTATGTTTTCCTTAATATCTGAGTTTGTGCCTACAGGGTCTGGGACAGCAGGGTCTGGGACAGCACTTCTAGGGACCTTTGCTGTTGTGGTGACTGTCATTTTAGTTCTGACTCTGATGTTCTGGACCTCCAAGACCAACTGGTGAGTACCCGGCAGGTGACCCCAGACAGGTGCACTGAGCTTATGGGGTATACTGAGGCTGTGCTCCTGTGCAGGGTGTACGTGATGAAGTTCATCAAAGGAGATCCTCTGCCGAGCCCCACCCCCTCCGTCCTCAAAATGGTGAGCAATGATTCTGTATTTTAAAACTTCAAAAATAAGAAATAAGAGAATTTCTGGGAAGAGAAACTTGGATTTTTAAAAGCCATGATGTTAGCCAAGGCTAGACTGTATAAATGGAATAACAAACCCCCTGCTGTGCTCCAAAAAGAAAATGAGCATGGAGTGCGCTTCCGGCTCCAGCCACTCCAATTTACTTTGTATTGAAAAAACAATTTCTGTAACTGTTGCTATAAGCCTCATCATTCTGGTCTTAAAATGTTTGTATTAACCCAATCTATACAATCCTGATGGTTTTATTTTACAATTTTGACCCCAAATGAAGATATGAACATTAATCACAGACAAAGTAGGCACCTTCTTTCCCAGAGGCTGCGCTTTCTTAGCATAAGCAACAGGTTTGAATGACAGCATTCGTAAGCATCATGGTCAGAATTCAAAATATAGAACTCGGCTCCAAATTCACCCCTACTGTATAACTACCGGCCTCGATGAACTTCATTTGGCTGGAGCCATACACAATAGGTGATGACACACTTCCTTAGTCCACTTCTTTATACAGTCTATAAACACTGCATCACATTACTTCATTGTTAATCTGTGTTTTTAATAAACAACAATATGATCTTTTAAAAGTCAATAAATGTCCCTGCCCTGACCTGTCCATGTCTTTCAGGGCTGGAAGACTTCTCCCTTCAGCAGTGACTCTTTCCTGACCTTCTTCAGACCTGTGGAAATATACTCCTCCGTGGAGCTGCTCCCCACACCCAGACCCCCGCTGAGCCCCCTCCCTGACGACAAATTGCTGGCCCCACCTATCCCCTCGCTCCCTGGCCAGTCCAGCTTCTCCAACCCCATTTACTCTCACCTGTGCCCCACCGCGCCCCTGCTGCCCTGCTCCGCCGACAGCCCGTACGGACCCCACCCAGACCCTAACCCAGACCCTAACCCAGACTCTAACCCAGAGCCGGAGCCTAACCCGGACCTCCCAAGTCACATGGGAGAACTTCCATGCCCTGAGCTGGAGCTGCTGCTGCTTCTTATGTCTCAACAGTGCCAGGAGGTGCCAGTGAGTGACTATGAGAGGGTGGAGGCAGTGGGGACCTTGGAGGAAAGGGTGCGGCTGCCCAGTGTGGACTCCGGTATGGGCAGTGGGGAGGAGGTGAGCCACGACAGTCTGCACCTGATGGAGGACCAAGCTTGTGGAAGTTCTCTGGTACAAGAAGATCAAACTGGTCCACACCCCCCTGGATCTCTCACACCCGTGATAGGGACAGCTTAAAGGGACTGTGTTATCTAGACTGTGTCCTCTGATGAGGGCGCATCGAGGGTTCATGGGAGTTTGCACAACCAGTCTACATGTGCTTTGTGGATCTGGAGAAGACATTTGACCATCTCCCTTGTGGCTGGTGGTGTCCTGTGGGGGGTGCTTTGGGAGTATGGGGTCCGGGGCCCTTTTCTAAGGGCTGTCCGGTCCCTGTATGACCGGAGCAGGAGCTGTGTTCATTACCAGCAGTAAGTCAGACCTGTTCCCGGTGCATGTTGGACTCCGCCAGGGCTGCACCTGTCACCGGTTCTGTTCATTGTCCTTATGGTCAGAATTCTAGGTGCAGTCAGGGGCTGGAGGGGGTCCGGTTTGGGGACCACAAGATCATCTCTGCTGTTTGCAGATGATGTTGTCCTGATGGCTTCATCAAAACAGAACCTCCAACATGCACTGGGGGGTCTGCAGCCGAGTGACGCGGGTGGAATAAAAACTTGTACTTGCAAGGAAGGCGTTTTCTGACTGAATGAACCCCATTTGTCAAAGTAAAGGTGTAGTTGGTCCTACAGTGATGAGACGAGTTCAGATTTTGCCCCCAAACAAGATAGTGGCAGGTTTTCACTGGAGTACCTGCAGCAGTTAGTGTGCCCTTTGGCAAGACACTTCACCAGGTCTCTGTGTGTATGTATGTGAGCGTGACAGAGGAGAGATGAAAAAGGTATCAAATGTATATAAAAGAGTGCATTATTAGATTTTTGCTGCTGATATTAGATCTTGATAGTGTATTTATTTTAGAGTAACCTTGTGATGTAGCCTGATTTGAAGTGTGTGTGATGCTAACTGCAGGGACTGCTCTGTCTACAGCTCTGTTTCTTAAGTAAGACTTTAATCTGTGCTTTGTTTGGACCAGACAGAGGTCATCTGATTTGTGCTGTATAACAAGACTGTCACTTAAATATGGCCAGAGAATGTATTAGAAATGAATGTATTAGAAATTTAAAGTTTATTTAAAGTACTTGGAGAATACCTGCTTTCTATTTTATATTTTATAAGAAAACACAAGTGGCACTAGGGATGATCTGATATGGGTTGCGTCAATAACTGAAAACTTTTAAAGAGTGTTACAGCTGTATTATAACATGACATATTTAGATCACCATATTGTTTTAAAAATGCTGTACTGTAAAATGCCCAAAACAACATATTCATGGGTCTTTGCTGTGTGTGTAATAGTCCTACGACGTGTGTGTAATAGTCCTACGATGTGTGTGTAATAGTGTGTGTAATAGTCCTACGACGTGTGTAATAGTCCTACGACATGTGTGTAATAGTCCTACGACGTGTGTGTAATAGTCCTACGACATGTGTGTAATAGTCCTACGACATGTGTGTAATAGTCCTACGACATGTGTGTAATAGTCCTACGACGTGTGTGTAATAGTCCTACGACATGTGTAATAGTCCTACGACATGTGTGTAATAGTCCTACGACATGTGTGTAATAGTCCTACGACGTGTGTGTAATAGTCCTGTGATGTGTGTGTAATAGTCCTATGATGTGTGGAGGTGTGTGTGCACTTGTGTGTGTGTGTGTGTAATAGTCCTGTGATGTGTGTGTAATAGTCCTATGATGTGTGGGGGTGTGTGTGCACTTGTGTGTGTGTGTAATAGTCCTGTGATGTGTGTGTGTGTCTGTGTGTGTGTGTAATAGTCCTGTGATGTGTGAGGGTGTGTGTGCACTTGTGTGTGTGTGTGTGTGTGTGTGTGTGTGTGTGTGTGTGTAATAGACCTGTGATGTGTGAGGGTGTGTGTGCACTTGTGTGTGTGTGTGTAATAGTCCTGTGATGTGTGAGGGTGTGTGTGCACTTGTGTGTGTGTGTGTGTGTAATAGTCCTGTGATGTGTGTGTGTGTGTAATAGTCCTGTGATGTGTGTGTGTGTGTGTGTGTGTGTAATAGTCCTGTGATGTGTGTGTGTGTGTGTGTGTAATAGTCCTGTGATGTGTGTGTGTGTGTGTGTGTGTGTAATAGTCCTGTGATGTGTGTGTGTGTGTGTGTGTGTGTGTGTAATAGTCCTGTGATGTGTGTGTGTGTGTGTAATAGTCCTGTGTGTGTGTGTGTGTGTGTAAAATAGTCCTGTGATGTGTGTGTGTGTGTGTGTAATAGTCCTGTGATGTGTGTGTGTGTGTAATAGTCCTGTGATGTGTGTGTGTGTGTGTGTGTAATAGTCCTGTGATGTGTGTGTGTGTGTAATAGTCCTGTGATGTGTGTGTGTGTGTAATAGTCCTGTGATGTGTGTGTGTGTGTAATAGTCCTGTGATGTGTGTGTGTGTGTAATAGTCCTGTGATGTGTGTGTGTGTGTAATAGTCCTGTGATGTGTGTGTGTGTGTAATAGTCCTGTGATGTGTGTGTGTGTGTGTGTGTGTGTGTGTGTGTGTGTGTGAATAGTCCTGTGATGTGTGTGTGTGTGTGTGTGTAATAGTCCTGTGATGTGTGTGTGTGTGTGTGTGTGTGTAATAGTCCTGTGATGTGTGTGTGTGTGTGTGTGTGTGTGTAATAGTCCTGTGATGTGTGTGTGTGTGTGTGTGTGTGTGTGTAATAGTCCTGTGATGTGTGTGTGTGTGTGTGTGTGTGTGTAATAGTCCTGTGATGTGTGTGTGTGTGTGTGTGTGTAATAGTCCTGTGATGTGTGTGTGTGTGTGTGTGTGTGTGTGTAATAGTCCTGTGATGTGTGTGTGTGTGTGTGTGTGTGTGTGTAATAGTCCTGTGATGTGTGTGTGTGTGTGTGTGTGTGTAATAGTCCTGTGATGTGTGTCTCTGTAGTTGTGTTGTTGATGACTGTTGTGTTTTGTTTTGTAAATACATGTACATTTTTGGCTGACATTAGCATCTGTCATGGGACTACAGATGAAAACTTACCTTCCTGGCTAATTCTGACGTGTTTACAGAAATGTTCATTAATATGCACTATCCCTGACATAAATAAAGTTAAAATGTGTCATAAGTTTCAGTTTTGTTTTTGAGTTCTTTCATCCGCGCACCCCACTAATAAAACCACGGCACATCGCATCAGGTTTGTCAAGTTGTAGTTTATTGTTTTATGTCCTGCTTTAGTGTATTTATGGACACTTGTTGTGTGGGAGCATGGATCCCCCAATATGATCTATTAAAAATGCCCTAATATCATCAGTCAACATTAGTTCCATTATCTTCTCCACAGAAAACAAAATCTCCTGTCTCATTCTGCTTAAACTTCTAACCCTGTAGTTTAGATCTGTACAAACATATTCTGAAATATGATTCTTGTATTACTGCAGGGGCCTCCAAACTTTGTTCATCAAGGGCCACATATCTAAACACAGATGAAGTAGAGGGCCGATCGAGGCTGTAGACTGGTGCTCAATACAGTGAATAACTGAAATATGTGCATGTTTAACACATTAGAATGAATCATCAGTCTTTATTCATGCAGAGATCCTTAAAACCACACACTAAATATTACATATTAGCATTGTCAAGGTAGATTTTCAAAAATCTTGTTCATTTTTAATTGATGAAAAGTAATTTGGGCCAATTCACCTGGAAACCTGAAGGCCAAGAAAAAATTGTCTGAGGGCCGATTTGGTCCACGGGCCATAGTTTGGACATGCCTGTATTACTGTGTGTGTAGTACTGTGTCCAGTTTTCTTATATTGCCCAAAATTGACTCTTGTGAGGTTTATTATGATGTAATGTTGTTACCTCCTCAAAAATAAACCTGCAGTTGTGTTATGCTTCACTGAAACATGTTTGAGTTTGAGTAAAATAATATATAAAACACCTGCATTTATATATAATAAAATGGTTGAATGTAATTCTTTGCTTAAGTACGACACTAGAACTCTTACTAATGGCCACATAATAACACCTTATACCAGAACAAATCTGAAGAAAACCGTTCTGTATAGAGGGATTATCGGACTATGTCCCTCCCTGTTCTACTGCACCTGTCGCCTGCAGAAAGAGCCCCTGTCCTGTCATGTATTCTGTCTGTGTGTAGGATTTCAGGCTCTCCCTGGGGCTAGGGTGTGTCTAACAGAATGAATGGAGGTCCGGCCACTGAAGTTTGGGCCATTTCTTCTTGTCATTTGCCCACTCACCTGCATTTAACACTTACGAGTCATTAAGACCTGATGTTCATTTATCAGCAGAACTCATTTTATCACAAGGAGATAAACTGTTGTAGTGCACTGCTACTGCTGCAACTTCAGGCACTTTCTGCATCCTCTGCCCTGATCAACTAATAATCTGTCTGTACATTAATATCCACTTCGAGCAGTATTCCTATTGAAATAGAACAGTTTAAAAAGATCTTTCAAATGTATTTAAAATGTCATGTGTTAAGTGAAGATGAAATGTGCTCTAAATGAACTAGAAATGTGCACCTTAGATGAACTTCAATTCTTATGATAATGAATAAAACATAAGTAATAAGTAATTCATTAATAAGTAACTTGTGAACTGGATTTCATGATGTAGATATGAACATAGATTGAGACTAAAGATAGATTTTGCAGTTAGAATGCTACAGATGTTCACAGATGAAATGTCTTGCATTTAAACTGCCCAAATCTCTGTCTATATTAATATGTACATCATGAAATCGATTTTTAATTTGAATTCTAGAATCAGTCTGAGTGAACAAGTTCCTTCTGTTTTATTCATGACCATGAGGTTAGTTTTACTCAGTAGTTCATTAACGTGTGGTCGTCGTTTCCTTTACGTTTTTGTTTTTCTTCCCTTGATAGTTGTGAATAAATTCTTCATGTTAGAATGTTTATCCTTTGTGGAGCTTGTTGGTTGAAGATTTGGTGATGGGGCAGATTTATGAAGCTGCTGGAGAATACACCAGTTTCACAGATATTAACCTGTTACATTTACCCTACACTGTGGCACTTCCAGCTGCTGTGAAAAAGCTTTTTGTACTTAAAACATGAAAATACAACTTGCCACATGTAAAATAAGAAAAAAAACAACTATTTGCCCTTAAAATAAGAAACGAAATCAAATGTTTGTTAAAGAATCACTGGTCGGACCCAAATATGCAGTAACAAAAGTATTTATTAACAAAAATAGTCGTGAACAGGGGGATAGATTCCAGGGGAGGTAGGACGGGTCCAGGTTGGTAGAAGTGCAATGGTGAAGAGGCTGACCAGAGGCTTGCGGAACAGGTGGTAACGGGATGATGCTGGCTCCAAAACGGTTGAACTGGGGAACGGACAAAAGTAAACAGATAAGAGTCAAAAACCTTCAAAATGCTCAAAAACACAAAAAGCCTGAGTAGTTCACCACTTGGTTGACGGAACGATCTGGCACTGGAGAGCAGGTCAGCAGGTCTTTTATTGCTGGAGATGATTAGTTGACGACGATCAGGAGTGGAGCTCAGCAGGTGAGTGATTGGGGTCCGCCCAGGAAAAACCAAATAGGGTAAGGAGAGAAAGAACAGGGAAGGGAGGGGTAGGAGGGGCAGGATGAAACCCTCACAATGTTGCTTTTAAGAAAAACACACTTATGTCATTGGTAGAATCTACTTCAATAAAGTCAGATGTTCTTAATTTAAGTCATTTTAACTAACCTAAATATTACTTTTTGCAGTGTGCTTGTATAATGTAACGCATTTTGGGGTTGCCAAAAACAAATGAATGAAAGATATGGGAAGGGAATAGAAAAATATGTAAATTTGATTTGACAGCCTTAAAAATGTAAATACACACATGCAAACACTACATTGAGAAACTCTGTACTACACACACCCTCCCCTCCCCCCTTTTTTTCCTTCTAATTATTATATATATATATATATATATATATATATATATATATATATATATATATATATATATATATATATATATATATATATATATATATATATATATATATATATAATAAATAAACAAATAAACAAATATATCTCCAAAACTCAAAATGCTCTGTTCCACCTCTGTTCCACTCTGTGATGTCATGCAGTGGCAGTTTTCAAGTGAAAAGATCCTGTTACCTTTAGTTCAGCAGAGAAGGCAGGGCTGAGCTCATCCAAAAGATTCTAGTGAAGGTTTTTAGAAAACAACGGTGGCTGTGAAAGGGGCAAAATAGCATCTTAAAAATAAATATTAAAGATTACTCAGCCATGCAACAAATACAACTTTGAGAGTGTAAATGAGAAACTATTACATGGTTAAAAGTCCATTTTACTTAACAGATCTGCTTTGACTAAAGGACCTCCACCATAAATGTTCCATAGTGCACTTTTAAGTTTCAGTTCTTCTGAAGCCCACATGTCTTTTGCTTGTGTATAAATAACCCAGTCCATATCTCTCCTGCGCACATGGGCCCCGGCCTGAGCTCATGTTGCTAGGTGCAGGCCGTTGCTAGGTGCACCTGATGATGGGTGCTACCTGAGGGGCCTGGTGCTCCCGGTGCGTCGACCCAGCCCTCCTCTCTGCGTGAACAGTCTGACGACAGAGGTTTGGGGCTTCAGTTCTAATGCTAAGACGCCATGAGAGTCAGGGCAATGGCTCCGGACCCCACTGGACCCTGCAGCTGTACCAGTGAGCAAAACACTCCAGCACCAGTCCATCACAGCCAGGTACAGTGCAATATTTACTGCTCACCATTATGACATTAAAGGTGATCCATTAACTTTTCTGGAGAAGGGCATGCCAACATCATCAACCTGATAGAGAATATTGTTTTATCTAGAATTGCACATACAGACTCTAGCTTAAATGTATTCAGTTACAGGTGTTTACACTGTGCATGCCTACAGTGAGCGAACTCGCCTCTCCACAGATCTAACTTATCTGGTGGTGTCACATGCTATGGCGATAAGTCTGATGTTATACCGTGGAACATTTCAAGCAACAAGGCCATAGAAGCAAACAGACTCCAGGCTCTACCACCAGAAAAGTTATTCAGCTTACTGCAACGTTTTGGACATTTTTCTAGTCACTATATAAAATATTATACACTAAAATGAAAAATCATTTAACTTTGAACCTTAACCTTACACTATCTTCAGATCCATGTTATATTGTTGTTATCTCATCAAAAACATACCAGGAGTTGTGTTTTGTTTCATTTAAAAAAGAAATCCTGCATAGTTCTTAGGGTTCTCAAACTAAAACACTCAGTTCCACCTTGTGATGTCATGTGGTAATACAGGAAGTGTTCCACTGTGTTTTTAAACTCCACACACCTTCACTAGAATCATTTAGATAATTTCAGCCCTGGAATTTGCTCTGTCCCATGTGTAAATGAAACGCAATACAACATGTGTTTGTCTTCTCAAACGAAGGGATCTGAAGTCCATCTAAAGATAAAACCTGTGTGTACAGAGAGGAGGTCTTGTGTGCAGAGGAGCTCGCCTCTGCCAGCTGATAGGTGGCACTGTGACACTGCTCTGCCTGGTCATTGTTGCTGTCCTCATCTGGTACTTCCTGGGTGAGTCGGACTAAACCTGGAGTAAACCAAAACTAAACCTCAATTTAACCTAGACTAAACCTGGACTAAACCTAGACTGAAGCAGACCTGAACCAGAATTAAACCAGGACTAAACCAGATGTAAATCAGGACTGAACCAGAACTTGTTTCAGTTGCTGTGTATGGCAGCAGGTACAGAGAGTTCACCTCCTCTGTGCTCTAAAGCAGGACTAAACCAGGACTAAAGCACGACTAAAGCAAGACTAAAGCAGGACTAAACCAGGACTAAAGCACGACTAAAGCAAGACTAAAGCAGGACTAAACCAGGACTAAAGCAAGACTAAAGCAGGACTAAAGCACGACTAAAGCAGGACTAAAGCAGGACTAAAGCAGGACTGAACCAGGCCTTATTGTTGCAGACTTGCGTGTGTGGCAGCAGGAGCAGCGGGTGCACAGACAGTTCACCTCCTCTGTGCTCTTCTTAAACTCCGTGTTCTCCTCTGAGCTGTCCTCCAGGAGCAGTGAGGCCTTCAGGAGCCAGGCCCACACTCTCCAGCACATGGTCAGTGCCATTATGTCATCTACCAAGAGGAAATGCCCTGAATATGAACTCAGTGGTGACATATGAGAGAGCCCCTGATTCTGTGTGTTTGGCCCTCAGATCCACAGTGCTGTCGGTGGCTCGTCTCTGGCCCCGTACTTCAACCAGTCCACTGTGCTGGCCTTTGGGTGAGTCTGCTCCTCTCCTCTGCAAACTCCACAATGCTTAGGTTCATTCAAATAAAAAATAAAAAAAACTGTTCATCTACAGTATTGCAAATCAGATACTAATCCATATCCATTATCCACTACAATCCACTAGTATCAAAACTAAATACTCTAAAAAAGTCACATTCACAGGACAGAAATGAGCCTTTCCTGAATAGTTCAGAATGATGTTGGTCTGTAGCAGAACAAGTGTCAGAGCACATAGACTAATATACACACATGGACCAACATGAACCTACTGCACCACTGACCATTACACACATATAAAACACATGGGAATAGAAAAGAAAGTACCATCATTTAATGTTGAAAATCACATTCTATTGTCTAAAGAAAGTGTTTTTGTTCATCACTGTTGTATCAGAATCTATATTGAGTATCAAGTCTTTTCCACCATTCATTTTCTTCTGCTTTATCTGAAGCCGGTCACAGGGGCAGCAGTTTAAACAGGGACTCTTTGACTTCCCTCACCCCCAGACACTTCCTCCAACTTCCTTCAGTGGGACCCCAAAGTGGTCCCAGCCAAGAGACATAGTGTGTCCTGGGTTTTGCCCGCGGCCTCCTCCCAGTGGGACATGAACACCTCCCCTGGGAGGCGTCCAGGAGGCATTCATGACCATAGGGAAAATTAGTTTCCTTATGGTCATGAATTGAGGTTCCCTATGGTCATGAGGGGTCGAAATGAGTTTCCATGATAACCTCAACTGGAAAAGTGTGCACCTCTCCTGGAGGGTGGAGAGTCCCTGTCCCAAGTGAAGGAGTTCAAGTATCTCAGGATCTTTTTAGAGATCAACTCACGTGAATTTTTCATGGCCAATGCCAATGGCCAGTGGTTTAGTATCCAGAGAAAGCGATAGTTGATAAACTCGACTGATATTTCTGGGCAGAAATTTAGGGCAGATTTTGGTTATTTTCCCCAGATTATTTAATTTAAATTTACTACAAACTCACCTACAGCCCTTTTTACCAAAAACCTTTAAGAAAGGTGTGTAGTGATATTTTGTGAGGTTATTATTTCGCACGAATGTGTTCAGGTCAAGTCATATCTCTATCTCTAATCTTGCTCACAAGTCTATTCCTTATATCGAAATTGAGTTTGACATTTTAGTATCGTGATAAAACAATTTAGAAGAGAAAAGATGAACTTGATTGTCCTGAAGAGAAAATAAGTGTTGGTCAGAGTGCTTCAAAGTTACTGTAGATAAAAGTTCGCCGAGGATGGATGTAATACCTTGTGTGTGCAGCAGGGGCAGTGTGCTGGTGCTCTTCTGGCTGCTCCTGAGGGTCCCCAGTAGTCACGTGTCACGGGTCAGTGTGGACATGGTCACCCAGAGCCTTCAGCAGGGTCTCCAAGTCTACATGTCTCAGGGCGGGGTCCCAGACACGTACCTGCCGCACCTGCCCTCCCTCCAGGTCACCGGTGAGCAGCTTATGCATAGGCCAATATCACGACAGACAGGTGAGGGAGGTGTCCAGACAGGTGAGAAACATCCAGACAGGCGACAGACATCCAGACAGGTGAGAAACAACCAGACAGGTGACAGACATCCAGACAGGTGAGAAACAACCAGACAGGTGACAGACATCCAGACAGGTGAGGGAGGTGTCCAGACAGGTGAGAAACATCCAGACAGGTGACAGACTTCCAGACAGGTGAGAGAGGCATCCAGACAGGTGAGACATCCAGACAGGTGAGACATCCAGACAGGTGAGACATCCAGACAGGTGAGGGAGGTGTACAGACAGGTGAGGCAGGTGCACAGACAGCTGCGGCAGGAGTACAGACTTTGCTTATGTGGATGAGGTCATCATGGGAGTTTCCATAGTAACAGTGTGTTTGTACTGCAGACTGTGACACATACACAGAGGTCAGGTCTGCGGGGCCCACAGCTCTGCCGGGGCCCCAACCCCACTGTGCATCCTGCAGGTGGAGGCTCTGGGGCCCCTCCGGCTCCCTGCTGCAGCTGCACATCCAGTGGCCCCCGTGCCAAGGGCCCCTGCTGGTGTATGACACGCTCCTGCCGTCGGAGCACCTGCTCATCACCAGGTGAGAAAAGCACAGACATTCACTAAAACACCAATTTCAGATTTGAATACAAACCTGAACTAGTTTTTTGTAGTTTTGTACTTTTGGTTGATCATTTCTTGCTGGTTGGACACACGTAGCAGATGTGACATACAGAGTGTACAGTTTGTTCTTTTGCATTTCCATCAAGAACGGAACACAATAAAAATGGGAAAACAGTGTGTTATTTCATTATTCTGTTTTAGTGTCAAAAAAACCAAAAAACCAAAACAGATTTCGACCTCTGTTTTCAGTATTTAATTTAAACTTTATTTATACTGGACTACCACTCCTCCTCCTCTTAACCCCTCACCCCTATCTCCTAACCCCTAATTCCTAATCCCTAACTCCTAACCCCTAATCTCCTAACCCTTAACTCCTGTAACAAACCTACACACCCACCACTCCACTCCTCCTCCTTCTAACCCCTATCCCCTAACCCGTAACTCCTAACCCTGCTACAAACCTACACACCCTCCAAGACACTCTGCTCCTCCTCATCACCCTGTCTCCCCTGCCCACACAGGAGACAGAGCTTCTTTGTCCATGTCCCTGCCTCCACACATACAAACCACTAACACCACTAATCAATTCAAATAATTTCTCAACATTTCCGTTTAAACTGGCCTTTAATCTCACTTTGCCACTCCCATGTTTGTGTGTGTATATATGTGTGCATATGTGTGTATGTGTTCGTGTGTGTGTGACTGTGTTTTATAGTGTGAAGCATTTTGGATGTCTATATAAATGGACAGAATTATTGTTTTCATGTATGACCTATAAGTATAATATTACACCGTTTAAGTATGGTCCTCCAGGTACTGCTCCATTTGAAATGTGGCTGTGGGCAGAGTTTAGGTCAACCTTTATTGAGCACATTCATACAGAGGCAAGGCTCATAAAGTGCCTTGCCCAGGGACACAAAGGCAGTATGGTTTGATCAGAGCTAGAGTTTGTTTGTTGCACATTTGTAGTCATGTGGTGTGTTGCAGAGTGGCAGCCTGCAGCCCTCAGCACCCGGGGGCACTCATCGTCTCCTCAGGCCAGGCCATGACAGTGGTGTGGGAGCGAGAGGGGGAGGAGGGGGAGGAGCGCATCTCTCTGTCCGTGCGAGCTGTGGAGGTCCAGGGTACGTTGGGTAAAAATGTGTCTTTTGATCGTTTTCACACTTGTTTGGACTCTCTCTGGAGTGACCCACTGGCACTAGTTTTAGATCTGTTCACTTTGCCTTGTTCACATACACCGCACATCATTCACCCCAAACATCATGAGCCACATCAGAGTCCATCAGCTGATCAGAGAATGTTTTTCTATGGCAACGTGCTTCAAGCGGACAGAGCTAAATACACCATGAGGATTGTATGCGCTGATGACTCACCTGCACAGACAGACTCAGACTCACCTGCGCAGACACACCCATGCTCACCTGCGCAGACAGACTCAGACTCACCTGCGCAGACACACCCATGCTCACCTGCGCAGACAGACCCATGCTCACCTGCACAGACAGACCTGGGCTCACCTGCGCACAGACAGACCCATGCTCACCTGCACAGACAGACCGGGGCTCACCTTCTGTTCTCTCTTGAGGGAGAGGAGCCGCTCTGACACCTCCTGTTTGAAGCAGCAAATGCTCTTTTAGTGGCAGTGTGAAAACAACACTTTGTTCACACAGAACATATTTAGATCATATTCATTTGACTTGTTTTGAAAATATTATATTTTCTGAAAACAACATATTTAAATTTTTAATTAGTTTCACTTTCTGTTTTGATACTTTGAGTCTCATCCTCCCTTTGCTCTCTGTGTTAAGTCACTCCTCCTTTAGAGCCCTATTACCACAATTTTGGCATAAATCCTGCTTATGAAATGAAACTGTAACGTGTTTTTGTATCCTGCTCTTGTATTTATGGGAATTGTCTTGTAGGAGCATGAGTGATGTAGGCTTGTGGGCTGAGCATCGGAGAGGACTGTATTGCTAATCATAATTTGAATAGAGTCTGGGAGATCACAAAATTATTCAAACATGCATGGATGACATCTAAAACCTCTTCAGGCATGTATCTGATGAGGGAACAATGTGGTAAATAAATCCAAACAGTCCATTTAACATAATACCCCCACTTTAAAGTCATGAGGACAGGGTTAACAATGACAAAGAGCTCTACTTATTTGTAACATTATTTCATTGGCAACTTTTTTTTCCCCTGTAAAATACTGACCTGCCCTCCAGCATTTTTTCTCTATGAAGTCAAAACTCAAGTCCCCATGATGTAAATCCTTTACTTTTAGATCCATCGTGACTATGGTTCATTTTAGGTTTAGTCTCCAGGAAATGAATGGAAGTCGATGTAATGTCCCCAAGGCATGGAAGAAATCAAATGTGTGTCTATCCATGCACGTGTGTGTGTGTATATGGTTTTGTGTGTGCGCGCGTGTGTGCGCGCGTGTGTGCATGTGTATGCGTGTGTGTGCGTGTGTGTGCATGCGTGTGTGTGTGCGTGTGTATATGTTTGTGTGTATGCGTGTGTGTGTATATGTTTGTGTGTGTGCGTGTGTAGATGTTTGTGTGTATGCGTGTGTGTGTATAGGTGTGTGTGCGTGTGTGTATATGTTTGTGTGTATGCGTGTGTGTGTGTATATGTTTGTGTGTGTGCGTGTGTGTAGATGTTTGTGTGTATGCGTGTGTGTGTATAGGTGTGTGTGCGTATATGTTTGTGTGTATGCGTGTGTGTGTGTATAGGTGTGTGTGTGTGTATATGTTTGTGTGTATGCGTGTGTGTGTATAGGTGTGTGTGCGTGTGTATGCGTGTGTGTGTATATAGGTGTGTGCGTGTGTATGTTTGTGTGCGTGTGTGTGTGTGTGTATATGTGTGTGTGTGTGCGTGTGTATACGTGTGTGTGTATAGGTGTGTGTGTGCGCGTGTGTATATGTTTGTGTGTGTGCATGTGTATGCGTGTGTGTGTATAGGTGTGTGTGTGTGTGCGTGTGTGGATATGTTTGTGTATGTGTGTGTGTGCGCGCGGGTGTGTGTGTGTGTATATGTTTATGTGTGTGTGTGTGTGTGTATGTTTGTGTGTGTGTGTGCATATATGTGAATGTGTGTACATGTGTCTATACACAGTATATGTGTGTGTTCTGTCCCACAGGCTGCTCATCCACACTGGAGCTGTCGCCGGCACAGGGTCCAGTCCAGGGCACCCTGAGGACTCCCCTATTCCCCGGCTACTACCCCCCCAACACCACCTGCAACTGGACTTTTCAGGTCACTCCACTTATTGTGTGTATATATTTGTCTCATTCTCAGTGTGTGGACAGGTCATATCTCCTGTGAAAGCTCAGAACCTCCAGAATTCTCTCCCTGAGCTGCAGAGGCTGCACTAGCACTGACTCATGACTGGTGCTGGGGTTCAGGCAATGACCATTCAGATCAGAGAGAGGCATTTTAGGTTTAAACACACTGGATTTCATCATTGAAACCGGTGTTCTGTCGGAATGAGCTCCCGCAGCCTAAATGGACAGTGACGTCTGTTGATTAGGGTTAGACGCTGCCTCATTGAAATAAGTGACCTTACATTTTTCAGTTTTACAGTTGTATAGATCCAATAAAGCCAATCCCTGACCCTGACTTCTCCAGTTTTATAACATATTTCTTTGGATTAGAGATACGGGTTTGATGCTGTTTGCACATGGTGATCAGACTTCATTTATGTCAAATTTCATCTCATTTATATGAATATGGTTCATTTGAACAGTCGTATTCTGCTCCAATAGGCTCTGAGTAAAGGGAGCACATATCATCATCAATTTAGCCATTGAGTAATGCTCCCACTGTAGAATCTCCATTATTCACTCATTTAGATGAATTTGTTTAGAGGAGCTCATTTCCACAGGTCAATATCTTCTATCAAATAAGGCTCCCACTACAGAAGAGAAAAAAATGACTGGAAAGATTGAAATCTTTATATTTAATACCGTTAAATATATCATATTTAATGCTAATATGGCTACAGTGTGAATTTCCTATTATAATTTATTATAAATTATAATATATACTTATAATTTTATTTATGCAATGCCTTTCTAAACAAAGTGACAACATTTTCTACACATGGAAACAAAATAAAATATGATGTAATGAAAATAATAACAATAAAATCAAATATTAAATCTATTCAATCTAATGTAGTGATTCTGCCACAAATCTAACAGCACGTCGATGTTTAATTGGTCAAAACAGACAATAAAACCAAAACACTTTTAAAATGTGACTTGTTACTCCACTTATGCCTCGGGAGCTCAAATCGACGGGCATTTAAACTGGAACAGCGCTTGGGGGTGGTGCACATGCACAGTTCACAGCAAGAAGCTCCTGGGTTCAATTCCGTGCACTTCCTTCTTGTGTGGAGGTTGCGTGATCTCCCTGTGTCTGTGTAGGTTTCCTCTACCACTAAAAACATGTGCAACAGGGATCCCTCTGGAGCCGGGACTCCTCTGAAAACCAGACTCATAATGGGAGTAGGAATACCCTGGTCAAAGAAAACTGTCTCTATTACTTACTTCTGCCTTTCTCTGAACTGAGCTGTGGTAGGAACTTCTTTCAGCCTTGCAGAAGTTGTATGTTAAGAGCCGTGAGGTCATGAGGTGCTCCTCTCTGATTCCAGGTGTCCAGTCCAGGTCTGGGTCTACGTTTGGACTTTGAAGGCTACAAACTGAGCCCAGCCTCTCCTGAGCAGAGCTGTGAACAGGGCCAGTGGATCATCAAGGAGCGCAGGTAGGCCCATCCTCTGCTCGTCTGCTCCTCTGACCATCTCCTGTGCTCCTCTGCCTCTCTCCTCTGCTCTTCTGCTCTTGTCAGATTGTGTGGCAGTAGGATTCCTCAGGCGTACAGTGAACGTGTCCCTTTGTTGTCCTGGAGCACCAGTGTCCTCCTGTCCTTCGTCCTGCCCCAGACTGGACCAGGACTCCAGGTGTCCTACAGTGTCTACAACCTGTCCCAGCGTAAGCGCTTTGTCCCCTCTGTCTCCTCCGTCCTCTCTGCCCCCCTCTGTCCTCTGTCCCCTCTGTCCCCCTGTCCCCCTGCCCTCTCTGCCCCCTCTGCTCTCTTCGACACACACTACACTTTTGTATTTTTTCACTGAATTTAAGTCTTTTTCTGCAGTGTTTGCTAATGTGTGCATTGTGTCTCCATAGTAACTAGTACATTCCACCACAGAGATACATGTAGAACACCCCCAGTGTGATGTTACTGTAAAGTATCAATAAGAAGAATATAAAGTGCACTGTGTAGCTTTTCTGGTGGTTTCTATTCGGAAATGTTCCTTAGAATGTTCCACAATATTTTATTACACTTCTATTTTTCTCTGTAGACGGGCAGATGTAACTACTAGGCTCAATTACAGGTCAGATCTGTGGAGAGATGACCCTGCTTACTGTACTAATGCATGTTTGTCAGGTGGCATGCCCTTTAAACACCATTTAATGATTTACTATATTGCCAAAATTCTTCAGTCACCATCCAAATACTCACTGCAAAAAAGTATTTACTTTTATTTCATTCTTGAAAGGGCCCATATTAGGCTCATTTCTGATCTGTGTCATGATGTTGTTCCTCATTGCAAACACACCTGGAGTTATCAGACAGTGAAGATGTCCGTGCTTGTACTGTCAAAACTTACTGTAATAGAACCGGTGATTCTTCTCTCAAACAGCAAACACTCTGTTCCACCTTGTGATGTCATGCAGTAATATAGGAAATGCTCCAGTGTGTTTTTAAACTTCATCCACAAACCTTCACTAGAATTTGGATAATTCCAGCCCAGGAATTCCCAATCCCTACTGTCCAAAGGGTAATGGATAGCTGTCAACTTGAAAACTACCACTTCATGACATCAATATGTGGAACAGAGCATAAAACACAACTCCAGATATGTTTGTGAGGAGGGAACAACACTATAACACGGTTAAATGTTCAAGACAAATATTCTAAAAAGGTAGAATTGATTGAAACTTAAATAGACCCGTCCCTTTTGTGATGTCATACACAAAGTATGGGTCAGTTTTAAGACAGTGAGTATTCTGGAATATTCTCGGAATATTTTCCACAGAGCTAGATGTTATATTTTATGTCATTCTCTATTACAGTCAAAAGAACAAGAAGATTTCCATGTAAACAAAGAGGAGGAGGCCAAATATGAATCAGGTTTGTGGAGGTGTGAGCCCACTCAGTGTTTTTCAGTGCAATAAACATGGGTAAATTGAAAAAATGTGGCTAAAAATGATGTGATCTATACTGTAAATAATGATCAACAAAATCCTCAAACTCTGACCCAAAACCAGATGCTCCTCTTCCTCAGTGGGACCCCTCAGTTCTGGACTCACACCTCCAGACTCCAGACTGTCAAAATAAAACACTCTAACCCCATCAAAATAAGACATTCAAATTATATTTTCAGATCTTTTAGATAAGTCACACTTTCAAAATAAAAGTCTGTTTTTCACATGTGTTTGTATGTGAATGTGTGGATGTGTGTGCGTGTGTGTGTTGTGTGTTGTGTGTGTGCAGCGTGTCCTGGGCAGTTCCTGTGCTCTGTGGATGGACAGTGTGTTCCAGAATGTGATGGCATCACAGACTGTCCCAACGGCCTGGACGAGAAACACTGTGGTAAGAACCGAACCTGTCTACACCTGCCCCAACCTGTCTACACCTGCCCACTCCTGTCTACACCGGCCCCAACCTGTCTACACCTGCCCCAACCTGTCTACACCTGCCCCAACCTGTCTACACCTGCCCCAACCTGTCTACACCTGCCCACTCCTGTTTACACCTGCTAACATCTGCCCACTAACACCTGTCCACACCTGTCCACACCTGTCCACAGCTGGTCACAAACCAGTTGGTGCTAAACGCGGCAGAGGCTGCTTATGTCCATCTATATGCTGTATATTCTATATAAATGCACAGTCTGTATAAAGAGGAGGACAGAGGGAGTGTGAGGTCACCCACAGTGTTCAGCTCTAGTCAAATGAAGCTCATCGAGGCTTGCAGTTTGGAGCAGAGTTCCATATTAGGAATAAGAATTTATTCACTGACAAAATAGCGAAATAAAAACCTCAGGATCATGTAGAGTGGGTTCAAATGGACATTTTAAGATCAAAATGACGAGGCTCACAGCAGCAATCACACAGAGAAGGGAGACGACTTTTTCTTTGTAAAGTCTTTGAAGCCTGGGTCTATGGAGCTGAATTGTGACCATGCTCATTTCCCAGTCGGATAGCTTTGTCTATAACAGACCAATCAGATGCCTTCTTTCCCCAAAGTTGGCAACAGGCTTGATTGACAGTGTGCCTCGGTACCTTCAACAACCTTGCTCCTGATTGGCTGTTTGATTGCACATTCAATTTTCCAAATACGGGATTCAGCTCCAAATTTGCTTCTATAACTGTTAACCTCGATTAACTTCAGTTAGCTTGGTCCAACTCTAACAGTGTGTGGTATGATCCCTCTGTGCGTGTGCGTGCATCTGTGTGTATCAGAGTGTGTATCAGAGTTCCAGTGTTCAGCACACACCCCAGGAGTCGGCCCTCAGTGTGTGGACTACTCCAGAGTGTGTGACGGACACAGAGACTGCAGCCTGGGCTCCGACGAAACCCTCTGCTCCACAGGTACAAGTCTGTGTGTGTGAGACCAGTGTATGTGTGTACGTGACCACTGTGTGTATGTGTGTGACCAGTGTGTGTGACCAGTGACACACAGGTCACACACCTGTGTGTGTGTATGTGACCTTTGTGTGTGTGTATGTGACCAGTGTGTGTGTGTGTGTGTGTGTGTGTGTGTGTGTGTGTGTGTGTGTGTGTGAGTGACCTGTGTGTGTGTGTGTGTGTGTATGTGACCAGTGTGTGTGTGTGAGACCAGTGTATGTGTGTGTGTGTACGTGACCACTGTGTGTATGTGTGTGACCAGTGTGTGTGACCAGTGACACACAGGTCACACACCTGTGTGTGTGAGTGACCTGTGTGTGTGTATGTGACCAGTGTGTGTGTGTGTGCATGTGTGTGTGTTCCAGTGGTGCCGTGCTCTGACAGGACCCACATGTGCGCTGACGGCTCATGTTTGAAGAAGCCTAACCCTCGCTGTGACCAGGTGGAGGACTGCCCTGACGCCTCTGATGAACACCACTGTGGTAATCTCTTCTCAGTGTCTCATATCCTCCTGTCCACTCTTGTGACAATCCCGTCATGATGAATGCTGTTTCAGAGTGCGGTCTAGTGCCCCCTTCTGGCCGCATAGTGGGAGGGAGCGATGCGTCAGAGGGGGAGTGGCCGTGGCAGGCCAGTCTGCAGGTGGGAGGTCAGCATGTGTGTGGGGCTGCTCTGGTGTCCAGTGTGTGGCTCCTGTCTGCGGCTCACTGCTTCTCTGAGCTCAGGTCAGTGCTGAGGGGGTCATATGTCTGTCTCTGCTGTGTCTTATTCCTCTGTGTCTCAGCCTGCTCCAGCCCGGCCTGTGGAGCGTGTACCTGGGCAAAGTGCTGCTGGACCAAGCCAGTCCCCTGGAGGAGCGGAGGAGCCTCCAGCAGATCCTCCTGCACCAGTACTACCAGCCCCACAACCACGACTATGACCTGGCCCTGCTCAGACTGGAGCAGCCCTCGGGGGCCCGGCCCATCTGTCTGCCCCCTTCCACCTACCTGCTGACCCCCCGCAGGGTGTGCTGGGTCACCGGCTGGGGCGCTCTGCGCGAGGGAGGTACTCCTCACTTATTTCTTTTGATACTTTGCAGTTGATGTCATCAACATTCCCTAGGGGTGTGATGCTGGTACTCATGTTTGCAGACATCTTACATTTCTTTGGGGAGTGCTAATCACCATGGTAACTTCAGAACATTCCATCATAGAAATACATGTGGAAACCCCAGTGTGTGATATCACTGCAAAGTATCATTCTCAATCATCTATATCTCCTTGTTCTGAGCTCGTGTGTGAGACGTGTGAGCTGAGTGTGTCTCTGCTGTGAAGGCTCGGTCAGTAATGTCCTGCAGAAGGTGGACGTGCAGCTGCTCAGTGAGGAGGCCTGCGTGGGCTCCTATGGGCCCCTCATTTCTCCCAGAATGCTTTGTGCTGGATATGTTGGGGGACAGAAGGACTCCTGTCAGGTACATACATGCACACATATACACACCCCCTCCCACACACACACACACACACACACACGCACACACGTACATGCACACATATACATTCACTCATGTACATGCACTCGCACAGATGCATCTGTGCTGGGTTCCCATGATTCTTGGGGACATTACATTGACTTACATTCTTTTCCTGGAGACTGATCATAACCTTAAAGGCCCGACTGTAAATGTGCAAAACTCAGCTCTTGTTGCTTTAAATCAGGGGTGCTCAATACATCGATCGTGATCTACCAGTCGATCGCCAAGGTCGTGTGGGTAGATCGCCGTGTCTCGTCTCGAACTCACGTTTGGACTCGGTCTTGTCTCTCACTCGAGGTCTGACACTCAACAAGTGTGATCATATTTCATTACGGCCACTGCTGTTGGTAATAAACTTGTAGCGGGTGCAGGAGCGTGTGGGGCGTCTCAGTGCAGCCTGTGCGCTCATTTGAAACCCGCGGAGACTCTACGGTGCATCACAAACACACACACTCCCTATGCACGGCTCGTCTGCAACAGCGTGTGCCCTCATGTACCAGCGTGCATCACAGGGCAGGTTCAACTTCCTAAACATCCTACCTGTCCATCTGCCTCACGTCAGCACGCCGCCCCTCGCCTTTTCACGCTCTCGCTCCTTCCTGCGTACAGCCAACACAAGCCCCTCCCACAGTGCGGCTGATTAGAAGAGCAAGACCAAACGTGAAGCAAAAACCAGTCTAAATTTGTGTTCCAGTGTTGGCACAAAGCAGGTCTACAGCATAGAGCGGATCTACAGAACAGACCTACTGCCACATTTGGCTGAAGTTTGTCTAACAAAAGTGCACAAATGCATCTGTGTTTGTCACGATGTGTGTTTGGTTTGGTAAATGTGCAGAGGCTGGTAAATATCACTGCAAAACCAGAAAAGAATGCAACTCCAGTTTGGAACTTTAAAAACGGTTTAAAAATCCTTCACTTTTTTCACAGTTTTGTGTAAAGTGCCAGAGGAAGTTCTCTTAAAGAAGAGGTTCTCAAACTGTGGGTGAGGGTCCAAAAAGGAGCACAGAGTGTTTCAGTGCAGTTTGCTTGGCTTTGTAAAAAACAGATCTGGAGTTGAGTTTTGTTTCATTCACACATGCTTCAGTCACCGTTTATTATTAGTTTGTCTACATCTCCAAAGCACTAAATGGTCTGTTTCACCTTGTGATGTCATGCAGTGGTAGTGGTAGTTAAACAGATCCTTTAACCTGTAGTTCTGTAGAGATTGGAAATTCCAGGGCTAAAATTATCCAAATGATTCTAGAGAAAGCGTATGGAGTTTAAAAATATAGAAGAGCATTTCCTGTATTACCACATGACATCACAAGGTGGAACAGAGTGTTTTCTGTTTGAGAGAAGAACTCACCCTAAATCTGTAGGATTTGTGTGTTAAATATGTGAATGAAACAAAATACAACTCCAGGTGTGTTTTTGAGGAAACTACATTAGAACAGATCAGAACATACTGTCATATGGGCCCTTTAGCCACAGTCACTACTTACTTCATCTTAACGTAAACCTCAAGATTAACATATTTTAAAACTCCAACAAAGTTAAAAGGTCAGATTTGGGTTGAGACCTAATTTTTTGATGTGATCCCCTCTTGTACTGTACACACCGTCCTCATGCCTGCCCACAGGGAGACTCTGGGGGGCCCCTGGTGTGTGAGGAGTCTGGGGGCCGCTGGTTCCTGGCTGGAGTGGTCAGCTGGGGCCATGGTTGCGCGAGGCCTGGGTACTATGGAGTGTACACCCGTGTCAGCATCCTCTCCTCGTGGGTGCAGGAGCGCATCTCTCCATGAGCAGCGCCTGTCTCTGAGGGCATCACACTGGATCAGGGAACATCTTGGACAATCAATCCAACTCACTTTATAGTCCAGTTCACGATATACTTTTGTGGGAATTTTTGGGGGATTTGTTAAACTATATATTTTTGGAAAGGTTATTGTGTGCGGAGTCAGAAAATCAATGTTTGTATTTGCCCAGATGTCTGTCTATATGAAAATTAGACATTTTCTATACATCATCATTATGATCATCACTTTCAGAGATCTAACACTGTAGCTGCCGTGTGCCAAATAGGAAGTTCTCCAGGAGGCTCTTCTGGCTCCTTCTGACTCTGGCTCCAATGGACTTACATTAGGATCTTGTCGTTTCTCTCTCCGTAACTGCTGCTGTGAGCCTCATCATTTTGGTCTTAACATGTTCGTATTAACCCACGACACATGATCCAGAATTTATTTACTTTTTGCTTTTTTGTCCTTCAAAAAAATCCTTTTCATAACACAGAGCCTGGCTTCAAATTCACTCCTGTGTGTCCTGTGAGAACTATGTCAGGACACAGACAATAAGATCATCTCCAAGCAGCTTGATGTTCCTGTGATTACAGTTGCACATGTTCTTCAGAAGTTTAAGGTCCACAGGACTGAAGCCAACCTCCCTGGATGTGGCTGCAAAAGGAAAATTGATGACAAATTGAAGAGATGGATCATACGACTGGAACCAAAGAGCCCAGAACAACCTCCAAACAAATTAAATGTGAACTTGAAGGCGAGGTACATCAGTGTCAGATCACACCATCCATCAGTGTTTGAGCCAAAGTGGACTTCATGTGAGGACACCACTGCTGAGAGCAAATCATAAAAAAGTGAAACTGGAATTTGTCACAATGCAGATTGACAAACCACAAAGCTTCTGGGAAAATGTTCTTTGGACAGATGAGACAAAACTGGAGCTCTTTGGCAAGACACATCAGCTCTATGTTCACAGACGCAAAAATGAAACACAAGAAAAGAACACTGTCCCTACTGTGAAACATGGAGGAGGCTTGGTTTTGTTCTGGGGCTGTTTTGCTGCATCTGCCACAGGGCGTCTTGAATCTGTGCAAGGTACAACGAAATCTCTAAACTATCAAGGTATTTTGGAAAGAAATGTGTTGACTAGTGTCAGAAAGCTTGGTCTCGGTTATAGATCATGGGGCTTCCAACAGGATAATGACCCAAAACACACAGATAAAAACACCCAAGAATGGTTAAGAACAAAACATTGGACTGTTCTGGAGTGTTCTTCTGTGAGCCCAGATCTCAGTCCTATTGAACATCTGTGAAATGAGCTGAAACATGCGTCTGGAGAAGGAACCCTTCAAACCTGAGACAACTAGAACAGTTTGCTCATGAGAAATGGGTCAAAATACCAGTTGAACAGTGCAGAAGTCTCATTGACAGTGACTGAAATTATTTGTTTGCAGAGTTAATATCAAAAGGTTGTGTAGCAAAATGTGAAGTTTAGGGAACCATCATTTTTGTCCAGGCCAGTTTCATTTCGTTTTTTCTAATAATTCTGTTGAACCACAGGTGAAAAGTAATGTTTGATTTTCAGTAAATTTTCAGTGAACATTCTGTGTGTGGCATGTTCTCGCATAACTCAGAACAAGATCACATGATCATAATGCAGAGAGCTTTATTTTCTCATAGACTTTCACATTACACAGGACAGTAGCTCTGACTGTACACTAACACACATGAGGTACAAGTACAAGCCATACTTCCTACATTTTAAATAAGAATTTTGACTAGTATATTCATTTAGCAGAAGAATATTCTGAAAGATCCACAAAAACACTTTTGTGTCATTCACACATATTTGAGTAAGCCTGCATTATTAGGCTGTCTAACATGACTGAACATTATGACAGAATGTGAGGAAAGCTCACTTTACACAAGTCAGAACACAGTTTATCTTGGAAGAAGAAATGTTTATGACAAACATGTTGAAACTAGTGAAATAATGTAAATCCAACAGTAAACTAATCTAAATGAGCTAAAACTATTCTTATTCTGTCCTCAGAGCTTTATGATGTCACCAAGTACTAGCTTTAAGTTTAGCAGCTATTTTAGCCTAAAGGCGACACACAAAACAAAACAATAGCAGAAACTTCAGAGGTATGCAAATTCAGAGCTCAAATGATACAAGTGATCCTATGAAGGTGTATGGAGCATTTCCTGTATAACCACTTAATGACAACACAATATAGAACAAAGCCTAAATATGCAGAATGTACAGTGGTCCCTCATTTATCGCGGGGGTTATGTTCTAAAATTATCCCGCGATAGGTGAAATCCGTGAAGGCTGTAAAACCCCTCACCACACACTTTATACACTTTTCTCAGACAGAACAGTTTTGCATCCTTCTTAAAACTTACTGCTGCTGTCGCCCTTTTGTTATTTTACTTCTTCTTTATGTAACGAAAGTAATGGAGCCCTACAGCGCTGAGTCCTGCACGGGTCCATTTTTGGAGACCTGCACCCGTGCAGTACAGCACCGCACCTGCCCATTAACCCGCGATTATATCAAACTTTGGTGCTACATATGCCACGGACTGAACCAAGACTAAACCAGAACATACGCTATAAAAAAAAAAAAAAGCATGCAAAATTGCACAAAAAAATACGCAAAACAGCAAGACCGCGAAAGGTGAACCGGGATACAATGAGGGACGACTGTATTAAACTTGTGTGAATGAAACAAATACAACGTGAATGAGGAAACATTATAACATAAATCAAAAATAGTGCAATACAGGCCTTTTAACAGTTCTGACTTAAAGCAAACATACTGTGCTGCTTGTGTGTGCTCTATAGTTATAATCTATGACCTGGTCACAAATTTAAACAACTCCAGGTGTGTTTGTGATGAGGAAACAACATTAAAACACTAGAACATAGATCAGAAAATAGTGTAATAAGGGCCCTTTAAAGATTTCTCAAACACACAAATGCACAAATCACCCCAAATACAACTTTGGGTGAGTAAATGTTGAGGGTGTAATAAAATGTGCATGATATAATGGTATTCCTGAATGCCCATGAGCCCATGGCCACATACACACCAGGCTGACGGAGTACAGCTTTGGGCAAAAGAAGGAGGCATGTATGAAGGTAAGTCAACTATAGCGCATTTTATCACAGATAACACAGATAAATAACAGCAAGCTGAGAGCTATTTGATTTGTTGAGAAATTGAGATAAAGCAAGTAGAGAGATTTTTATGAATGGAGCATGGGGCCAATCAGAGTGCTCCTTTTGATATGTAAATTCTACAAACAAGTCTTCTAAAAAAACAGCCTCCATGACACCTTCCTCCTCCAAACTCCTCTTACCTTCTCTGTGCTCCTCTGATCTCCACGTGTCTCCTCTGTGCCTCTGTGCTCCTCTGAACTACTATTCTGAGGTTGCCAGACCTGTTCAACCAAATCCAGACTGTATTCTGCCATTCAAGCCATAAAATCCAACTCACACCAGTCCATCTATGTTTTTTGTCCCTTTGTCTTCACATGTCCATCTCATAGTAGAAAATGTGAGTTGTGTCATCGGCGTGTCCATTTGATCAGAGTCTCTGGAGATCGATACAGGAAGATGAGTTTAGCGTACAGTTCCTCCTCCAACTCCAACTCACCTGTCTCTCGCACCTGCAGACACAACAGCCAATCAGAACATGGACTGCAGACACAACAGCCAATCAGAACATGGACTGCAGACACAACAGCCAATCAGAACACGGACTGCAGACACAACAGCCAATCAGAACACGGACTGCAGACACAACAGCCAATCAGAACACAGACCATAGACTTTATTGGATTAGGGGCGTGTGACGTCACCCATAGCGTTTGGCTCCAGTCAAATAAAGCTCACTGAGGCTTGCAGTTATAGCGGCAAATTTGAGCAGAGTTTCGTATTTGGAATTTCGATTTGAAGCGCCGCAAAGGAGAAATTCTTTTTGTCAACTGGACAGAGTTTAGTTTGGTCAGTTCTTTAGAAGTCAGTTCTTAAGAAGCAGCTTGGATGAGCTGCCAAATGTTCAGGTGACAAATTTAATTTCTCCTCTGCTGTAGATTCTTCCTGGATGACTAACGGATTTTACTCACACATTGGGAGCATCATATCAACCAAAGAGCCAATCAGGAGTGAGGCAGGTAGTTCAGCAGGTGGAGGCTCTTAGCAATGCGGGTAATCAAACCTGTTGCTAACTCTAGCAGGAGCAACCTTGGAGAAAGAAGGTGTCTGACTTATTTATTGATCTTATTTTATTTATTTATTTAACAAAGTGCATATTCATTTAGACAAATGTTAATATGAGAGGTTATGCCAATAGAATTTTCCAAGGCCCAAGGCTATAATTGGGTCATGTGCAGTGGTGTGTACATTTCACACCTAGGCCTTCAGTGGTGCTCCGTCAAAAACTATCCACTCCTCAGTAACAGTTTTATGATTATAAAAGAATCTTATTCTACAGAAACACAGTATAAGGAGCCGTGGAGATTTCGTGCATGGAGAAGTGAGGAGAGGGGGGTGCACGGTGCACGGAGAAGAAGTGAGGAGCGCTGGGGTGCTAAACCAGGACTAAACCAGAACTAAACCAGGACTGTTAGTCGGGACTGGCTCGACAATCCCGCATAGACTGTGTGACCACAGACGAAAGGACTACGCCGGGGCCGGTGCTCTGCGCCGCACAAAGCTCAGCTCCGTACAGCTGTCGCCCGATCGCATGTTGTGGACACTCTCTCTCTCTCTCGCTCCCTCTCTCACTCCCTCTCTCTCGCTCTCTCTCTCTCGCTCTCTCTCAAGTCCAAGATTAGACTTGGTGTAGACCTGGTGTAGACCTGGTGTAGACCTGGTGTAGACCTGGTGTAGTCCTTGTTTAGTCCTGGTTTCACTACAGATGCAGTTTGCTGCTTTGGCTGGTTCTCTCTCTGACTGTCCAATCAGCAGCTCTGAATCCGGTGACGTCGTTCCCTGCTAAAGGCCCTGGTGACACCAACTCAAAATCTGATTGGTTGAAACTGAAAACAGTTTCATCAACATTTATTTTGTGTTGGAGGATCTGCAGAACAGATTGTAAAGGCCTCAGACACACTTCTTTGACTTTGACTCTGCCTAGCAACAAGTGACGGAAGCGGACGGACCATTTGGAGTTATTTAATAATAATATAATTAACATCAGTCTGTGATTCAGTTATTTTTTGAGGCCAGCAGAGAAGGCCTTGTGGGCCCTGACGCCCCAACACTGGTCATGCATAATACTTAAAAGTGCAATGTGTTACTATTTTGGTGGAGGGTCCTTTGTATTGTCATGATACTAAAATTTCAAACTCGATTTAGATAATAAGGAATACCTGGATACTGATCATGATACCATGACGGTAATAAAGACTTTTTTAGACAATAGCATTTGATTTTCAACATTTAATGGTAGTACTTTCTTTTCGATTCCCATGTGTCTTATATGTGTGTGATCCTCAGTGATCCAGGTAGATTCCACAGTGGTCCATGTGTGTATACTAGTCTATGTGCTTTTCTACTTGTTCTGAGCTCAACATCAACATCATTCTAAAGACATTCAGGAAAGGTTCATTTCTGCCCTGTGAGTGTGACTTGTTTAGTATCGATACCTGCTCAAATGAATCTCTATCTTCTATCTCTATCTAGTTTAAGAACTGATTAGCATCTGATTTTCAGTATTTTGACAAACCTTCGGCAAGTCTTCACAGCTAAGATAGGTTTCAGGTGAGGTGCCTGACTCTCCACCAAAAAAGTTCCACAGTACAGCTTTAAATCTGTAGATCTGTAGATCTGTTTCTCACCAGGAAGATGTCTGTGCAAAGCTTGAGGATGCGGTCCACACAGGGCAGCTCCTCAAACATGATGGAGTGGCTGATCCCAGAGAAAAACTCTCGTACAAACTTCCCAATGACTAACACCACAGAAGCATACAGACCCATGATCCTACAGCGACAAACAGAAAGAAAGTCAAGGAGCTAAAGCACACTCAGGAGCCCTAAACACACTCAGGGGCCCGCACTACAGAGGCATACACACCCATGTTCCTACAGAGACAGACTGAGAGAGAGAATGTCAGGTCAGGGGTCCTAAGCACAGTGGCTGTTCCTTTCAAACCACCTCAAAGATGTGACCTCTGTTTATTGATGTGACATTGTTATTCTTTAAAGAAGGATTTCAAATAGGATAAATAGTCTGTTTGAACAGTTTGTGTCCTGTGCTTTTACTGTATATAAAATGTTCTACAGTCACAACTGAAGCTGTGTCAGCAGAGCCTTAACCCGCAGACAGAGGAGATACAAAAGTTTGTCTCATGCTCAGTATATGGACAGACCAGGCCTCATGTGAAAGCTCAGAACCTCCAGAATTCCCTCAGTGAGCTGCAGAGGCTGCACTAGCACTGATGTAGGATTGGCTGGATTAGCATTAATTATTATCAGCAAAAGCTATAGTTATAAAAGTTATATTTGGACATGTTTACCTCATATGGGGACAGAGTTAGGTCATGTTTAAGGAATTTTAAATGGAGGTAAAGTACACTTTATACCTTATTGATCCTGCTTGAGAGAAATTCATTCTCTGCATTTGATCCACCGTTTAATCTAATCTGAGGTAAACTGTCAGGAACAGGAGTGCCGTGGAGTACTCAGGGACCCTTCTCCAGATCTTGAGCTAGTCTTGGTCAGGACTATCTTAGCTGGAGGATTTGGCCTATTGTACATGTTTTGGAGTGTCCAGAGGAGACCCACCCAAGCACAGAGAGAACATGCAAACTCTGCATCAAAAGACCTGCACAACCTGGAATTGAAACCTCTAACCTTGTTGCTGTGACATGCACGTGCCAGGCAGTAGGCTCCATGCTGTCCTTACATACAGCTGCTTTAAGGTCAAACAGAACACCTGACACAGATGGATCAGTCCAGCATGGTCCGGTCTAAAATGTATATTTATTTATACTGATATTATGTGGCCAGACCGGCTTGTCAAAATCTGATCCTGTCAGATCTCAAAAGCTCTGCAGGGCTGGGCCTGTGCGCCAGTCCCCAAACTGTTCTTAGGTAAGACTCTTCAGCCACATTGCCTACTGTGATAGTGGTGTGTGTTTGAGTGATGGTGGTGGTCAGATAGTGTAGATTGGCAGCCTTGTTTCCATCAGTCTGTCCTGGTGCAGCTATGGCTACAATAGTGGCTACACTGAGTGTGGAGTGACTGAATAATGCTCTGTAAAGTGTTTTTGAGTGTCCAGAAAAGTGCTACATAAAAACAAATGCATAACAGTATCAGTTCTTAGTAAGTGAAAATTATATTCAAAAAGAAGACACAATGAATTTTGTAAATATAGTGAAAGTAGTACTGAGCCAGTGTTGGCACATTCCTAAAGTGCAGTTCTGGTCTAAAACAGCTTTACCCATAACCAGCCAGGAAGCCCAGACTTGGGGGGCTGACTTTGTCGCTGAACACAAAGAGCTGGAGTCCTGCTTCCCGGCGCTCCGTGGCCACGCCCCCCAGATGGACTATGCTGTCAGCTGATTGGTCGACAATCCACCACTCCTGCATGTCTGATTGCCGATTGGTTGTTCGTTCGAGGGCTAACAGGATGTCCTTAAAGTGCTCATCTGAAAGCAAATGAACCTCTGTGGTAACCATGGATTCCTGGTGGAAACTCGTGGAGACCCCAGAAGTATCTATGGGGGTGGAGGACAGTAATGTGGAGGGCAAAGGGCAGCTCTGTGGAGGATGGAGGACAGCTAGAGGACAGTGGAGGACAGAGGAGGACAGAGGAGGACAGAGGAGGACAGCTAGAGGACAGAGGAGGACAGTGGAGGACAGAGGAGGACAGAGGAGGACAGAGGAGGACAGCTAGAGGACAGTGGAGGACAGAGGAGGACAGAGGAGGACAGCTAGAGGACAGTGGAGGACAGAGGAGGACAGAGGAGGACAGAGGAGGACAGCTGGAGGACAGAGGAGGACAGAGGAGGACAGAGGAGGACAGAGAAGGACAGTGGAGGACAGAGAAGGACAGTAGAGGACAGTGGAAAACAGTGGAGGACAGCTAGAGGACAGCTGGAGGACAGAGGAGGACAGAGGAGCAGCTAGAGGACAGAGGAGGACAGAGGAGGACAGAGAAGGACAGTGAGGACAGTGGAAAACAGTGGAGGACAGCTGGAGGACAGAGGAGGACAGAGAAGGACAGTGGAGGACAGAGAAGGACAGTAGAGGACAGTGGAAAACAGTGGAGGACAGCTGGAGGACAGAGGAGGACAGAGGAGGACAGAGGAGGACAGGGAGGACAGCTAGAGACAGTGGAGGACAGAGGAGGACAGAGGAGGACAGCTAGAGACAGGGAGGACAGAGGAGGACAGAGGAGGACAGAGGAGGACAGCTGGAGGACAGAGGAGGACAGAGGAGGACAGAGGAGGACAGAGGAGGACAGTGGAGGACAGAGAAGGACAGTAGAGGACAGTGGAAAACAGTGGAGGACAGCTAGAGGACAGCTGGAGGACAGAGGAGGACAGAGGAGGACAGCTAGAGGACAGAGGAGGACAGAGGAGGACAGAGAAGGACAGTAGAGGACAGTGGAAAACAGTGGAGGACAGCTGGAGGACAGAGGAGGACAGAGAAGGACAGTGGAGGACAGAGAAGGACAGTAGAGGACAGTGGAAAACAGTGGAGGACAGCTGGAGGACAGAGGAGGACAGAGGAGGACAGAGGAGGACAGCGGAGGACAAAGGAGGACAGAGGAGGACAGAGGAGGATAGCTAGAGGACAGCTGGAGGACAGAGGAGGACAGCTAGAGGACAGAAGAGGACAGAGGAGCACAGAGGAGCACAGAGGAGCACAGAGGAGGACAGAGGAGGACAGAGGAGGACAGAGGAGGACAGAGGAGCACAGAGGAGGACAGAGGAGGACAGAGGAGGACAGAGGAGGACAGAGGAGGACAGAGGAGGACAGCGGAGGACAGCGGAGGACAGCGGGGGCCCGTACCTGGGTAGAGCTGCTCGATGGGTTTTGCGTTGGAATCACTTGGAGCACGTAGAAAACAGGGAAACACGTCCGGAATCACTCTGGACACACACATGTGAACACAACATTTACAAGTCTCCTTATGACAAAGCCTTTGTTTTCATGATGTAAGTGCATTTAAAGGGCCTATATCTTGTTATTTTCTGATCTATGTTATAATGTAATTTCCTGATCACAAACAGAACTGGAGTTGTGTTTTGTTTCATTCACACATGTTTAAAACACAACTCCTGCAGATTTAGGAGTTTTTTCTCAGTCTGTTCTACCTGCTGTATTGTTTTTTTAAACTCCATTCACCTTCATTACAACCATTCCATAACTTCAGTCTTGAATTTACAGTCTTCACTGAACAGAAGATAAAAGGTAGCTGTTAACTTCATGACATCACAAGGTGGAACGGAGCATTTTGAGCTTTGGAGATGTAGAAAAAAATTACTCAAACATGTGTGACTGAAATTAAACACAACTCCAGATGTGTTTTTGAGGAGGTAACAACATGGCTTGAAGCTCACAAGAATCTTTTTAATGTTTAATAAGACTGTGACCCCACCCACGTCCTGTCACACCAACATGATCTGAAGCCCTGGTGCAAAAGGGACAGGAAGCCCCCGTGTATGCACAACCTATTTAAGTCACATTTATTCCTTTATCCATTTCAACAATGAATCAAAAGAAATAGCAAAGTCAGAATGCAAAACTAACTGCACTTTTTGCACACTTGAGAAAGTGCAATAGGAGCTAAACTTTAAGGCCATGAAGGGATTATGTCATACTGTGTGTGAATGTGAAGGTAAATTAGGGATGCTTTGATCTGATATTGGGATTGGATATTGGCATCAGTACAGAAAAATTTGTTGGATCAGATACTGACTTCTAAATATCGGTTCAATCAATATTCTGGTTGTTCATAGTTGATGTATTAAGACTATTTATTTGTAGTCGTCATGTGTATGTTTTTTTAATACAAAGTTGTTCTGTAGTTACTTGAGTTTCTTAGCTGTAAGAGTCTGTGCAATGCTCCGCCTACAAGCCTACGTCACCAATTCTCCATAAATTTACAAAAACATGATACAGAAGTGTACTATACTCTATAGGTTAGGTGTTAGCAGTTAGTACCTCATAGACATTGTTGGGAAGGTGACTTTTAAAATGTATTCCCCTACATATTACAGATTACATACCCAAAATGTAGTTTGTAACGGAATCCATTAAATTACTTAAAGTGAGTAATGTAATCTGAATACTTTGGATTACTTGATATTGTTATGCTTTTTAAAACTACATGAATGTAACAACCACATCCTGAAAATTCATGTTTGTTCTCTTCAAATTGTCTGTTGAGTCCAAGTCTCCATGAACAGACTTTTGTTTTACTGTCGGGAGAAGCAAAGACCAGGAAATCTTAACATGAGATGTTTTATCTGCTAAAAGACAATAAAAACTCCAGTCTTTCCTTAACCAGATTAAAAATATTATTGATAGAGAAATGATTTCTATATGAGATCACTGCTGCCCACTTATGTCCACCCTACTGTCATATTGTTTAGTCTTGGTTTTACTCCTAGTTTAGTCCTGCTTAGTCCTGCTTTTAGACCTGGTTTAGACTTGGTTTAGTTCTGTTTAGTCCAGGTTTTGGTCCTGGTTTTAGTCCTAGTTTAGTACTGGTTTTAGTCTTGCTTTAGACCTGGTTTAGTCCTGGTTTTAGTCCTGCTTTTAGACGTGGTTTAGTCCTGGTTTTGGTCCTAGTTTAGTCCTGATTTAAACCTGGTTTAGTCCTGGTTTTGGTCCTAGTTTAATCCTAGTTTAGTCTTGATTTTAGTCTTACTTTTAGACCTGGTTTAGTCCTGGTTTTAGTCCTGCTTTTAGACCTGGTTTAGTCCTGGTTTAGTACTGATTTATTCCTGGTTTTGGTCCTGGTTTTAGTCCTAGTTTAGTCCTGGTTTATTCCTGGTTTAGTCCTGGTTTCAGTCCTAGTTTAGCCCAAAATGTGAAAACAGGAAAATACCACCATATAATCCATTTATTTCAACAAAGTAACTGTAATCCAATGACCACTCACTGAAACAGTAACTGTAACTGAATACAGTTACTCATCATTTGTACTCTGATTATGTAACTCCGGTACATGTAATCTGTTACTCCCCAACACTGCCCATAGATATAAATATGTTATATGATATTCCTCCACAACTTGAATCCAGCTTGTGCATGGAGCTGCTGAAAAGAGGCATGTATCCATCCCTTTGTAGTACTCACACAGGCAGGGTCCTGGTGCCGTTGAGCAGCTGGATGAGCTCCAGGCGGGTGTGGTCATCCAGGTAGGTCACGTGTTTTCCTGAGGCCAGTTCAGCCTTGGCTCCCAGGCTCAGGTTCCTGCGGCAGAGAACACTCCACTGAAGCAGACAACAGTGCTGGGCATACGAGCACATACTTCAAGGCATTGGATTTATTTCATTGGCAACGTTTCACTGTCACTAGTTACATGTCATCAAAAATATAAAAGCTAACTATTATTTGACAAAATGAGTACTGGTACCCATAGTTCTCAGAAGTAGAAGTACTGGAAGGCTCACAGCAGAGCCATACCTCTGGACAGTCCAGGAGAGTGTGAGGGGAAAGTTCTCCAGGTGGAGCACATGGCTGAGGTAGCTGCGGCTGGGCGGGCTGATGGTCCACAGAGAGTTGCTGCTGCCAGGGAGCGCTGCCACCGTCACATCTTCTGCTCCATAAGCCTCCAGGAACTGCAGGGCACTCTAGACCAGAGGCAAGACGAAGGGAGGATCAGAGGGCCGGGGGCAAGAGCGCCAGAGGTTAAATTTCTGTTGACTTTGACAGGTGAACTCTTATCTGTGGTTTAAGCAGTGTTAGCAGAAAACAAGCAGGGCAAACAGGCATATGCACATTACCGTAAATTCTGGACTATAGAGCACACTTGAATATATAGGCCGCATCTGAATATAAGCCGCAGGTGTCCACGTCTTCAAGAACATTACGGGCAAGCAGCTTTTATCGCCTCTGAAGCTTTTGTCGTCTTTTTGCAGTGAGTCAGTTCATCATGCTACTATCACTAAAATCTCACCGTCGACTCACTGATGCCAAGCTCATGCGCAGCAGCTCTGTTTCCTTCTTCCACAGCCACATCAATCACCTTTAACTTAAAAGCTGCATCATCTGCATTTCTTCGTGTGTTTTACATGAGGAGGGTGTGTGCATGAAGCACAAAATAACTTTAAAACACAATCAAACAGCATCTTCCTCGGCGCATCACCCCCGTTTCTCCCCGTGCTCTCTCTGTCCTGTCTGTATCATGTCAGTGTCTCGAAGGATATCAGCAGATTTCAGACTCTCTCGGGGGTGGGGCTAGTTTTGTCAGTCAGGTATGAGTGGATGTCCGGCTACTGAAGTTTCAGTTTGAGTCATTTATGCATACGGATAAGACGTATCCTATATGTTAATTTAGCATCATAACTTATTTTATCACACGGCGATAAACTATTTGAATGTGCTGACAATATCGCGAGCTAGTGGAGCAACTTCATGTGAAACCTAGATCCATGTGTTACCCACAGACAGCGGCGCTTTCTGCACTCAGACTGCGCGTATCCGCTGTGTTACCAAACCATAGACCTTATATATAAGGACAATGTGCCAAACAAAGAATCCATCCGTATTTTTGCCACATCGTTTTATTAGCTGCAGGGTTCAAAGTGTAAGTAGTGGCTTATAGTTTGGAATTTACGATTCTCATGTGAGTACTCACTCAGATTCTACTGCTCACAAGCTTTCCCTGACTTTATTATTTTATTTTATGAAGACAAACCTTAGATTTGAGGGTACTCAGTGACAGGTTGGCTGGAGGGTACTCACCGGCTCGTAGCTGTAGGAGCTGAGGAAGGCCTGGTACTCATGCTCGCTCAGCTCCCTGAGCTGGTTCTGCTGGGCACTCATGGTGAAGATGGGCTGAGGGCAAACGCACACAGCAGGACAAAGAGTCACTACAGGAGGCAGAGGACGCAAGCTTCCATATACCATCACACATTCACTATTGTGCCTAAACTAGAACACAACTCAGTAAATCATCATGTGCTGTAAACATAGGAGGTTTGTGTACTCCACTTGTTTGCAGTTAAAGCATGGACATTTTCACTAATGGAACTGTTTCATTAAATTGTCACTTTTCAAGGTTTTTGGAGAAAAAAAACAAGTAAACTCTTTCAGTAAAATGACTGGGGCTGTTTTTTTTTTCTTTTTTCTTTGTGACAAGGCCAGTGACACAGACAGATGCAGCAGTGTCTGGAGAGATGTAGAAGTAACACAGTGCACTTTTAACAAGTCAACTTCTAGCATAATTGAACACTTAATCCAGTATGCACTTTTATATGGAAACAGATCCCTTGAACCAAGTCATGAAAACATGTATCATTCTAAATCAAAACACAGTTAAAGCACCCATGCATATCCCCCTTTGACACAGAGGCTCCTTTATGTTTATGTTCCATATTTCATGTTTGGAATCTCAAGTATGTGTATCATAGCAACAAAAGAGCCAATCAGGAGCCCCATTCCTGCCTGCCCTACTGGTTTGGCAGGTGTCAGGTGATTATCAACACCTGCCACTGTTGCTAGTGGGAGTAACCTTGGGGACAGAAGTCATTTCATTTGTCTGTTATTAATGATCATAAGGGACAAAATATTGAAATAAAACCTCAGGATAAACATTTTAAGGTCAGAATGAAGAGTCTGACAGCAGTTACAGAGAGAGGGCCTACCATTTTCCAATAGAAAGTGAAAGTGAGTCGATGGAGCTGAATCGTGCCCGTGCTCACTTTGTGGCAGCTAGTGGCCTTGTTCTGTCCATACATATATACAGTCTATAGTTCGATTGGGAGTGTTACCTGGAAGCCTCCCAGGGTGACAGTGACGGACACGTCCAGCGGTCGGTTGACCACTCCAGCCACAGACTTGACCAGAGACATGAAGAGCAGAGGGAACCACACGATGCAGATGAGCAGCAGCACGATGAGCCCACCCATGCCATACTTCACCACACGCTTCTTCTTCTGCCCACGGGGCTGAGGGTAGCGCTGTGGGCACACAAGGCACACAGTCTGGTGACTTAAAAGGCCCTGTACATGATTTTTACCATGTGCCTGAGCAAAATGTGTCTTGCCCTGAAACTGATATAAGCACCTGTTCATGTCCCAGTAAGTCAAGCTGCAAGCTGTCCTCATCTATTTATAAACCGCTTTATTGTCTAAGAATCAGAAAGTGCACATTAATATGCTAGTTGTTTTACCATTACAGCAAAGCGCCATTCTGAAAGTTGTGAAAAGTGCTTATAAACTCATTGTGGTAAATAGTGGTATAGTCCTGGTGTAGTCTTGGAATGCATCAGGTAAGTAAAGAATGAAGTAATTTCTCTTCAATTTATTCTCCAAAAAAGTACAGATCAAGTAAAGTGTTTTTATCTGTTTGTTTATGTCATCTCAATGTACTTCATTTTTGAATAGAATAGAATAGAATAGAAAGCATTTATTGTCATTATACACAGTATAATGAGATGTAGAGGTGCTCCTTCAAAGCTTCCAACAAAAAAAGTAAACAGTTCGCAGTGTAAAGTCGAGTTTAGTGTGGTGACAGTTTTGGGAAAGAAGCGGTCCCTAAGTCTGTTTGTTCTGGCTGGTATGGACCTGAAGAGCCTGTCAGAAGGCAATAGGCTGAAGAGGTGGAAGCCGGGGTGTGCATTGTCCTTTATGACGTTCCTAGCTCTGCTGAGACAGCGGTTGTTGTAGATGGTGGATATGGAATATAATTATAGAAGCTTTGATGTCATAAACCAACTCACATACTATTTGGGATTTCACCATCCGGTCATGAGGTCAATAATCATGAATAATCATTAAATCACAATAATGGTAATCTCAAAATTTGGCATTGTGGCTTCTCTACTTGGTGCTACGCAGTATGGTTTACAATTATGCTCAATAAGGAGGAACAGAATACACTCTTACAAATGGAGCTTTTCTCCTTTACTCTGCAATAAACCCTGTCACACTAAAAACAGAATGCCCGGATTATCAGCTTTGCCTGTAACATACAGGAGGCATCAAAAATATGAAGTAGGTTATATGGAATCATATACTAGTATGTACAGTATGTATTATGCATCATTAAAAAGCCACATTTAGTGTAAATAATCAGGAGCATAAAAAAGAAACAAATGATAAAGGACGTTTTGGACACTGGTCGTGTATATTTAAACCAAGCACTACCAAGGTACTTTCTAGAAGGAGCCTTATCGTAGTTAGTCAGACCTTCTCCGACTCCCTCCAGCACTTAAGGGTGAAGCAGTGGGCGTAGATGTCCTCCACACATATCCAGGAGGAGAGGGACAGCGTAGTGTCTGTCCAAACCCAGTCCATCACAGCTCGCAGCTCAGTCAGGAAGGGCACCAGCCGGAAACTACAGACAAAGATACAGTATGTGTGACTGACTGAGACCTAAACCAGAACTATCGGTCAACATAAACTAGGAAAGAAGTAGAAACAGATAATGACCTAAAACCATAGACCTAAACCAGGACTAAACCAGGACTAGACAAGGACTACACCGGGACTACACCGCGGCTAAAACCAGGACTAAAGCAGCTTGCACCTTGCTTACCCCTGGAAGAGGAAGAGGTTGAGGTAGTTGTGGCTTTTGGTGAGGAAGTTGCCCAGGACTCGAGTTGGGTACCCGGAGCGGATCTGGTATGCTGACAGACCAAAGTACACACACTTCACAAAGTACCACAGCTGGGCCACCAGGTTCTGGTTAAAACGCCTGCAACACATGGGAGGGATTATCAGTGGGACTATACCAGGATACACCAGTACCAGATACACAGGACTACACCAGGACACACAGGACTATACCAAGACTACACCAGGACTACACCAGGACTATACCAGAACACCAGAACTACACCAGGACTACCAGGACTACACCAGACTACACCAGACTACACCAGACTATAACCAAGACTACACCAGGACTATACCAGGACTACACCAGAACTACACCAGGACTATACCAGAACTACACCAGGACTACACCAGGACTATACCAGAACTACACCAGGACTACACCAGGACTATACCAGAACTACACCAGGACAACACCAGGACTATACCAAGACTACACCAGGACTACACCAGGACTATACCAGGACTACACCAGAACTACACCAGGACTATACCAGGACTACACCAGAACTACACCAGGACTACACCAGGACTATGCCAGGACTACATCAGAACTACACCAGGACTATACCAGGACTACACCAGAACTACACCAGGACTATACCAGAACTACACCAGGACAACACCAGGACTATACCAGAACTACACCAGGACTACACCAGAACTACATCAGGACTATACCAAGACTACACCAGAACTACATCAGGACTATACCAAGACTACACCAGGACTACACCAGGACTATACCAGGACTACACCAGGACAACACCAGGACTATACCAGAACTACACCAGGACTACACCAGGACTATACCAAGACTACACCAGGACTATACCAGGATTACACCAGAACTACACCAGGACTATACCAGAACTACACCAGGACAACACCAGGACTATACCAGGACTACACCAGGACTATACCAGGACTACACCAGAACTATACCAGGATTACACCAGAACTACACCAGGACTATACCAGAACTACACCAGGACAACACCAGGACTATACCAGGACTATACCAAGACTACACCAGGACTACACCCGGACTATACCAGGATTACACCAGAACTACACCAGGACTATACCAGAACTAGACCAGAACTACACCAGAACTACACCAGGACTATACCAGAACTACAGCAGGACTATACCAGGACTACAGCAGGACTATACAAGGACTACACCAGAACTACAGCAGGACTATACCAGAGCTACACCAGGACTACACCAGTACTACACCAGGACAACACCAGGACTATACCAGAACTACACCAGGACTACACCAGGACTATACCAAGACTACACCAGGACTATACCAGGACTACACCAGGACTATACCAGGACTACACCAGAACTACACCAGAACTACACCAGGACTATACCAGAACTACCAGAACTACACCAGAACTACACCAGAACTACAGCAGGACTATACCAGGACTACAGCAGGACTATACTAGAACTACACCAGAATTACAGCAGGACTACACCAGAACTACACCAGAACTACACCAGGACTATACCAGAACTAGACCAGAACTACACCAGAACTACACCCAGACTATACCAGAACTAGACCAGAACTACACCAGAACTACACCAGGACTATACCAGAACTACAGCAGGACTATACCAGGACTACACCAGAGTTACTCCAGGACACACCAGTGCTAAAACTGGTTTGTTTACACTTGCACATAGGCAACATCAAATTTGGGATAAACTGGGACTAAATTCTGAAATAATCCTGAACTATCTAGGACTAAGTCAGGACTAAAACCAAACCACATTTTAAAATGGAGTCAACACAACAACTACACCAAGACTAAAACAGGAATATACAATGACTAAACAAGGACTGCACAAGAACACAAGCACTATACTAGGCCTACAGTAATTCATGAGGACTATACTAGGCCTACAGTACTTCATGAGGACTATACTAGGCCTACAATACTTCATGAGACTATACTACACCTACAGTAATTCATGAGGTATACTAGGCCTACAGTAATTCATGAGGACTATACTAGGCCTACAGTACTTCATGAGGACTATACTAGGCCTACAGTACTTCATGAGGACTATACTAGGCCTACAGTAATTCATGAGGACTATACTAGGCCTACAGTACTTCATGAGGACTATACTAGGCCTACAGTACTTCATGAGGACTATACTAGGCCTATAGTACTTCATGAGGACTATACTAGGCCTATAGTACTTCATGAGGACTATACTAGGCCTACGGTATTTCATGAGGACTATACTTGGCCTACAGTACTTCATGAGGACTATACTAGGACTATAGTACTTCGTGAGGACTATACTAGGCCTACTTCACAAGGACCTACAGTATTACTAAACCAGCAAAATTTCCAGTACTTTCAGTACTTCCAATATTTCTATTATTTCTTTCTTTTTACATTTAAAGGAAGTTTGTTAAACAAAGAGACTGTAGAAAAAGTGTACAACATTAGGATAACTGAAAAATGATTTATTCCAGTTGAAATCCAGATTTGAGACGCTCATACGAGCACAGGAGACTGAAATAGAACAGCACCTCTCTGTGACGGTGGGGAGGATGAAGAACATCCAGAAGTGGATGCCCAGCACCAGGATGACCTGGAACACCAGCTTCCCGAGGACCGTCTTCCTGAGGTAGAGTGCTCGGTCGATCACCATGGTGCCTGCACACACACACACACACGCGCACACACACACACACACACACACACACACACACACACACACACATACACAACAGCACGCACACAAACACACACACACACGCACACACACACACACACACATACACGCACACGCACACACACACACACACACACACACACAAGTCAGGTTTCCATGCTCTGGGAGAATATTTCCTGAAGAATGACTTCAAAGCAAACCTACAGTATTGTGCAGAATCAAAGACTGCTTAGAGCGTTTAACGTTATAGTTACAGCGTTATAGTTGTTTCTCCTTCTCATTGACTCTCTTGAAGTTGTATCTGGAGTCATTTGTGCATGTTTGAGTAATCTTTAATGACTTATTTTCAAGATGTCATTTTACAGATCAACTCTCGTGATAACTGCCACACACACACTTCTCTATACTTTTCTTAAGCAGTGATACATGAAGGATTTGGCAAAGACATGTAGTTATTTTGGTAAAAATTAAAAATAAATCTCTTACTTATTAGTGTGATGAGCAGCTAGGGGCCAGCAGCAACAAGGCTATGTTGTGGTGACATTTACAGCGAAATCAGCTCTCATTGGGCACCACTAGTTTCTATTATTAAGTTGTTTTAGATGAATATGTAAATTTAAAATGTGCAAATTATAGTACAATCATCAAAGGGTGTCATACATTATAACTATACAGTATAGTGACGAAAATACAATATGTCTTTTTAAAACTATGGATGCTCTATTGTGGAAAAATTATATCATGATCATCTGGCTCATTATTGAAACAGAATTAGAATAGAAATGAATTACCAAACTGAATGAGCACCATGACCAGGAAGGCCTCAGGAACCTGGTCCTCGGACAGAGAGGAGGTGATGTCTGCAGCTGCTGAGTGTTTCTGTAACAGACCAGCACACAAGTCACACACAAGTCACACACGAGTCACACACGAGTCACACACGAGTCACACACGAGTCACACACGAGTCAAACACACGTCCACGCACACGTCCACGCACGAGTCACACACGAGTCACACACACGTCCACGCACACATCCACACACGAGTCACACACGAGTCACACACGAGTCACACACACGTCCACGCACACGTCCACGCACACGTCCATGCACGAGTGACACACGAGTCACACACACGTCCACGCACACATCCACACACGAGTCACACACGAGTCACACACAAGTCACACACGAGTCACACACGAGTCACACACGAGTCACACACACGTCCACGCACACGTCCACACGCACGAGTCACACACACACGAGTCACACACACGTCCACACACGAGTCACACACGAGTCACACACGAGTCACACACACGTCTACGCACACGTCCACGCACGAGTCACACACGAGTCACTCATACGTCCACGCGCACATCCACACACGAGTCACACACAAGTCACACACACGTCTACACACACAAGTCACACACGAGTCACACACACGTCACACACGAGTCACACACAAGTCACACATGAGTCACACACAAGTCACACACACGTCTACACACACAAGTCACACACGAGTCACACACACGTCACACACGAGTCACACACGAGTCACACACGAGTCCACGCACACGTCCACGCATGAGTCACACACGAGTCACACACACGTCCACGCACACATCCACACACGAGTCACACACGAGTCACACACGAGTCACACACGAGTCACACACAAGTCACACACAAGTCACACACGAGTCACACACGAGTCACACACACGTCACACACGAGTCACACACGAGTCACACACGAGTCCACGCACACGTCCACGCATGAGTCACACACGAGTCACACACACGTCCACGCACACATCCACACACGAGTCACACACGAGTCACACACGTGTCACACACAAGTCACACACACGTCCACACACGAGTCACACACGAGTCACACACAAGTCACACACACGTCCACGCACACAAGTCACACACAAGTCACACACACGTCTACACACACAAGTCACACACGAGTCACACACGAGTCACGCACAAGTCACGCACACGTCCACGCACACGTCTACGCACACGTCCACGCACACGTCCACGCACAAGTCACACACAAGTCACACACACGTCCACGCACACATCCACACACAAGTCACACACGAGTCACACACGAGTCACACACGAGTCACACACAAGTCACACACACGTCCACGCACACGTCCACACACGAGTCACACACGAGTCACACACACGTCCACGACACACGTCCACGCACACGTCCACGCACACGTCCACGCACGAGTCACACACGAGTCACACACACGAGTCACACACACGTCCACGCACGAGTCACACACGAGTCACACACAAGTCACACACACGTCCACGTCCACACACACGTCCACGCCACACGTCCACGCACAAGTCACACACGAGTCACACACGAGTCACACACGAGTCACACACACGTCACACACACAGTCACACGTCACACACACAAGTCACACACAAGTCACACACACACACACACGTCACGCACACGTCCACGCACAAGTCACACACACGAGTTATACACGAGTCACACACGAGTCACACACACGTCCACGCACACATCCACACACGAGTCACACACGAGTCACACACACGTCCACGTCCACACACACGTCCACGCACACGTCCACGCACAAGTCACACACGAGTCACACACGAAGTCACACACACGTCCACGTTCACACACACGTCCACGCACAAGTCACACACGAGTCACACACGAGTCACACACAAGTCACACACACGTCCACGCACACGTCCACGCACACATCCACACACGAGTCACACACGAGTCACACACGACTCACACACACGTCTACACACACAAGTCACACACATGTCCACACACACATCCACACACAAGTCACACACAAGTCACACACGAGTCACACACAAGTCACACACACGTCCACGCACACATCCATGCACAAGTCACACACAAGTCACACACAAGTCACACACACGTCCACGCACACATCCACGCACAAGTCACACACGAGTTATACACGAGTCACACACACGTCCACGCACACATCCACACACGAGTCACAGACACGTCCACACACACATCCACACAGAAGTCACACACGAGTTATACACGAGTCACACACGAGTCACACACACGTCCACGCACAAGTCACACACGAGTTATACACACGTCTACACACACAAGTCACACACACGTCCACACACACATCCACACACAAGTCACACACAAGTCACACACGAGTCACACACAAGTCACACACACGTCCACGCACACATCCACACACGAGTCACACACGAGTCACACACACGTCTACACACACAAGTCACACACATGTCCACACACACATCCACACACAAGTCACACACAAGTCACACAGAAGTTACACATGTCCACACACACATCCACACACAAGTCACACACAAGTCACACACAAGTCACACATGCCACACACACGTCCACGCACACATGCCACACACACATCCACACACACATCCACACACAAGTCCACACAGACATCCACAAACAAGTCACACATATCCACACACACGTCCACACACACATCCACACACATGTCCACACACATGTCCACACACATGTCCACACACATGTCCACACACAAGTCACACATGTCCACACACAAGTCACACATGTCCACACACAAGTCACACATGTCCACACACAAGTCACACATGTCCCCACACAAGTCACACATGTCCACACACAAATCACACATGCCACACACACGTCCACACACACGTCCACACACAAGTCACACATGTCACACACAAGTCCACACGCATGTCACACACACAAGTCACACACATCACACATGTCCACATCAATGCCCACACACAAGTCACACACGTCACACACACAGCCACGTCCACATACAAGTCACGCACATCCACAAAGAAGTCAAACACATCCACACACATGTCCACAAGCAAGTCACACACACAGCAAACATGTCCACACCCATGTCCACACATAACTCACACACGTCCACACACGTCACGCAAGTTCACACTTAAGGCACACATGTACACAATCACAGGGCACAAGTTATTTTTACTTCAAACCAAAAGTGGGTAGTACAGTTACAGTTAGAGCATTTTTTAAATGGAATTTTACTTTTCAGAGTACTTTTGAAGCAGAATACTTTTACTCCTACTTGATTTAGTTTCTCACTTTTGTGTCTAGCTTATACTAATACTAAATACTTAAAAAAACAAAAACAAAACTAATTTCTTGGACTTCTGCTTGTGTAATATTATTTTGAAGTAACATTACTCATACTTGAGTAAAAAACTTGCATTCTCTACCCACCTGTTTTGAAATGAAATTTATGTTGTCTAATTAACTAACACATTCTGGAGTTTGCTGATGTATTGTCTGAATCCCTTCCCAATCTTTATGGGACATTCTTAGTTAAATAAAAAAAAGAAATGAAAAAATGAAAAAAAGTCACCTGGTCTGAGCATAACAAATACAGAGGTTTTATATGTCATCAGTGCATGTTTGAATAATCTAGTGATCTCTCCCTGTCCTTGTGGTTTGCAGTAAAATCTTGTTTGAATCTCAACCCACAAGCCCATGCTCCTCCTTTTCATATACAACACAGGATATAAAACAATAGACTGTTTTATACTTGTTTTATAAATTGTTTTATATATAAGGAAGGGAGTAACCTGTTAATGAAACTACAGCACACCACATCAGGTTTGTGTTGTAGTTTATTGTTTTGTATCCTGCTCTTGGGCAGTTATGAGGCACGGGTGACATGGGCTTGTACTGCAGAGGTGGGGAGTCAGGGGGTGGTGTCCTGTGGAGCTCACCCCAAAGGCCCAGAAACCAAAGACGATGATGATGAAGTCCACTGTGTCGGCCAGGAACATGAGCACGTAGACATCAGTGACGGCGCTGTACTCCGGCTGCACCAGAGCCCGGAAGAAGTCCTGCACTGGGGAACACGCCAAGCGCACCCTGCAACCACAGCAATGTGAGCACCAGCCTCAGTAGCACCCATCTCTATTCCACCTGCCCCAGTCTCACCTGCCTAAGCCTCACCTGCCTCAGCCTCACCTGCCTCAGCCTCACCTGACTCAGATGCACCTGCCACAGTCTAACCTGCTACAGTCTCTCACTTGCCGCAGTTCCATCTGCCGCAGTCTTACCTGTACATCGTTACCTGTCTCAGTCTCACCTACCTCATTCTCACCTGCTTCTATCTTTCCTATTCATCTTCACCTGCCATGGTGTTACCTGCCTCAAATACACCTCCCACACTCCCACCTGCCACAGTCTTACCTTGTGAAGGAGTGTCGTTGGGCTTTCAGGGACATGTCTCTCAGTTTGGTTAGAAACATGAATACTTTTCTTTCTGGCTCGACTCTGGAGCCACCACTGTCTGTATGAGAAGAGCAAAAGTATTTTTACTCAAAATAATGTTTACTTTACAACTCCCTCCTAGGGGAGAAGACAGTAGAACATATAACCCAGGCTGGTATGATCATTACTTATGACTCAGTTAGGGGTCAATACATGAAAACTTGAGCAATCTTTTTGGAGCTAAATATTCAGCACATGCACATTCTTTGCACTAGTGGAGTATTTGGGGCTATTTTTTGAGGAACCATATGATTAGAACAGTTTGTTGTCAAGTAACTTCTGCAGTTGACTTTAGATTGAGAGAGAGAGAGAGACATTCAAATTCAAGTTTAGCAGCAGAAACATTTCCACTGTGCGTCTCAGTCACCTTTGTGTCTCTAGTCAGAGGTCTCAGTGCAGTTTAACAGGAGGACTGGTCAGGTAGGGTCAGCAGATCTGTGTCAGGGCAGTTTGAGAAGAGGAACAGTCCTGAGGACAAAGGTGTCTCTCCTCAGCAATGTCCAAAATACGTCCGGGAGGAATTTCCAAAAATGTTTAGGATTTTGACTCTATGAGTTGACAGCTTTGAGTGGGACACTTTTCTTAGTGTTGGCACCAGCCTGATCAGATACAATCATGGATCTTATTAAGATCTTATTATATTTGCATGGATACAATCACCAGTGCTACGCCTTTCCCCTGCTCACTCCTGTGTGCTCTCACAGAGAGGACACAGACCACTCTTTTGATCAGAAAATGTACCTACATTTATAAAGCAAATTATTATAAAGGCATATTAGCTACTGTGAAGAAGTTGGATGTAATAACCCAGTTCTTCATGTCTCAAACTCTATACCACTTTTTCTTATTTGGTGAAAATTGACCTCATATGGGCGGAGATACATTCAGAAATCCCAGCTGGAAAAGTTTGTGACAAAGGGCAGTCCTGGTGGAGTTCAACATGCACCGGGAACAGGTCTGATTTACTGCCGGCAATGCAAACACAGCTCCTGTTCTGGTCATACAGAGACCGGACCCCAAACTCCCGGAGCACCCCCACAGGACAACATGAGGGACACAGTCGAATGCCTTCTCCAGATTCACAAAGCACATGTGGACTGGTTGGGCAAACTCCCATGAACCCTCGAGCGCCTGATGGAGAGTGTAGAGCTGGTCCAGTGTTCCATGGCCAGGACGAAAACCACACTGCTCCTCCTGGATCTGGGGTTTGACTATCGGGAAGGCTGAGGAGTGTGATTCCCCTGTAGTTGGAACACACCCTCCGGTCCCCCTTCTTATATAGAGGGACCACCACCCTGTTTTGCCAGGCTCCTTCCCCCCCAGTAAGGTGACATTCCATGTCCCCGGAGCTAGTCTCCATGTCAGGAGATCAAGCCGCCAATCAGGCCCCTGCTGTTAACTGCTGCCCAGATCTCTCTGCACTGGCCCCATATGGATACTCCCGCAGGTGGTGGGCTCTCGATTTACCGGTCAGTCTTCGTTCCTACTCTCACATATGGTCATGAGCTCTGGGTAATGAATGAAAGGACGAGATCGTGGATACAAGTAGTCGTAATGAGTTTCCTCCGCAGGGTGACTGGGTGCTCCCTTAGAGAGTGGTGAGGGTGAGGAGCTCAGTCACACAGGAGGAGCTCAAATTAGAGTCACTGCTCCTCCACGTCGACAGGAGCCAGTTGAGGTGGCTCGGGCATCTGTTCTGGATGCCTCCTGGGCGCCTCTCTGGGGAGGTGTTCCGGGCGTGTCCCACCGGGAGGAGGCCCCGGAGAAGACCCAGGACACGCTGGAGGGAGGAGGCTGGCCTGGGAACACCTTGGGGTTCCCCCGGGAGGAGCTGGAGGACGTGTCTGGGGTGAAGGAAGTCTGGGAGTCCCTGCTTAGACTGCTGCCCCTGCGACCAGGCCCCGGATAAGCAGAAGAAAATGGATGGATGGATGGAAAAGTTTGTAGCATCGTGAACTCAGACGCACATAACAGTGGTGTGCACACACGACATGGGAATAGTCTCACCCTCAGCAGCAGTATCTCATGATAAATACAGGATAAAACATGTGTTAAGACATCCTGATAAATGCTAAAGTCTGTAATGTTCATCCTGCTCTAGATCACAGACTGAAGCCTCCCGTCTGTGACAAGTCACAGGAGCAGGGCTCTACCAGAGCAGGGGACAGGGGACATAGACACTGTCAGGAAAATAACCCATGAAAAAACAAATATAGACTACATTATTTTTATATAGTTTATATTATTGAGCTATGGGTTAGTAGACCTCTAAAATGCAGTGAAATACAGTAAATAGTCCAAAATTTCCCTGGTGAGGACCCCAGACCCCTGATACACATAATATCACACATTTATAATATTAAATTCAAACATCAACACAAATCGCCAGTTACAAAGTACAAACATTGCCAATTTTTTCCTTCTTTTTGATAACCCCAATCTGATCACACAAAAACTATTTCACTCAATCCAACAATCTGTTACTTGAACTGCAGATATTGCACTTCTTAGGTGGTGATTTGATGTTAAAAACTGAGCTCAAAACCCCCAAAAGTGCCAAAACTGCTCAGTGTCAGCCTCAGTACTCCTAAGAGCTGAGTCCTGCTTTTGAGAATTGTGTCATTTCAAAATGATCATTTATTGTATGATTCTTAAATAGCAAAATAGCACACTTCAAATGTTCAGTAGAACACAGAAGACAGTACCTGCGGGGGACTGTGGGCTGGACCCTGGCTGTTCCCTCCTCCTGCCTGTTGGGTGTGGAGGTGTAGCTGCTCCCTCTCCTGGCTCTGAACAAGAGGTGCGGGTAGAGCTGGAATGGGTGCTGGGACTGTCCGGCTCGGAGTCAGTCTGGTCCCACAGCCCGTGGCACTGTCCACAGCAGAAACACAGGTAAGTGTCCCCAGGATGAGCAAATGTCCCAGTATGAATTAGTGTCCCCACTATGAGAGAGTGTCCCAGTATCTGTGAGTGTCCCAGTATGAGTTAGTGTCCCCAGTATGAGTTAGTGTCCCCACTATGAGAGAGTGTCCCAGTATCTGTGAGTGTCCCAGTATGACCTAGTGTCCCAGTACTTTGAGTATAGCTCGGTGGTAGAACAGAGCCAGCAGCTGCAGCAGGTCGTAGATCACATAGCCCTCCTTCTTCTCCACTCCCAGGATGTTGGGAGGATGAAAGGGCTTGGAGCGGTCCACCTCCAATTTCTGATTGAATGGAAAGAATCCAAACTGGAAGAAGTACTTGATGACAATGGTAACCTGTGAAGACCACACTTTGTTAGCCTGCACAAAAGCCAGAGCCACAGGTGAGGAGTGTGAGGGCACCTCAGTGTAGATAATGGCCGTCATCCAGAAGGCCTTACTGGGCCGAGGCACGGACAGCGAGGCCCACAGGAAGACCAGCACTGGCAACACCAGAGTCAGGCAGGAAGCAGACACCATGTGGTTCACCACCATGACCAGGAAGCACACCGCCTCAGACCTGTGCAGGGAGGGAGGGTATCAGAGGAAGTAAAGAAGGGACATTCCACTTCTATGGGGTATTAAATGCTAACAGATCACATTACTTTTTATTGTTTTGAAAATGCACATCGCATTAAACTGGTTAAGATGCAGTACATTTTGTGTCCTGCATCTGTATATTTATTGAGAATTGTCATGTGGGAGCATGAGTGACGTAGACTTGTGGGGTGAGCTTTGAATAGCATTGTACTGCTAACTGTAAGGACGGTTGGAATAGGCCCAGGAGAGATCACTAAAACCGTCATGTGGTTCACTACCATGACCAAGAAGCACACCGTCTCAGATCTGTGCAGAGTGGGAGAGGATCAGAGCACATAAGCTACTCAGTGCAAAAGAAGTACCCATGTCTCATTATGAGAGCACATCATTACATGGTATTAAAACCACAAATAAAACAATATTCCTGTGGTTGTGTTCGAGGCAGATGTACCTTGCCGCCAGAATGTTGTAGAGCGTGTAGCAGAGCTGCAGCAGCTGAGGCTGACTACTGAAGAAGTGGTCTGAGGCTTCCAGCTCTTCATCGTAGAACATCCTGTAGGTAGAAGACCTGTTACAGCAGATAGATCTGAGTATGTGCTTAAAAGTTTTGATTGATTTATTGACCTGTTCTGGAGCAGCTCACTGGCTGTCAGCTCCTGGATGCGACACAGAGACAGGGGGGACTCCAGTGCCTCTGCCTGGGGCTGCTCCTGTATGCTGAGGTGCCTCTGGACCTGCTCAGGGTCCTGGTCCAGACCCAGGGCCAGGCTGTAGGAGGGAGGCAGATGACTCCAGCTGGAGAGGGGACACAATGCACTCATGTAAAGATATCTGTGCTCCCACTAAAACCACACGTGCGGTTCAGAGTAAGTGGGACCCAGTGGGGGAGTTTTCACAAGCCAAAGTGAACCAGAAGTGGTCTAAAGCAGCTACTTCCAAGTGGAGGTCAGAACTCACCAGGAGGTCACGAGCCACTGAGCTGGTGGTCTCAAGATGACTTTAAGAAGTAATTTTAAAATGATGACACTATTTAATTTATTTCTTTAATTGACAACAGCATATTATGTGATACTAGGAGAAATACTCCTCTGTTTTACTCAAATGCAATTAAAGATGCACTATGTAACCTTTCTGGAGTTTTTCTTCAAAGTAAAGATACTTGCTCTTGTGATGAAGAGCCTTATCCCCAAAGGTGTCAGACCTGTGTAGGAGCTCCTCTTCTCCCTCTGATGAAGATGACGACTTCACTCTCCTCATCTTTAGCAGCCTGGGTCTGCGCCGGGCGCCCGCTCTGCTCTCCGCCTCACTCATACAGGACACTTCACAGGTCATGTCTGCACCACAAACAACATGACACCAAGCTTCAGTGCAACACATGGAGCTAAGCAGAGGGGCCAAACACATGCAGGTCAGAGCCAAGACCAGGGCCCTACAGAGCACCAGGAGCACGCACACCTGCCCCAGGCTAAGGTCCCATACTGAGGACTTCCACAAAACCACACACAATCCTACAGCTCCTTCCCTGAGAATAAACTGTTATACCAAAACACAAAATTATAAATAAAAAAATAAATTAGCATTACAGTTGTTTGAGGTAAAAAACTATACATGATTTGAACTAGTCTACTTCTTCTCTGGGGACACGGATGTTTTTGGAACTTAAAATCTAAATCTCAGTGAAGTGATTTGATTGATTTGACTGATACCTTGTTCATCTTTAAGGCTGTGTTTGTTTGGATCCTTTTCCAGTTCGATGTTGTCCAGTCTGAGCTCACCATGGTCCGGCTCAGTGTGGTCCAGCCTGTGTGCACTGTCGTGTAGCTCAGATCCAGTATGGTCCATAGAGTGGTCTGGTTCAGTGTGCTCCAGGTTTGAGTGGCCTAGTTCAGTGTGGTCGTGTCCAGTGAGAGGTGGTTGCGTGGGGTCCAGTTCACAGTGGTCTAGTCTGGTGAGCTCTGGTCCAGTGTGGTCTGGTTCAGAGTGGTCCAGTTCAGTGTGGCTTGGTTCAGTGGTGTCTTTTCCAGTGTGGTCTGGTTTGGTGGGGTCCAATTCACAGTGTTCTAGTTCAGAATGCTCTTGTTCACTAAGGTATGGTTCACTGTGGTCCGGTTCGGTGTGGTCTGGCTCAGTTTGATCCGTTTCAGTGTAGTCCGGTTCAGTGTGATTTTTTCCAGTGAGATCTGTTTGGCTGGAGTCCAGTCCACAGTGTTCTGTATTGGTGAGCTCTGGTTCAGAGTGGTCCACTTCGGTATGGTCTGCATCAGTGTGGTCTAGTCCGGTATGGTCTGGTCCAGTATGGTCTAGTTCAGTTTTGTGGTCAGACACAATATAGTTCGGATCTGGTTTATTATTGTCCGACTCTAATCCAGTGTGGGCTCTATGGTCCAGTCCAGACTCCTTGGAGCTCCTCTTCAGCTGCTGCTGGTAGTAGAGGTGAATGCCTTCTCGAGATGGAGCTGTGCCCTAGAGTTGTCAAGAGAATCGAAAATCAAATTCTAATCGGAACTAAAACTAGTACTGAATAGATAATTTTTTAAATACCTATCAATACCAAAAAAGTCACATCAACAAGATAGAAATGAACTTTTCCTGAATATTTAAAATGTATGTATTTAATTTTTTTGTAATAATTAGAATGAGCTTGAGCTGTATCAGAAGTAGTACAACACCACATAGAGGATACGCCGACAGACCACTGTGGAACCTACCTGGACCGCTGAGGAATTACACACATATAAGACGCCATCTGATTTTTTTATCATTATCGTGACTTCAGAATCATATTGAGTATAGAATCTGTTCCTTCGTATCAAAATCAAGTATAACATGTTTGTATCATGACAACACTACTGTGCCCTGACAAAAAAGGATCTCATCTGAGGAGGACTTTTGCAGTACCTGCCGGGCCTGCTGAGTGAGCATGCATCTCTCTATGCGCAGAACAGTGGAAATATCTATGTGCTCCTGACACAAGCCACGAAGCCATGTGGTCAGGGAGTCCAGCAGAGCAGAAACCAGGACCCAGCAGAAGCGCAGCCCACTGGAGAGCCTCTGGAGCACAGTCTCTAGAACACAAGCAGTCTGCAGTCTGGATGTGTAAGCAACAAGGGTGTACAAATATGGAACCTATAACATACCTGCGACATCATCTAACTCCTCCTCTGTATCCTCCTCATCTGTTTCTGTGGAGACCTCAATGGCTTCATGATGAACAACATTAAAAAAGACATAAATGATAATATTTAATATAATGTCTGAAGTAAAGCGCTTTACATCGTGATACCACACACCCATTCACACACTCATGTAAGCTGACACTGGGGGCAATGTGCCTTGCCCAAGAAGCAATATAGTAGTCTGTAGTAGATGGAATCTCACTGCCAAACTGTGGGTCACTCTACCAGTGATGTCTTTATGTTCAGAACAGGATTCAAACCTCTAACCTTAAGGTCAAAGGATGAGCATGCTCCCATCTGAGCAACTGCCATGTGGTGGATGACTTTAGTTTTCATCTATAACCATTTTACTTGTTTACTTTGACATGTTTGGACTACTGTCTACAGACCTCCTCACAGGATTCATATGATGTGTGACATGTCTTGCTGCTGATTTAGCAAGTCTTCGGCACCCTCTGTAGTCCAACTTCTTCAGAATAGTATCTCAAGTATGGGAAAGCAAGATCGGGCTCTCATCTCTGTAATATTTTGTGCACATTTCCGAATTTCTATTGCCTCTTCAACGCTGGGTGTACTCTAACTGCAAAAGTGGTTTGAGACTCACATGGTTCCAACAAGACTCAGAAAGTCACTCAAACCACTCTGACCTCTGTGCCCTGCCTCACTGACCTCTGACCTATGTGTTCTGCCACACTGACCAAAGTGTTCGAACTTACTGAACCCACATGAAAATGCATTGCTTTAGGCAAATATGCACCACAGTTGTGGCAGTTTGTGTAACAGGCAATTTGCATATAACCCGCTCATGCATACTGGACCACACTTGCAGTCTGTATAAATCTGGAATTATCCAGCATTGGTGTCCTCGTCACAATCCACAACATGGTCCTTCCTTTTACAGTGGTCTGAGATGGCAAACTTCAGTTGCCAAGTTTATCTGTGCCAGTTCCTTTATTGCACCAATGACTGTGTAAATCAGCAGCAAGACACAGTAACATCATGTGATTCTTCTGTGAAAGACTGCAGACAAGTAGTCAAAACATGTCAAGATAAACAAAGAAACTGGGGTGTTAGATGAAAACAAAAGTAATTTGGAGAAAAGAAAGTCAAATGAACCCTTTTGGAACACTATGGATTATCTCACTATTGTAAATGAACAGGAGACAATGTACTGTGGAGAAATGTGATGAAGTCCACCTGTGGCCCTGTGCTCCCAGCGAGGCCTTCTCCGAGTAGATCTCTGGTGCAGTTTCTTCTGCCTGTGCCGGGCTCTCATGGCAGTTCTGGAGTCAGTGATCCAGGCGTGGTAGACAAACTGCATACCACATCCTCACATTAGCATGCTTATAACAATGGGATTCTACCAAATAAATCTCACCAACACCACTGAGAACGTAAACAGTGAATGAACACCGAGTACATCTGCTCACCTGAAAGGCAGATTTGTCAGGAGGTCGTGCTCCTTTCTTATGCTCCTCCTCTTTCTCCTCTTCTGTTTCCTCATCACTGTCGGTTTCAAACAGGTAGTAGTCCCCACTGCGGATCACTGAGAGAGAAACCGTGTTAGTGTGAGCTGTGGTAGGACTGAGGAAGTAGGTAAGAATATAGTAAGATTGTTGTGAGACTATGGTTGGACTATAGTAGGGCAATGGTAGGACTATAGTAGGACTGTGGTAGGGCTGTGGTAAGACTTTGTCAGAGTTGTAGTTGGAGTAAGTTGATGGCAGGGTTGCAGTGGGATTGTGGATGGACTGTGGTTAAACTATAGCAGAGCTGTAGAGACGTGGGACAACTGTGGTAGAGCTACAAAAAGACTATGGTATGACTGTGGTAGGACTCTGTTAGAACTGTAATTGGAGTAAAACGGTGGCAGATTTGTGGTATGGTTGTGGAGGGACTGTGGTAGAACTGTGGTGGACTGTAGGAGGGCTAGGGTAGAGCTATGTAAAGACTGTTGTAGGACTGTGGTAAGACTAACAAGACTATGGTAGGGCTGTGGAAGGATTGTTACAGGACTGTGTCATGGCTGTAGTTGGACGATAGTGCTCTGTTACTACGATTTTGATGGGGATGTGGGAGAACTTTGGTATGTTTGTGAAAGGACTGTGGTAGGGCAGCTGTACGATTATAGTAGGATTTTGGTAGGGCTGTGTAAGAATTATGGAAGGACTGTAGTCAGTGGTGTAGTGGGGATTTTTTGAGTGGAGATACGCGACATCATCGATGTGATGAATCCTACCCACCTACCTACCCTTAAAAAAACTTTCAGTACAGAACAAATTTTTACAAACGTAAAGACGCCAGCCCAGTAAAAATCTGTAATATTTGATGTTTTTTTTATTCAAAATGATGTGGAATCATGTTATTAACATTAACGCTGTTCATAATCACCCACAGAACATAAATCAGAGGCTACACCCATAGACTTTATAAAAGAAGTGGACTAAGCGAGTATGACGTCACCCATAACGTTCAGCGCCATGCCATAAGGCTCGCAATGCTCCCGGTTACAGGAGCATATGGAAGATAATTTGTTCCATCAGATTTTGAATTTGAAATACCACTGAAATCTCACTTTGAATTTTTTAAACTCTTTTAATTATTTTTTAAATTACTTTTATTCTGAATTTTAGTTAGATATTTTCAAACCCTCAAATTCAACAGTAGAAATTCAGAATGTAAAATTCGCAGTGAAAAATTACACAGCAAAAATCCAAGATGCCATGGCAGAAGCAATCGATCATGTGAGTGAGGAGGACAGAGGCTGCTTCCTATTGGCTGTTTGCACTGCGAATTTTACACTCTAAATTTTGACTGTTGAATTTGAGGATTTGAAAGTATTTGCGCTGAATAATTAAAAGGTGATTTTTTTTATATATTTAATTTTATACACTTTGAAAATGTACACAACTAAAATTCATAATAAAAATAATTCAAACAAGTTTTTTCAGAGTAAAAAATTTCAAAGTGAGAATTTCAACAGCATTTAAAATTCAAAATCTGATGAAACAAATTATCTTCCATAGAGGGAATCTGGATCCATCCTCTGTGTTATGAATAGGATTTTTTTGATGGAGAAAATACAGGGAAAAAAAAGAGGATCATGTAGAGAGGGTTAATAGGAGCATTTTAAGACCAAAATGACAAGGCTCACAGCAGCAGTTACAGAGAGAGGGCCAACAAGATCCTAATGTAAGACAATTGGAGCCAGGATCAGAAGGAGCCGGATGAGCTGTTCTTCCTGTTTGGCACGCGGCAGCTAACACGTTAGATATGTCCACTCATATATACAGTCTATGGCTACAACACATGAACCAGGACTGAACAAGGAGGACCAAACCAGGATTAAACCAAGACTAAACCAGGACTGAACCAGGAGGACCAAACCAGGACTAAACCAGGTCTACACCAGTACTAAACCAGGACTAAGCTTGGACTTAAGAGCAAGAGAGCTGTTGGAGCAGGGTGTCCACAAAGCACTGAGTCTACGCGAGCGCACCTTCGGGCCCATTCTGACACTCAGCCCTGGTTCTTTCTAGTCCTGTTTAAGACTTGATTTAGACCTGGTTTAGACCTGGTTTAGTCCTGTTTTAGTCCTAGTTCAGTCCTGGTTCAGTCCTGGTTCCTCACGTCGCAGGTCACTGTAGGACAGTAGTGCAGATATCATGAGTCTGTGCAGATTGTTTTCACCTTTGCCAATAGCTTCGGTTTGACATTTAAGTTGTAGCTATTTTATATCTATTATTTTTTTATATCTCACATCGGAAGAAGTGGGTGGACAGCGTACCTCCGCGTACCATGCCCACTACACCCCTGACTGTAGTAGGACTGCTAGGACTGTGGTAAGGCTGGTGGGACATTGGTAGGGCTGTGGAAGGACTGTGTTAGGACTGTGCCATGGCTTTGCTTGGACAGTGGTAGAGATATGGTAGGCATCTGGTTAGACTGGTTAGTGAAAATATCATATAACTGTGGTTGGACAGTGGTCGGACTACATATCGCTGTGGTAGAACTGTGGTGTGATTAAACCTGTGGCAGGGATGTGGTAGGACTTAGTTAGGACTGTGGGCAGGGTTGCAGTAGGACTGTGGTGGGGTTGTAGTACGACTGTTTGGAAGGAGGCACTCACTGGAGGCGTGGTTGACCCAGGGCCTCCACCACTGGCTGTCATCTTTCCTCTCTTTGGGGCCAAGTTTCCCCTCGGCATCTGCAGTCTCCTTATTAAAACTGAGCAGAGTTTCTTTGCCACGACGGAACTTCTGTTGTCGCGTTTTGATTCGCTCCATCCTGAAAAGAGATGAGAGATGAGGTGAGGGGACTGAAAGCAGTCTACACCCTGGACTGAATCAGTGTAGGTTTACTGTCTCTTGAGCAGGTCCATCGAGTTCTTCTCCACCTGCAGTCTGGCTCGCACGGCCTTCACGGTGGAGGCCTCGAATAGCTCTGCACCTCTGCACACATGCACATAAAGATTATTCCTTCCAGTACTTGCTCTGACTGGGACGGGTCACTCACTACATCTAATACCAGATCACTGCCCAAATTTATCAAAAAGTTTAAACTGATTTATCAAAATGCAGCAAATCCAGGGACTACAACTAAAGTGTCAATCAAATCTCAAATCTTGCAATAACACATCTGGAGAAGGTGCACTCTGATTAGGGGTGTAACGGTACATGTATTCATCCCGAATCGTTTCAGTGCAGGACATTGAGTTTGGTGCAGGGCTCTGCACGAGTGAATTTATGCAATTTGTGTGTGCTTACATATGCAGCTACACGGAAGGCACGGCTCTTTAATATTCACGAGGAAACTTGCCTGTGATTGGGGTGGCAGTGTTTCCCACAGTGCTTTATAGTTAGAGCGGCCACCGTGACAATAATTGCCCCCATCTACATCCCTCTGAACCACGTGAATCCTGGCAAAACTACGGTTTTTGCCCTCTGGTCCTCACTTTTGCCTTTCACTGGCATAGAACCCCGCCCCCATCCCCCCACCCAGGTATGCACTTACTGCAGACAATGTGGACAAGTTGATTTTTCTGGTTTTCTGGTTAGTGCTGCACTTTACTTTTTGAAAAGTTTTGTTTACTGTTTACAAGGAATTTATTTTTATAATATTTCATACATTTCTTGCCTATTTGATAATAAGTTTATTTGAGAAAACTTATTAGTATTACTAAGCAGAACTTTGTATTTATTTTATTTTCCCATTTGTATAATGGGAAAATAATAAATGAGCAATGTAAATATATTAAAAACATTTAATTGCACTTATGCGGTTATATAAATGACAGCCTTTTGTGCAATTATAGCTGAAAAGTATTTGTGCCAATGCTAAATTAGTAGATGCCCCTGAACACCTCGCAACATCCCCACTCACACCCATTTGGTTCTTTGACCTGCTGACATGAGTAGTCTGACTTGTTGTTAACCACACTCTGAGTTCTTTGTACATGTAAACGGTGTGAGAGGTGTACCTTGATGCTAGCAGCTGGGTGTTGTGCAGATCCAGGAGCACATACAGGAAGTAGTGGCTTCTGAACACTCTCCTCTGCAGCAGCAGGAAGCAGAAGCAGATGCCGTCCCAGATGATCCCGGCCTCATCATTAGGAAGCTCGCACTGTTTGGAGCTCTGTTCCGCTACATTCAAATAACAGATTGTATTTAATGGTCCTGTACATGATCTTTTTGCTTAAAGAAAATACACTTTTCTAGCACAAACTTTATTTTTATGTACTGGAGTCATTTTTTAATTGAATCAACAGTATTCTTAGTTGAGTAAAAGTTTTGGTTACTCTTCCCACCAAGTTTACTAATGGCAATAGTTTCATGTTGACAATATGAAATATCTGGACATTTGTGTTTCTTGCAGCGCTCCTGCAGATATGATTCAGTTTGTCTCATATTTGTGTCTGTCCTTTGTCTATCCAGTGAGGCGCCAGTCGCAAAAAAATACTGTCAATGTGTTCTTAGGCAAGGCACTTCATCCACATTGCCTAGTATGAAAGAGGGGCTGATGGTGCAGATGGGCAGCCTCACTTCTTGTCAGTCTCCTGGGCAGCTGTGGCTACAATAGTATCTTACCATCAGTGTGGACTGAATGAATAATGCTCAGTAAAGCGTCTTTGAGTCCAGAAAAGTGTTATATAAAACTGATGCATTATTATTATTATAAATCAGATGTTGTGTACTGACAGTTACTATTACTTCAGGAGTAGTTTTCCTAAATACTTGTTTAAACTTAATTGAGTCATTTTTTTAGATCAGTACTTTGTAACATTATTTTAAAGCAATGTTACTCTTGAGTTTTTGGCTACCATCACTGTGTATAACCTCCTCTTGAGGTCAAAATTAACATAAAAAAATAGGATTTTGAGAAAAAAATAAATAAAAAACCTGTGTGCTGTCTTTGTCTAACTATATAGTGTTTTATTGCGGTCAGGAAGTTCAAATTAGCATAATAGCTTTACCATGACAACAAAACCCTGCTCTGATTTAAAAAATCAGTGAAAAGCGCCTAGAAACTCAATAATAATAATAAGAATGTCCGGAGTGCATAAGGCAAGCTCTGTTCCTCTCTTTAAGACCAGATACAACAACTTTGAATGAACCCCAGGGCACAGAGCAGCTGACCTGCCCTGAGCCTCACCTGGACATGCCACCACTTCTGGATGAAAAGAGTGAGTAGGCCAGCTCCAGCTCAGAGCTGTTGTAGCCTGTAGGCCGTTAACAAAGCATATTCATGCCTTCCTGAGTCTTACAAATGTTAATAAATTGCCTGTAGAATCTGAGGGATAATGGGATTTATCTACCTAGTTTATCTACATTCCCCATCGACATTTGTATCTGGACTTGTGTTTGAAGGAGGTCACGTACGTTTGCTGTAGCCCTTGATGGTGCAGGCCAGACTGAAGAGCTGGATGAGCCAACAGTGGTTCACTACTAAAGACTTAATGAAGCCGCACGCCAGGATCTACAACACAAGACACATGCTCCAAGTCATGGGCAGGTCAAAGGTCATGGTGCGTCACAGTGAGTTCAGGGAAAGAGAGGTAAGAAGGACGTCAATGAAGAGGTCAGGAGGAAGGCTAAAGGAGGTCATGGAGAAGGTCATGGAGAAGATCTGGATGCTGTGGAGATGTCAGGAGGTGGTCATGGAGTGGCCATAAAGAGTTTTTAATCCATGCATAGACTTACAGATAGTATGTTCTTCATGGTGATGACAAACACGTTGTATCCGATCAAACAGTCCCAGTAAAGCAAGATCGAGCTGAGAGGCTTCAAAAGCAAGTCTCCGCCCACTAGCAGGAAGTAGAAGCAGGCTACCAGGTAGCCCATACAGAAGACACTGATCCTGCACACAAAGCACAGGGTCAGTCACATGAGGTGTATTTAAGAAGGTGGTGAAGGTGGTGAAGGTGGTGAAGGTGGTGATGGTGGTGATGGTGGTGATGGTGGTGAAGGTGGTGAAGGTGGTGAAGGTGGTGATGGTGGTGATGGTGGTGAAGGTGGTGGAGGTGGTGGAGGTGGTGAAGGTGGTGAAGGTGGTGATGGTGGTGAAGGTGGTGAAGGTGGTGAAGGTGGTGAAGGTGGTGAAGGTGGTGAAGGTGGTGGTGAAGGTGGTGAAGGTGGTGATGGTGGTGAAGGTGGTGGAGGTGGTGGAGGTGGTGAAGGTGGTGAAGGTGGTGGAGGTGGTGAAGGTGGTGAAGGTGGTGAAGGTGGCTGCAGGCAGAGGATCTGATGACTGCTATATGTAGACCTGTATAATAAGGTAAGTGAAGCCAAAAAAGCAATGCAGCTTCATATCTTCATGAACTACAAAGCCTAAAGGCATGATGGGAAATGCAGTGCTGTTAACACGTTAGGGGACAACAGATTATGTTTGATCTGTTTTAATCAGATTGAAAAGGATCTGGGTGTTGAGCAGTGCAGGCAACATGTTTCATATCTGCTATTGATTCACTAAACGTCATTCTCACCACAGATCACATTTTAAGTGTTTAAACTTTACTCTGGTGATGTGATGTCACTCTGTGGTGTGTGGGGAGACAGGAGAATGGATTTACAAAGTTTGATGTAGTTTTATTCAGTGGAACACTTCAAATGAATGTGAGACCTGTCCTGTCATCGGGACTCTGCATGGACTCATGACTGCTCTCAGGCTTGTGAACTTTCTCTTCTTCCATTTTTCTTCTTCCCTCTGAAGCAACCACCTGCTCTTGTGCAATGACAGCAGAGGAGGGAGAGGAGGGAGACACGGAGGAGGGACAGAAGGACTTTACCTGGTTGTGCCTGTGATGAAGATGACAGTGAGGACGAACCAGAACATGTAGCAGAAGATGATGACCTTCAGCATGTCCAGGTAGGACCTTCAGAAACCACAGATATAAAGATACTTCAAATCAGCTCAGCTTGATGAAAGTTTAGCTTTTAGTCTATTTATGTTACACCAACTTTTGCTTTACTACAGAAAGTGCAGTTTCACCATTTTATGGTCTCAATAATCAGTCATGTTTTTTACTCAAGACACAATTTGAGCAACTGGAAATATTAACCTGATAACATCTATCATCTTCAGATAGATTTCCACATATATGACCTTAGTGGTGATGCAAGTCCTTTTATTGATTGGGCATTAGTACTTTGCAGCTGATGTCATCAATATTCCCTGGGGTTGACGCTAACTGGAGGAACTGCTCTATCTGAAGCTCTGATACTCAAGATAGATTTTAATCTAAACTCTATACAATATGCACACAATATGATCATAAATAATTTGGTGAGCTGGAAAAGTAAATAGGTGACCTGATTTGTGCTTTGACTTTTTAAGAGATTTTAAAGGATATTTGGCAGTGTTTGCTAATATGTGCATTGTGTCACCATGGTAACTGCTAAACATTCGGCCATAGACATACACACAGAACCTCCCAGCGTGATGTCACTGTAAAGTTTCCATAATCATAATGAATTCAGTAATAATTATCTCGGGCTAGCCTCATAATATGTCCATGTGTACAGAGAGCAGGGCCTTCAGAGGAGTGTCTGACCTGCAAAGCATGAAGTCGGGCACGGGGTTGGACGGGAGGCGCCTGATCAGGTCTGGGTCCTGGTCCAGTTCCAGTTCTGTGTTGTCTCCTGCCCTCTGCTGGACATGAGGCTGCAGCTCCTCCTCAAACACCTGTCTCTGCAGAGAGGCCCCGAGCAGCAGCAGGAAATCATCTGAGCACACAGAGGGAGGGGGAGAGGGTGAAGAGGACATGGAGACAGGTGTAGCAGCCACATAATGTCTTTTACTTTTTTGTCTGTTGGAGTTCTCTACTATGTGAAGGGTGTTTTGGTGACATCATGTGATAGTATTTTCACCTAGACGCAGAGAAAGTAGTAAGTTGTGTGTCCGAAACGTTCTTTGATTGAGTGCACTATTGTGCACTAAAGAGTGCAGGTCTGTGTAGTGAATGAGAGGTTAGGGAGTAGGGTTGACATCCAGACACAGACAATCCTAATACTGCGAGGTCAGATGGTTTCCACAAAGTGAAACCGTCTGAAGATTCAGGATATTTTCAACCTGACCTCCTCACCAAACCAACCAGGAAGCTCTGTTCACCTTGGAATCCACAAACGTTATAAATGAGATGTAGATGTAGACAGTGTGATTAATGCGTACCTATTAAGAATTGTTAAATAGTTGATAATTGTTAAATAGTAGAGCTGAAAGGCAAATCAAATGTGCATGGATGGATGGAGTTTCTTATTGATGTTTTGACAAGTAGGTTACAGTGTATATGTCTGATAATGGACATTCACAATATAATTATACCTGCATTAAAGATTTATCTTTTCACAATTTCAAGTCTTTGAGTTCTAAATTTGTTAATTTCAAGTTACATAATGTGTTGTAGGCAATATGTTTGTTACAATTCACAACCTATTGTTTGTTCAAAGTCATTGAAGCATCAAAGAAATTACACTTTTGCCATATCTCAGAAACTAATGATGATAGAGACATAAAACTGGTACCAAATGATCCACAATGTCCATATTTCTAGCCAACTTCCTTTTATACTATAGGGCTAAATTAATTATTTTTGATGTTATTAAAGAAAAACTGATTTTTCAGCTCAGACTTAAGGCTTCTGCAGGCACAAAACTTCAGAGGCTTGGTGGACCCAGTAGACATCAATAGAATTTCATAAAATTTCTCATGGAACTTTACTTTGGTAAGTGTAAAAAATGTATACTAGGTACAGATTGATTTTCAAAAATTTTTCAAAAAGTTGGGCAAATGATTCACCGTAGAGGACACGACGACGTCACACACACCGAGCGTGCTCAGAGTTTACAGAAGTGGTCTAAGAGCTGGGCTTGTCTCCCAAAATACAGTCCAGTTCTTGGTAAAATGGACAGGTTACATGTCCCCGGCCGCTTCGTTTGGTTGAGTCTTAAGCCTCCTTGTATTTGGCTCTCAGGCTCTTTATTTTTTGTTGACATTGGAGCCAGGACGCCTGTAGCCGCACTTGGCTATTTCTTTGGCAATCATTTCAAAAACCACTCTTTTAGGTGGAGGGGTCCACCTAAAAGACCCCTCTAATTTGGCAATCTCCCAAATATGAATGAACTCATTAAACTCGCTTTCCTTCCATTGACGAGACTCTGAGCCTGAAGTGTAGGTGGATGAATGTGACCTGGACATTCAAACTGAAGTCACATGTCACAAGATCAGATATTGGTTTTAGGAGCACATATCCAAGTGGCCTGGGTCGCATTTGAAAAAAATCGGCGTGGTTCAGACATTCATTAAAAGATCAGATACAGGAACATAGGGGCCAAAAAATCTGATTTGGGTCACTTCAGGCTGCAGTCTGAACGGAGCCTTAGATTTAGACATTCTTGACCAGAGAGCTGCAAATGTACCAAGTTTGGACTAAAAATGCCAAAAAATTATAATTAATTGTAGGCAATGCTCTTTAAACACCATATGCACAGTTTAGTAGCAAAAAAGTGGATTTCAATCTATTCTGTACAATGACAAAAAGGTAAAACCTCTTGTGTGACACACAAAACACAACCATGTACCAGTTACTTTCAAGTTGTTGAGTGGGGCACTTACAGAGCAGAAAGATGGGGTTGGGGGGAGTGAGGTGGTCTGGAAGGAACAGCCATTTCACCACATTGGAGTCTAGGCTGGAGGAGGGCGCCCTCCAGGGGTAGTCTGCAGGAAAACAGGCTTTATAAGAGGAAGCTGCCACACTGAGCTAAACGGTCTGGAAATATGAATTGGCTCCTTGCAAGAAATTAGGAAAGAAATGTTTCAAACAATTGCATGAATATAAGGCTTTATTTGATTTTATTTTTCCTCAAAGCTAAACATCCAACAGCCAAAACATGCAAAAAACACACCAAAAAGTATGTCTTGTTTTTGTCATGTTTGCAGTGCCATTCACTACCACAGCCATGTGTGTAGAAATGATGTCACTGTGGTGTAAGAGAATAGTGTGTTGCAAGCTGTTTCAACATTTAAACACTAAGCTGGATTGTAGATATCTCTAACTCAGTTTTACCTAGGGGCCCGGTCAAGCAGAAGTAAACAACAAGGCCAAAAATTCAAGTTAATGCATCTGATATAACTGTATTGAACAGATACATATGTACTCTAGTTTATGAAACTGTTGACCTTTTTTCTGTACCATTTTTGGTTCTAAAGTTCCATATGTTTTAAACAGACCATGTATGAAACATGGAACAAAAATTATTTCCCAAATTTCAAAGACCTGCAAATCATGTAAATAAATTTATGTATTTCATCATATCTTGTGTTATTCCATCTTTGAACTGTTGATGAAGGTACATGATTTTTCAAAAAATGATAAAAATTAGCTTGGAAGGACTGACATATTTTATAGAAATAGTTTCCTTTCATTTTGAAGTAATATTAAAGTATTTGGAAGAAAAAAGCTGACAAATGATGTAAAATCATGCACCTTCTACTTGTTTGAACAATTTTCCCTCCGTTACCATGACCTTTCTTAATAAAAAATCTCATGACAACAAAAAGTAAGAGGTTTTTAAACCTAATCTTGTACCATATGGTAGAAAATTATATGACGCAAATATTCAAACCAGTTTGTTAAGGATATGTAAGTGAGAACAGAGAGTTATCACTGTTTGGATTTATTGCCCAAAAAGTGCTGCATATTTCATTCCCTCCGTTACCGACATGAGTTTTAAAATTTTTTGTCAACAACTTGAAAGAATATCACAGGTTTAACTTGACCCTGTTGGAGTGTAACTCTTTCCTACATTCTGATACTTTACTTATTTTAATAGTCCCTCTAGTTTCTGAATAAGAGACATTTGAATGTAAAAAATCTGCCCCTGTTTCCCTCTATTACCGCTTGACCGGACCCACAGTCAAAAAGAAAATTTTGTATATCCACAACGACATTTTTCCCATCTATAACTGTCAGTTTAGATATCCACAACCTATGGCAAGCCATTTTAATATTTAAACACTAAGTTTGACTTAGTCTTGTCTTTCTGACTAGGCATAATTTCATTTTGGATAGTGGGAATTGTCATTTGAGAGATCTGTAACGTAATTTTGACTAGATGAAAGGGCAGTTAGAGATATGAGCAATTCAGTTTTGACTCGGCAAAGCAGAATGACAGATATCTGCAATTACATCATTGAAAACGACATTCAACTCGTCACACATCATACATGACAACTGCAGATATCTGTTATTCAGTTTTGACTAGGCACATTGAAAGTTAAAGATATCTCAGACGTCATTGTGACATCATGACACAGAAAGCACCAAGTTGTCTCAAGCTACTAACAGTGCACAATCTGTCCAAAAAGCCATTTGTCTCTAAAGCATAACAGCTGTCTGTGTGTTAAAATTAGCTTTCGTCTTTAAAATAATTTTCAACGAACTTTTCACTAGAATCCATTAACAAAAAGACCCCAAGATGCATTTGGTAATCTTACTGATAAATTAACTTTCCGTTAACGGCTACATGTGCCGTGTGGAAATGCTCCGCTCCTGCCTAAAGTGGATCATTTGCATATAGATCTCTGCAACATCATTTCACCGAGTCAAAACTCCATTTCAAGATATCTCTAATTATATTTTGACAAGGCACAATGAAATTTACGGATATCTCCAATTTCAGATATCTCTAATCAAAATTCTTTATAACATATCTAAAACTTGATAAAAGAAATTTACAACTAAATTATGACGTTTGAGATATCTGCAACATCATTCTGACTAGTTGTTACTCCAGTTAGAGATATTGTATCTACAATGTCATTTGGCCTAGTCAAAACTTAATTTAAGATATCTGAAATGGAGCATGTAGATATCTTCAACTGAGGTGAATTAAAGATATCTTGAACTTAAGTTATGACTAGTCAAAATCAAATTGTAGATATCTCAAACTGGAATTACAAATATCTATAATGGAGATGCAGATATCTGTGACTTACGGTGTGGAGATCCAGAACTCAATTGTGGATATTTGTAATCATGAAACCCATACACATGAATGGCAAGGATGATGTCATTTGCTCTGGGAAGAATGTCATTGTGGATATAAAAGGACAGTTACGGACAGGAAGAATGACTTTGCAGATATCTGAAATTTTCTTTTTGACTAGGCAAAACTAAGTTAGAGATGTCTGCAATACATATCCAGTTTAGTGTTCAAATGTTAAAACGGCTTGCCATACACAACGACATTCTTCCCAAGGGAAATGATGTCATCTTGCGGGACCAACTAACACAGAGTCAACCTTAGTATGTAAATGTTAAAACAGTTAACCATAATAATGTTGTATACATGACAACAGTGACAGTGATTTTGTTTGGTTTTAACATGTTCATACACACCTGTGCAAGAGGCAGGAGGATAGCCGATACAGAGGATGTACTGCACACACAAAATGGCTGACAGGAAGTAGCAGTAGCGAGGCCAAACCACAGAGATAAGACTCCTGCTGCGACGCCACATGATACTGATGAGAGCAAGGGCATGGCCGACGGCAAACAGGTCCATCCTCTGACCAATCACGTTCACCGCCAACAAGAAGCATGTCTAAAAATAGCACATCATGCATACGATGAAAAACCAAACAGGAAAAGAGGTGAGAATACAAAGTGTCCTAACCTCCAGGCCAAACTTGTAGAAGAAGTAGTTGATGAAGTACTTGGTACAGTTGAGAAGACCCTCATCGAGGTGACGTCTGGTGATGTCATCAAACAGCGTCCTGGTAGGGGGAGGGGCCTCACCACGACGCAGACGATAAAGCTCCTGATGCCGGTAGACTGTCACCTCAAAGGCTAACAGTGCCAGCACGGTCAGGTTACTCTGCGGAGACACCACACGCTGTCCCACAAGCCCAAGACAGAGCAGTCTTCTCCAAACTCTGTCCAGATTCCAAACTTTCATCATTTACTTTAGACACTTCCTTTGTTTCAAGTGGCTTAAGAAGATGACTTTGTTATTGTCAGTTTGTTTTTAGCCAAAATAATCTTTTCTTCAACAATGTGATGTCAGATGTGAATACAACCAGTAAACTTCCCACTGCACCAGAATATATAAGGACAGAGGACTACAGTCATACTATAATACTCCCTTCAACTGTACAACAACTCACCCTGATGGAACAGATAATACTCCCTACAACTGTACAACAACTCACCCTTATGGAACAGATAATACTCCCTACAACTGTACAACAACTCACCCTTATGGAACAGATAATACTCCCTACAACTGTACAACAACTCACCCTTATGGAACAGATAATACTCCCTACAACTGTACAACAACTCACCCTGATGGAACAGATAATACTCCCTACAACTGTACAACAACTCACCCTTATGGAACAGATAATACTCCCTACAACTGTACAACAACTCACCCTTATGGAACAGATAATACTCCCTACAACTGTACAAAAACTCACCCTTATGGAACAGATAATACTCCCTACAACTGTACAACAACTCACCCTTATGGAACAGATAATATTATGTCCTGTCAGTCATCACATTGTTGCACTGTTTTCCTGTGACTTCTTGTATATCCTGTAGCTGAGATTTTATTTTATTTTTTATTACTTATTACTAGGGCCGTTCACGTTAACGCGTTAACTTTGTGTTAACTAATAAAGTCATTAACGACGCAGTTTTTATTATTTATTTATTTTATTGTAAACGTCTGTTACTCACTGGCTTTTATTTTGAAAAAGTCCACCGCGAGCGTTTCTTTAAGTTTGACGTCTTTTCTTTACACTTTTTTTCACTTTTTTCTGACCACGTGAGATGCAACGTGCCTAAGCCTCCGCGAGCCGTGGGCCCGGCCGCGAGTTCGGCCGCAGGCTCCGACTCCCGCCGCGGCTCCGGGCGCAGGCTCCGACTCCCGTCGTAGCTCCGGCCGCGAGTTCGGCCGCAGGCTCCGGCTCCGGCCGCAGACTCAGCCGCGGGTTCAGCCGCGGGAACCGGCTCTGGCCGGACCAGCCGTGCGCTCTGAGCTGAGCTTATTTCTTTAGTTCAGTAGTACAAACGTCCATTCAATATTTTTTCTTGAGTCTGAATACCTTGAAGGCTCTGAGGATTCCCCTGTGAAAGAAATACTGTTGCACAACAAATGTTTGGCTCTTTCATTTACATTTCCAATAAAAGAGCGCTATACTCTACTTTTTAATTCATTAATTGGTTTTGCGTATAACTCGAACTCATACGATTAATCGCAATAAAATTGTTTTATTTTTGCCCAGCCCTACTTTTATTACTATACACATTTATATAATTATGTCTTATTTGACATTGGTCTCATTTAATGCTATTTATTTAGAATTTTTCTCTTTGTTATTATATTATATTGTAATGTACTGATGTACTGTGTCCACATAATGTCCCTCGTGGATCAATAAAGTTTGTTTTAGTCTCAGTCTAAACATTGATTAAAAACGGTCCCAGGATGCACCCCTGCAGGAAACCATGTATCAAGGCTATCTGGTTTGTAAAATGATGACATTACATGGCTACACATACACTACATTTAGCACATGAACAGAGAAATCCAAAATAACAAAATTCTAATCATCTTTGCACCAGAACCCGTTAGACCACTCCTGTCAGAGTCTAGACCTGAAGAGGTACAAGCGGGGGGATTCACGTGTGCCTTGTAGTTCAGTATTAGAAAACTTTACAGCTAAAATTACTCATAAAACAGCCTATGCCACATAACGACAATTTAGGTAGAAATCGCTTTAGTGTTAAGGATTTTACTTTTGGCTCTGCTACGAACTGCACTACTCACAGGTTTACTCTCCACAGCACAAATATACATTAAAGCTCAAGTAAGCTTTAAAGAGTGCCTTTAAAGATGGGGTATTTTACTTCTCTGAGGTATTAACTGCTAACACATAACATACCTAGATCACCATGTTACCTTTCATTGTTTTGAAAATGCTATATTTGCTGAAAACATTATTATGTTTTGTATTAACATGCTTCATAAATTTCATCTTGCTACTGAAATGACTGCACATCGCATCAGGTTTGTCAAGTTGTATGTACAGTTTTGTATCATGATTTGTAAATTTATGGAGAATTGTCATGTGGGAGCGTGGGTGATGTAGGCTTATGGGCGGAGCCTTGGATGGAATCTTACAGTTAATCGTAACCGGGAGAGGAAGATCGCTAAATTACTCAAACATGCATGAATGACATATAAACCTCTTTAGGCATGTTTTTGGTGAGGGAACAATGCTATAACATGGTAGAAATACAAAAAATAAAAAAATAAAATAAAGATTTTGCATAAAACCCTCTCTTTAATGTAACAAAGAAGAACAAGACAAAGCAGCACGTGCTCGGTGGAGAGGCCGTAGTTTGTCATAGCTCGACTACACGCGTCTAATTTGTCTGGTTGTTTCTTACCCTGTGCAGTTCAGTGCCTTTCTTAGTCTAGCGCCTAGTCTAAATCAGACTGTGCTGTTATATACAGCAGGTATTTGAGTACAACTTCTCCAGTCGTGTGATTGGGCCCTTTGAGTTTCGATCAACAACACTTCAGTCGTAGTTCCCTGGTTTATTGCATTTTGATAAATCGGTTTAAACTGGATCAGTTATCAGTTTTCCTGGTGTGTAAACATGCAAACACAATCATAGTTAAGAGCTCATGGAATTATATTTGAACAAAAACTACTTTTTTCCTGGTTCCTAAAAATTGAAGAGTAAAGACTGTAAAGTAGTAGTAGAATTCCTGCTGAGTATAATATGTAGCGCAAAAGTAGTATTACCAGCAGATAGTCCAGAACTCTCCCCTTGCTCTTCCTAAGCCCCACCCACTGGGCAGGGTCTACAGGACTGGACAGGTCAAGACTGGAGTTAGCCACCTGTAACACACACATGAATGAGTGTTTCCCATGAGATGTACAGTATACCCTCAGTACTGCTGCTGTGTACCATGGAGCAGTTGGACGAGTACTTTATGGGCTGTACCACGTTCAGCTGGTACAGCATCTTGCACACTATAACCACGCAGGTCCAGACAGTGCACACTGAAGACAGTAGGGGGCGCCACCTTCTGCAGGGCAAGCTCACAGCTACACACAGGACGAAGACCAGGTTGAACACACACACCTGTGCAGACAGTACAGGGAGGAGTTAGGTACAGTCAGGTAATGATACTGTATATGTTAATCTATGCGACAATGGACTCTCTTCAGTCTGTCCATGGTCTAGCACCAAAGTACATCTCTGACATGTGACACCAAAGTACATCTCGAACATGACATGTAACTGGAATTATTTTGTGTATGAACTGTGCCACCCAAATACATTTGTCTTGCCTTATGCAAATATCAATCATACTTCTTGTGTAAAGTAAATCAAGGCTTTCAGAATGTTCACATTTATTTTTGTTAAAACATTTCAGCGTCTGCACTGATCCATTTGTGTCAGGTGTTCTGTGGCCATGGTGGACATGTGCCAGTCTGAGAGTTGGTCTTAAGTAGTTACTTTTCTGCTCTATGGTGAAACACATGGATGTTTTCCCCTCCCACTGACCTAGTGCTCAGCCTCTCACCCTCTGTCTGATCACAGGCAGATATAACTAATCTAATCCTGCAGCGACTCTTGTGTGCGTACCTCTTTGACAGACACCCAGATAATGTACGCTGACACCACTTTGACTATGTGTAGCTCCAGTAGCCACCACACGAGGCGCTGTAGCTTCTGCAGGGACAGGAGGAAGCGCAGGAAGAGCACCGAGAGGCGGTCCACCACCAGGCGCCAGGACACCAGCACTGTAATATAGTGTAATAATAGCAATATGAGAGGACGCGGTTATCACTATCACAGGGACAAACGTGCTTCCTGCTTGTGTATTTGTACTTTTTTCTGGCTTTAACACTACCTCAGGTAACTCTGAGTCTCTAAGTCTTAAGTATTTATTTGAGCCCTAAAATAGGGTTGAACGATTTGGGAAAAACTGAACAGAACTGAGCAACTAACTGTAAGGGATATTCCAATGATGCCCGGAAAGATTACTAGATACTAGATTACTCAAGATTACTCAGACATGCACGGATGGCATTATCTCTTCAGGCATATTATAACAATCTAATGTTATAACATTATAACATGGTAGAAAACTCCAGAAAGTCAAAATATCTCATCTTTAAATGCAGTAGCAGCAATAGTGTGTACAGAGCGCCAAATGTTTGGGTCTGTTCAGAAGAACTTGCACAGAGGAGTATAGTTTTATTGTAGGTGAATGACCTGTGATATGGTCAGACAAGGAGTGCACTGCCTCCTCCTCCTCCTCCTCCTCCTCCTCCTTTTGCATCTCCAGGTTCTTCTCCATGTGTCTGCTCTCAGCGCTGATGTAGTGTCCTCCTTCAGACAGGTCCACCAGGCTCCCGTCTGAATGCACCAGTCTGCACACAAAACAGCATCATGGCTAATTGAAGCCAAGCCTGCATGGCTCACTCTGGCACATTTACATGCTCTTCTAACACATGTTAATTAATGTGCACTGCTCCAAAATTAATAAATGGTATGAAGTCATTGTGGTACAGAGACATTGTGGTACAGAGGCATTGTTGTATGGAGGTTTGGTTAAGTATGGAGCTGTGTACCTGGTGATGGTGCTGTTATGAGTGTCCACCACTGTCTGCAGGTCTGTGAGCTGCAGGAAGGGCTCGTGAAAGTAATGCAAGTGGATCACACACACCTGAAACAATAAGCACCAAACACACACATTTAGATAGAAAAGGCAGCTCTACTCGACCCTACTGTACTCGGCCCTATGTGGCCTGATTGTTTTCCATTTCTCTTTACAATCTGGTACTGTATCCATGAAAACAACAATATGGATATAGAATATTGGCCTTATGCCCATTCTGAGAGATAGAGTTCTTGTTGTTCATTTCTTCCTTTTTGTTGGTATGATGTAGTTGCAAGAGTTGTAGTGGGTACCAGCAGGAATGCAGCTGGGATGAAGATTCTGGTGAAGAGCACAGGAACCGAGAACTTCTCTAGCCCCAGATCATCCAGCCTGCAGTCAGCACAGAGAGAAGGGTAGTACAGATTGGTAGTACACAGACTGGAGCAGACTCAACTCATGTGGAAGTGCACATAGATGTTTAACAAAGCAAAGACCAAACCAGAATGCAGCCCCACCTATGGATGCTGAGGCCAGTGTAGTAGCTCCAGCTGACCGGAGCTGAGGGGAACTGGAAAGTGTAGACCAGGATCAGGACCATCATGGAGTAGACCACCACTGTGAGCCAGAAGCCCCTCAGCAGAGAGCGCCACCACTGGTAGTTCACCTGCACATCAGTACACAGGGGCTACTGCTCAAATGTGCTCAATGAATGGGTTAAGAATATTAATCTGGAAATCTGGATTGCAGTACTTTCTAATGTTTGATGTATAAAATGAGTTGCTCTAGATCATTGCTTCCAAAGTGTTTTTTTGTTTGTTTGTTTGTTTGTGTGTTTGTTTTGTCTCCTATGTTTCCTACTTCCTATGTTTTTTTTATATGCTACAAGTAGCCTCTGAAGTTAAAATGGAATTTTAACAGACTGTCCCTGGTGCAGCTGTAGCTCAGTGTGTGATACCGGTCTTATTGTGACTCACACAAGAACCAGAGCTCTGCTATGCTACTGTGGTCACTAACTTTGAAGGCTGCATGTGTGAGATCATGTGTTGATATTTCACTGTTCAATTCTGAAGGGAAAAGGCTGCCGGGGTTTGGTGTGTACTGTTGCAAAACACATTTTGCTCAAATACATGTAAAGAAATTGGACACAGGTGTTTTAATATGATATAAATAATGGTACATCACCGAGTTAAAGTGTAAGAGGTATAGTATATGTTAGACGTCAGATATACTCTTAGACTAAAGCAGAGGAGCATACCTGGTACAGGGCCACGCAGCACAGAAACATCACCATGTAAATGACTTTGTAGAGCACGATCTTCCCTTCAAAGCTGACGAAAAAGAACATAGTCCCACAGACGTAGATCCAGTATTTGACAAACATGCGTTTGAGCACCGCCCCCAGAACGTTCATCTGTGCCCCACCCACCTGGGCCTGGAGGAGGAACACATCCTCACACGAGCTCTCTGAAACACACACTTGTATTATTATCATTCAGAGGTCTCCAGACATGTCATATGGTCCTGAGCCTGTCCCACCTGCAGAGGGCGCTGTGGTGTGGATAGTGACACTGGACAGGCGAGTGGGGGCGGGGCTCTCCTTCAGTGTGCTTTGTTTCTCAGTGATGGACTGACGCAGCAGCATCCAGAAGGTGAGCAGGCAGATCAGCTGCTTTCACAAAACAACCATTAACTATACTGAAGTCCCATTCCCTGGGCTCTGGATCATCTCTCTCTGTAAGAGCAGCTCACCTTCGATGCCAGCTCCAGACAAGGCTCCTCCTTCTGGGGGAAGACCCCGGGCACTTTGTGGACCTCTGGCAGACTGAAGATGTACTGCAGGATGAGCAGCAGGTTGCCATAGGCAACCAGCCAGGGGGCAGAGTCTAGGGTGTGGCGGCGGCGTTCTCTCATCATCCACAGAACACAGGACCACAGCAGCAGTACACAGCTGAGCCAGGACACATAGGAGATGGACCAGGCCAGCATGGCCACCAGGGCGGCGATATAGCTCTGCCTCAACAGGAAGCCCAGAGCCACAGAGGCTACACCCTTTCTATCAAACAGCTCCTCCCCCTGGTCCAGACTCTGCTCTAGACTCTGGTCCAGGCTCTGGTCCAGGTCCTCTTCAAACATGCAGGTCTCTAGAGTGTCTGCACACACACACACACACGCACACACACACACACACACACACAAACACCCAGGCACAGCCAGGATATCAGCTTTTCTCAAATGAATGGGTTCAGTGAGGTTCATCAGGTCTTAATCCACAATCCTCTGCACTGTTTTGTCCAGTAGCTCTGGTAGAATGAACCACAGAGGCAGTGATGCTGATGATGTGCTGCACCTTCAATCATGTAACCATCTCAAAACATTTTCCTCTTCCTTCACCTCTCTACTGAAGTAAACACTGCCAACAAACCGGCACCTTAAAATACACTACAACACTGGATTACTTTTGAAGATTAAACCTAAACTTTATGGTGGCATTTTTTGAGGCTTTTAATAGCAGATTAGATGGGTCTATCTACAGTTTCACACATTCACTTGGTGTTGCATTAACCATTCTCAAAACTCTAAGTGGCTCATACACTTTGAGCTTCCTGACCAGTTCCGTTCAGTCAGTCCAGTATGACACCCTCACCTGATTGGCTGATGGAGAACTGAGGGGTGGAGTACAGGTCTGTTCCCAGTGCAGTGCTCTGAGTAGGCGGGCCATATGAACCAGAAGGACTTTGATTGGCTGAGGAGACCTGCACATACAAGATTGGACCATATAATATAGACATGATATACAGGGAACAGACATACAGACATCTTCCCACTCTTATCAACTGGATGTTGTTAGGCTTTGTGTTTTCTGCTCACTTCCAGACAGAGGGTAGAACTCAAGTCAGAATGACACACATACCAATTATGTATAGAGAAAAAGGACAAGTAAAAGCTGTAATAGTGGACCAGCAGTACCTGTACATGTGTTTGGCTCCATAGTGCCCTCTTGGCTTCAGCTGACAACTCAAACACAGTGTCATCTGGAGGCTCTGCAGGCCCCTCCCCCTCTACAGGCTCCTCCACAGGCTCCTCCACAGGCTCCTCCCCTTGCACACTGCGGCTCACATCTGCATTCAGGAGCTGCTCACAAACACAGTACTCACATGTAGTGTACCTGCACAGAGCTCGTATTAAAGGAGACTGTGACTGTGACACACTGTGACAGACTCCTCTGGCGGAGAAAAGTCAAAGGCCTAAATTAAGTGCTTCAATAAAATAAAGTAATATATCATTAATATATCAACACTGTCCGGGATAGGATACACCAACTCTATGCCTATTTTTCTCACTAACAAACTAACAAGACTGACTGGCTCTAGTATGGCAGTGTGTAACACAGCTGACTCCATGGATCTAGTTTGGGTGTATGTAACACGACTGACTCCATGGATCTAGTTTGGGTGTATGTAACACAGCTGACTCCATGGATCTAGTTTGGGTGTATGTAACACGACTGACTCCATGGATCTAGTTTGGGTGTATGTAACACGACTGACTCCATGGATCTAGTTTGGGTGTATGTAACACGGTTCATGGTAACATGGTTCTAGTATGGCCGTCATACCTTGTTCCTGCGTAGGGCACACACACAGTGGAAGAGCAGCAGCACCATCAGAGGAGAACACAGGTGAAACCAGCGCAGCTCCGAGCTCAACTGCAGCCTCCAGGGGGCGCTGCAGTCCACCCTCACCAATGGCACTACTCCAAACACACTGTGGAAGAGGAGGGCAACTTTAGCCTTCTGAAAAGTGCAACATTCACTGGAATTTACAATCAGAGTTATAAAATAAAGAGTTCCGTTTTAAAGAGGGGTATTATACTTCTACTTCTACCTTTAAATCACCATGTTACATTTTATCATTTTTCTTTTTAATGCTCTGATAGAAACATTGTAGAAAGCTTCCAAAAGTCCATTTTGCATAATACGCTCTCTTAAAGAAGATGTTATTAAGGTATTTTCTGGTAATTTGCGATAAATAACAACACATGTAGATCATAAGTCATAATAATACTTACAAGCATGGAACTACGAAATACAACTTTGAATATGCTCACAGTGAGGAAAAATCATTAGAGTCCTAAAAGTAAAATATGCCTCCATTAAGTTACGTAAATTTTCTCTATGGAATTCTATTTGACACTTGAATGTTGTTACACTTTCACTTAAAAAAAATAAAAATAAATAAATAAAACAAGTCTAAATTAGGACAGAAGGATCATTTGTCATGGGAGAGATTTGGCTCCTTCAGCTCCGTCAATTCACCATGGTCCCTCTCTAGTCTACATTCAGACTACAGGACTTAACGCTCAATTCCGATTTTTTTGTGAAATCCGATGTTTTTGCGAGGTCTTTCACATTTCCAATTAAATGTGACTTGTATGTGACTCCAGTGTGAACATTAAATGGCCCAAAAGTGTCCCACATGTGCACTGGAGACACGACAACGCCAACCGCAGCGAGCGTGCTCTGTGTTTACGGAAGTTGTCCAAACATGGACGCGAGCATTCAGCACCTGGAGATTTTAAAGTTCCTCTCGTACCGGAGCCAGAACATTAACAACTTACTTGTTTTAAGGAGGAGATTGAGAAAGAGAAGGACGAGGTTTTTGGCTGTGGTGTTTTGTGGGGCAGCGGCAGCGACGTCCGTTGAAATGAACGTGTGGATGTGGAGACGGAGCCAAGAGTGGTGAGTGGTGATGTGCTTCACTTCAGTGACACGGAGTTCATTAACAATTTTCACCTACTTCAGCGCAGAATAGTGACGTTTGTTGATAACGTTTAGGTGGATGAATGCACTTTGGCCGTTCAGACTGAAGTCGCATGTCAAAAGATCAGATATGTATCGGTTTTAGGAGCACAGAGAGAAGTGGCCTGGGTCACATTTGAAAAAATCGGATCTGTGTCGTTCAGACTGTCATTAAAAGATCAGATACAGGAGCATAGGGGCCAAAAAATCGGATTTGAGTCACTTCAGGCAGCAGTCTGAACGTAGCCTAACTGCTGCTGTCAGTCTCATCATTCTGACCTAACAAATGTTTGTTTTAACTCTCTCGACATGATCCTGGGGTTTATTTCACTGTTTTGTTCTTAATTTAAGATGTAAACAGTAGGGTGGTCCATCAACACATGGTAAAAAATAAAGTTTTGGATAACCTCGATTAGAACTCTGCAATAAGTTTTAGCATTGGAAAGATGATTTTGGAAGAAAATTTGAAGAAAAATAGAGATGTTTTAGAGGTTGCGCAAGGTGGATGAATGTTTCTGCATGAAGTTTTGAAGCTTCTGCAGATCATATGGGTTTCCTTAAGAAGCTGTCACAGTCTGAACATTCAGTTGTGAAGAAAGTTGCCTTAACAGCTTTGGGCGACATGTTTGGTACTTAAGTGAAGAAATGTTTGGCCTGGAATTCTTCTACCCCAGTGTGACAGAAGAAGAGAAGAAGCTGATGGTTCACACTATTATGGAAAGGGAAAGTTCAGAGGTTCCAACAAAGCAATGTGATGCCCTTAATCAAGCAGATTGTCACCACCAGCACCATGTGTTTCTTCAAAGCTCTTGATCTGCCAAGAACATTTTGATTTTGGGCTGATGATGCGGACTTTCAGAAGGTGCTAAAACTGTGCATTCCAGGAAAGATGTCAGTGATGTTGCTGAAAGGGGAAGACGCGTATTCAAGATTTTAACTGCAGCCAAACAAAGAATGAAGATCAGAAACAGGATCTACTGCAGGAGTCAGAGAGCACAGGAACATCTTTAGTGACGCCAACAAGACACAGTGGAGCTGACTTTCTAAGCAACTTTTTATGGATTTTATAGACTTTGTAAGTAATTTTTATCCAAGTCTCAGTTTGTTTTTGCAGAATAAAATGACAAATTATTCAAATAACAAATGTATTTGGTTTGCTATGTTACAGTATTGTACAATAGTATATAGTATAGTACAATTTTCAAATGCCTTGAGCAACCTCTAAATATGGATTAAACTGCATAAAATTTTGACCAAACTATTTTGGCCAGATATGGAACCAAGTGCAGGGTTCTAATCTAGAAAATCTAAAAAAAAAAAAAAAAAAAAACTAAACTAAACAGTAATAACACACAACTCAGTCCCTCCGGCTAGCGTTAGCAACAGGTTTGATTGTCCACATTGACCAGCGGTTCAGGCAGAAGGGGCATTACCTTCACCACCCTCTTTGGTTGCTATGATACTCGCTGCTATGATGTTGCTGTTGCTATGATACTCGCCTATTATAAATCTAGGCTCCAAATTCACACTAAATTCACAATTCACATTCGGCAGCCCTGATGAGCTTCATTTGGCTGGAACTGAACGCTATGGGACGTCACACTCCCTCAGCCCACGTCTTTATACAGTCTGTGCTACAAATAGTGGAAGCTAAGTTTAGAAGTGTCATTTTTACTTGAGTAATGCAGTACGTAGTTTCCCTTTGTGTGTGTTTATCTGGAGTGAACGAGGGGGGGGGTGTGTGTGTGTGTGTGTGTTACCTGGCCGTGCGGGAGTTCACCACAGTGTCCTGCAGGGTGGGCAGCTGACAGCAGTAGAACAACAGGAAGTGACACGCAGAATACAGAAGGGTCATGACAGACATGTAGCCAATGAGGACAGAGGATACCTGTCCTGACCACGCCCACCAGGAGCACAACACCTGGAAGCAGAGCAGGTAGGGCATGGAGGACAGCGATGGGAACACGATACCTGCAGGACAACATGTTTTAGACAGAGAAAGATCTCCATTGAAATAGGAGCAGGAGGCATACAAAGGTTACACAGTTCACCTTTAATGGAATTGATATATTATTAAAAATGAGGCCCAGTGCAGTTCGGGTAACTGACAGGAGAGATGAACTTTTTCAACTAACTTTTTTCGAGATACAGTTCCATAAAAGCTATGTTCACAAAGGTGGCAAAACACTAAACGTTTTCCATGAACTAGAGTAGTCATTTAAAAGTGTGCGGTTAGCATGCTAGTCGTTATTAGCTTTACTGTAATGTGATGCCAAAGCTCCAGTCTGGTCTGAAATGCTTCCTGTATGACATCACAAAGTGGAACAGAGTGTTTTCTGTTTGAAAGAAGAACTCCCGGACAACACACTTTGACAACACTTTACAGAAATGATCTGGAGCTGTGTCCTGTCTCCCTTATTTCAGTGGGCGTGACTGACAGGCAGATGAATCAGTCAGAGACACATGCTCTGTTTGAGTCAAAAACAAACATGGCTGCTTAGACATGGAAAAGGACAAAAAAAATCTGCATAAAGGAAAAAGAAACAGCGTGGATCTTCTCAGAATCAACAACTGAAACACCAAACTATTATTTATTACAGGTTAAAGAAGTGACGTATTGTTTTCTGAACGCTACAAGAGGAGATGTCTTCTATATTTGAGACACATGATAAACATGTCTGTGGTTGGACCATGTCAGGTTTGGACAGAGGTTTTTTCATGCTTTATAGATTTCAGAGCCTTCTGGATTCTAACAGAATGTAGATGGGACTGGCTAGTCAGGCAAACAAAACACAACTCCAGGTATGTTTTTGATGCACAAAACAACATTCTAACATGTGATATGGGCCCTTTAACCTCAACTGTGCACATTGCTCTACCTGCATAACCTGATATGAGGAAGTAAGTAATTAAATCTGTCTAAATCAATTCTATCTCTCAAAAAATCCAAACCCAGCACTTTGCTGTTCACATGCATGAGCTTTAGTGAATAGTACAGAGTGATAGACAAATGGACCTGTGAGTCCCAGCAGGGCGGTGAGCAGCACCTGTCCTCCGGTGGATGTCATGTTCCCCACCACACCTTTGACCTGCCTCAGGACGTTCTCCAACTCGGACCACACCCGCTTTGGGTTCTGCTCTGGTTCTGTGTCTCCTCTGCTCATGTCCGACGGCTCCAGCACACAGTCTGCACTCTGCTCCTGCGTTCACACACAGGATCAGTATGACAAGCACAGGGTGCACGTAGCCACAGTTGGTTTGGTTTGAGTGTTTGTCCACTGATCCAAATCCTGCTCTCAAAATAAACAGGTTAATGTTGCAATTCCAGGTCCTACAAATGAATACTGTTGTTATGTCCTTGGGCAAGACACTTAAATCCCCTTGCCCCCCAGTGTGTGTGAGTGTGTGTGTGTGTAAGTGTATGTGAATGGGTGAGTGGCTTGATGTAAAGTGCTTTGAGCATTGAAGGTGGAAAAGCTCTGTACAAAAATGTGACCATTTACAGGGACAGAAAGACAAACACTTAAATGTGGCATTTCAAATATTTTGGATAAGTCGATTTTGTTATAGTTGTGGTCAAAATTTTCTGCAATTTCTATCTGACCCCGTAATATCTCAGAGGAAAATACACTGCAGTGCATGTGTAGTTATATACATTTATACAACTTTCAGAAGACTTCTGAAAATTGGACTTTTCAGAACATGTAACATGTACATGTTGGAGTTAACACATTTGAATTGTATTTGGAGTGATTTGTGCATGTTTAAGCATATTAATCTTTATTCACTTATTTTGATAATGTCATTTTGCCAATCAACTCAATCAATAAAAATGAACAAAAAACAACATCTATCAGAGGTGCAGACTCATTGTTGTAAGAACTTTTTTTGTTTTTTAAACCAAATGTATGGTATAATGTTAGCAGTTTTTACACAGAATAAGACCAAACCTACACATTAGCTCTCTGCAGAGGACAGTATTTGAAATGGGCCTGTATGAAGTCAGAGCTGTTACAGT